AATGCAATTTCAGTGCAGCACGTATACACATGCGTGTTTGGACAATGATGCCAGATTTGAAGTTGACTAAATCCTCAGAGTTCTTAATGGGTGAACCTTTGCAGGTTAATCAACACAACCTTCACGAAATGGTTTTTGTTAATGTTATATTGGCTGATTTTAGCTATTAAACAGTAACATTCATTAAAGCACAAATTTGAAGATATCTGAGGAACTGTGAAAATGCGGTTGATTGAAACATGATTGAAATGTTGGGCCAAGATCTGAACTTTTTTTTGTGAAGATTTTCTTGAAGCCCCCCCCCCCCCTTTCAAATAACCACAAACATAAAATGTAATGAACGTTAGTGTAATAATCCATGCAGTATTATAAGTGCGCAACATACTGTTACAAATCCTTGTCAAAAAAATTAACAAACAAGGGCGCTTCTATATTTTATGACTAGGCAAGGCCACATGACCTTGTATCCTAATCGTAACAGTGTAGTTCACTAGTCCCTAGTGACAGAACATACACATGTTCACTATGCCAAGATGGCACAAGCAGTTTATGCAAAGCATCCTGTAACATGTGCCCCTCCATTCAAGGCCTTTCTCAATGGATAGATTACCTTACTTTGCAATCAATAATGTGTCTGGCCACTCAACTGTTTATCAAACAGGAAGCTGGTCTCTCCAGAAGTGTACGACAATTAGCAAGTCTTCAAGACAGAGGCATGCTAATCCTTGATAATTGTTTGTTTATACAGCAAAGGTGCTGCCACATGTGTCTCAGAAACCTTAAGTTGGTGTTCTGAATTTTTTGGAGGACAGTGGTTTGGATAATTTCCCAAGGGAAAATTACTGGTCCTCCGGGCTTCTTAGCATATGCATCTGTGTGCCTTTTTAATGCTAGGGACACAGACCAACAGTTAGTGCTTGGTAAAGTCAGGGTCCTTGGGTCACAGGTAGGGGGTGATAGGCGAGGGGTCGGCTGGTCACTCAATTCATTTTGAGCATATTTTGTTCAGGCATTCTTGACTGCTGCTGCACCTTTAGGCTGCACTATGTTAGCACTTTCAATTTTCTTCAACTGTAACATATTTCCATGGCGTTCACTACATAGAGGTCTCCATCTACAAAAACAAATTGTTTGCAGAATTTCTAAATGACCAATGTATATTCAACTTTCCAGGTTGTTTAAAAAAAGTCAGCCAGTTATTACAATTATTTTAATCGACAAGCATTTATAAACTGGTAAATCAGCAACAAAATGGGATGGATTCTACAAACTTTTTGAACAACTTTTCCCCAAAAACATTTAAAAGAAGGTGATACATACATTTTTTTGTATGAATCAAACAGGCACAACTATTATGAAAAAGACTAGCGAACAGGGACCAACAAAGGCACAAAGTACGGTACCACGATGAATCCTATGATTAGGATTATAGGATTATTGCTACACTTAGTCAAGGCACTTTGCCAAGGCACAGCGTCCCAGTTTCTTTAGTTTTTCATGTTAAGCCAGATTAACGTGTTAAGTCTGTTTCTTGAAAATGGGGTTTTATGCATTTAACTTGGCCCAATTTCAAGGATAACATTCCTCAACCACAAATCTATGCCTTGTATTTTTGTTTTTATTCCTCCATGCCTTGACCATGCTTTGACTCTTGTGTGACAGCTGTGTCATGTCTTCAGTTAATAGCCCTCCAGGAGTGCACTTGTGTAACCCCTTGTGTAACATTTTGTGTAACAACCACATGGCAGCCCCAACACCAATACCACTTTATCTTTTTGCTATACGCTTCATCACAGCTGAGCAACCCCTAAAAGAATGCATGAATGGGACATTTCCTGTTAGAGCCAATTTAACAAAGTAACATATGGGAGAGGCAAACAAGCTATCATGAATTAGTGCACAATAATGGGTGGAATGCACTCTCCCCACAAGAACGGCTCATGCATGTGCTGGAATTATAATGCCACATTCCAAAGTCATTCAATCCTTTTCGACATACAAATACAAAAAAGAAATAGTTGCTGCCTAAAATACTTGATTCAGATGTCTATTCAAAACTTCTTGCAATAGGCCTACAGTTTCTCTACCCAAGCTCTTCAAGCAACATATTCATTTGTTTTCTCTCCTGAGGAATTTTCAGTATACATTTTATTTTGATTATTTTGGATTTGTTTGTTAACCCTCTGTGTAATGATGCTTTTATTTTTTGGTTGATTTCAGTCCGTAATGCACACCAAAAAATTTGCCTGAATTATTGTCAGGGGAAAAAAATAATATTTTAAAAATTTGTTAAGTACTGGTAAGTATTCCCTAAATTTATGTGGGCAGTATTTTTTTGGTTTGATGTCTTGTTCAGAAGTGAATACCTTTTGTGTTTCTAGAAAAACAGCAATTTAAAAAAACAAAAATCTACATTTAAGAGTGAAACTCGAGAAACAGCATTGGGCGAGCAACTTTAAATTCAACAAAATCTGAATATGTTATAAAATAGCTATTTAAAGTATCAATAGGCCTACTTGCTTGATGTTTACTAAGAGGATTAAAATGATTCCCATCTCCAGACAATGGCCATGGTTTTATCAGCTGATGGGAATGGCTTCAAATAAACCATGTACATGTACTAAGAACAGAGCTGTGATATGATGGCATGAGATTATTATTGGAAGATCATGGGGATCACGATTTACATTCACCATGGCTACCTCCAAGCATACACCACTGTTATGTGCGTCTATTGTTTCACGCCCCAAAATCATGATCAGAATTTGTAACTCTGCGTTTTCTGGTTTATGTACCGGTTAATACCAGGCACTGAGTGGCTCAGGGGTAGCTAGGCCCAGGCTCCAGGGTAACAGTAGCATCACCTGTCGTGACCCTGTGGCCCTTTAAACCACACTGGCTGTTGGGAACAGGATATCTGTAAACATGTAAGACTTCCAAGAATCAGGGAGTGATTGTTAATGTTAGCCCATTGTTTACTTAGGGAGCCTTTTGTCAAACCAAATGCAGAATCATGGTCAGACTATGGTCAGACAAATTATGCAAATGTTGTCTTCAAGTAAGTTCCTGTTCTCTTTCCAAAAAAAAGTTGGAAAGTACACCAATTTTATTCCATTGTGCCTGGAACTTTAATACTCGGAACCCTAAAAATAAATCTGACGCCCTTAAAATCCGTGACTTTTGTGAGATTTGTAAGTATTGTAGAGGACACAATTGCAGAATACTCTGCCACGCGATCTATCCACCCTCGTAGCTCGCTACATTGTCATGACTGATTGCCCTCAATAAACTTTTTCAGGTACAGGCATCACACTCCACTGCTTTTCCACCTGTATCCGGGTAGCCGCAACAGATAATAGAATTTTTTTATTGATCCCCAATTCATTTCGCATTGCTTTGTTTTCAAGGGACGTCCCCTCCGTAGCCGCGTAGTGGGCAACAGGTAATTTTTGGTTTGGACTTGACTTCTTCTTTTTTCAGCGATTCCAACTGCCTACCCAGATGATTTAGGTTGTTCTTCCGAGTGGCGTGTAATTCTGCAATTTATACTCCTAATCCCCTGTCTTCCTTAAGTTTTCAGGCCTAATCTTGCAAAAACAATGCACTTACATTACAATATCTGATCTGTTTTTCACAATACACTTAAAGAAGAGTTCTTTAAACCAAGATAAAAAAAATGGTACTGACAGGTACTCCCCAAGCCAACTATTATCAGTAATATTGCATTATCTGATAAGGCAGCTACATACATTGTACATTGTGTAGTTCCTTGAACAAACATGAATGCTCTATTTTTAATGTAACAGTCATGCATCCTCATTCAGATTGCGGTTAGGTTAATCTCAAATCTCATATATAGGGATGCTTATATAAGAGGAAAATGCAGTATAATTATCACTGGGCTAGTGTTATACTGGCTGCAGCGGAAATTTGCCAGTACCTTACTGAATGAATCTTACGGAATCCAACACCCACAACCAACCAAAAAACTCTCTATTGTTCAAAAACAAAACCAAAAGAAACAGCACACTTATGGACATTCTTGGATCATACTCAACCAATTGAAAGGAGAAGCCTTGATATTCAGCTTACAGCTTTGACCATTTCACATTCGTAGATGGACAACTTCAATGAGGGCACACATTTTTCATATAATTCATCAATCACCAATGATCACAAAACTCACCTTTCAAGCATGATTCCATAATTAGTTTCAATGTGGCATGGATTTGTAAAGATTATGTTAGGTTAATAAGAGTGTTAAGTGTGGGCACGGATTCAACCTCCTTCGTGTGTCCTTCTGTCTATGGTTTCATGATCAGGTATTGAGCTTTAGGAGAAAGAATTCACTGGTCATGCTGGTCAATCAATAAAATGTCAATTGTAAAAACGTGAAAAAAAGGGGCCCTTGCAAACAAGGCCATTTGTATTGCATCACAAAGAAAGACACAGCCTCAGTTAAAAAAGGAAAACGACTGGATCACAAACAAAAATTACACTTATTTCACTCAGGTATTTTTCCGTGATGTCTTGACCATGTTGACCAGCTACTGAGCACACAGTTGAGTGTATTTTTTTTTAACCAAACAATTGGAAATATATGCCCAAAATATACTAACATCTTATTTTCATTAAAATGTCATCTTAACTTCAAACATTCCACAAACAACATGAACAATATGCCTAATCGTTGTCCAATTTCTGAATAAAGTTTTGTCAAACTTTTTTTAGTAAACAGTTTGAAATTGAAAACTATATTAAGCATCTATTACAATATCTGCATGTGTTGTACAAAGTTAATGGTCATGACGGTTAAGTCAACTCTGGTCAATGCTGGTCAATTCTTACTTCTAGAATTAAAAGGCACACACAGCATGCACAGCGGATGCCTTCAAATTCTAGAAGTAGTCGATTCTTTAGTCCACGGCCACTTGTCCACTGCAGGTCAGTAACAGTAACGTCCTTGACATTTTTCAATGCAATCCAGTTCATATACTTACTGATCGTCCGCGTTGGCAGCCTGCCGCTTGTTCCTCGCCGCCTCGGCCGGGCACGAGAGCAACACGGCCCACAAACATAGGGCCAAGAACACGCCCCGCGCAGTTCTTACCGATGCTGATGACCTGCTGGCCATTTTGTTTTCAAGGACCAGAGGACAGTTTCATCCAGTGAAGTTAGCCAAGTTTGAGCACTTCTGCTGATGATGTTTCGTTGTCCGACGACGGACGAAGACACACAAACCAATTTCTTTTATGTTGGGAAGCGCACGAAGATCTTGAATCATTAAAAGGAACGAGATCGCACAAGTTTGTAAAACTGATCCACGGCAGTTTAGAAAGACAAAACCTCCCCTGTTTTTTCTTTTGATCACACCATTGGAGTCTGTTAATTCACGGTGTCCCACGTAAACCCGTCCAAGCGATGTGCTAGCTACTGAGTTCGTTTGGAGTGATGTGCACGTCCCTTGGCCAGTGGTATTCAATGTCTAAGAAGTCTAAGACCATCAAACTTTACACCATGGCTTGTCACCGGTACTATACCGGTCACCGAAGATCGGTTGCGAAACCCCCTGCGCATGAGATCGAGACTCCACTGTGACTGACGTTTCAGGAGACTCGGGTCTTTATTTGCTCAAAGGGGTGTTTTATGGCACAGTATGTTGGCTCATAAGTTTGAACCTGGCACACGTGCACGCAAATCTGCAGCATCTGCATATATTACGATCTAGAACTTAGGTAAACACTTGTAAACGGAGCTGGTCCCCGTGTTTTGCCTCGCCTCGTAATCGCGCAAACTTCAAAGGGGCGGATACCAGTGGATCCTGTTTGTACCTCTCTGTACGAGTGTGATCTATCAGGGTCCTTCATGCTTCAGTGATCTTTTTCATAACGAAAAATTTTGTCCACCACGTACATACAATGTATGTACATGTATTCATCGTAGTTCTTTTTTTTTCGTCCATGTCTTGAGTAGACACTTTGTTTCATGTAAATATGCCAAAATTGGCTCCCATTGAAACACCCCTTCCCCCAAGAGAGAGAGAGAGAGAGAAACGAATAGAATGTTTTTAATTTTAATTCTTTAACTGTATAGAGAGAATGTTGTCAATTTCTGTCGGGACTCGGGGGCGGATCCGGGAATTTTTGCGGGGGGGGGGGGAGTGTGGTTCATCAACGACAAAAATCAGAAATGTAACCAGGTTTTTTTTTCTCCTGACACTTGGCCTCCAAAAATCCATAGGTGGGGTGGGGGAGGGGGGGGGGGGGTCGTACCATAATTTCAATGGGGGCGCTGTTCAAATCCGACAATTATTAACCCTTTAATGACAGTGTACAATACAACCCTAACCAAGCTGGCTCTGTCCGTATTTGCTGTATGGGCCGACATTATTACCAGTTTCATTTTTGGGTGTCAGAACGGGGTGGGGGGGGGGTTGTATTATTTTTTAATGAAAACCCATTTTTGACAGAGCTGGGTCCCCCCCCCCGATCCGCCTGGGACTGTACTGGAATAAGCTTGTACGTTTTGTACTTTTTACCTAATTTTGATGAAACGGGAGCCGAAAGTCACACTTTTTATGATAGCTCCATATGGTATTGGTATTTTTTTTCCAAGTGACCTACTTTTCGGACTATAGTGACATTTCAGGTGTAATGACCTTTCAGTAGCGGGCCCAGACGGAGGCCGGCGCAGCTAGCGCAGCCGGCGCCCCCCCCCCCTATAATTTTCAGTAATTTCACAGTTTCAGTTTTTTTGTCAGTGCTTGCTTCTTAAGGGGGGGGGGGGGGGGCGGGGGCCTTGCTTGTTTGTTTTATGATGGGTTGCTTGTTTTTGTTGTTTTTATTTGTTTGTGTTTAGGAGGTACGTCTTGTCTATTTTTCCCTGTTTCTTCTGTTCAAAGACAAATGTTCACCCACACTATGCCCCGCTTGTGTGTTGTCCGGGTTTAAGGCCAGGCGGGAGGATACGAATGCATGATCGACGTCCCAAATCAGACTCTGCAGGGAGTCACTAAAAATTAACTATTTTCTAATTATTCATACATCACACATGAATCAGTGGGGGCAAGGGGATGAGCAGACGGCATTATGTGACTCTCAGTGCGCTTTAAAAAGGTCATCCTTATTCCGTTTCCGGTTTAATTTTGAACCAAACAAAATATGAAGTGGGGAATTCAATTGGTACACTGAGTTGTCGGATCGGACCGGCCGGTCCCTATCTGGTTCGTTAGTAAAAACGTCATACACGCGCGCCCACCATGGATTACTAGCGCTCATTGGCTACAAACGCTCGAGCTGCGTTAACTTCCGGTTCCAATCGTGCAGAAAGTGCTGGAGGTGACGTCACACTAACGAACCGGATAAAGGGGATCGCTATCATAACCCGACAGCGAGCCACCACCACAACCACGTGCTGGCCCGTCAGGGATAAATAGCCCCCTCTGACGGCAGCCGAGGAACCCTGTTGATATGCCTGGTACCCGTTGCTTGTTGACCACAAAGAGACATGATTGTGGGTACCATTGAATTCCGTAGCACATGCATGACATGTGAATCGAGTTCGAGAGGAAATTTCTAGATTGTGCCTGATGCAGGATTAGAAGAAAGGAGAACGGTTCGTAAGAGTTAACCGATTTCGCTAGTCACCCACGGTGAACACTGCATCTTTTTTATCGGACTGTTTGATTCTTGTGCCTATTAAAATCGTGCAAGTAACCCCATCATTTTGCTGAGTGAGAATCAGTAACTGAGTCAGTGGTAAGCAATAAACGACAAGTTTTGTGTGGATGGATGTGTACGTGATGAACCTGACAAAACTCGAAAGACCCGGGGGGGGGGGCCTAGACGGCTGTTTGCCGGCCGGCTAAATTCGAGAGACTCAGATTCACGTGTTGCTACTTTAATTGTGTCAAGATTGACAATCGTTAATCTTAATAATTTGTTTTGATGGGGTCGTTGTGTACATAATTAACATTAACAAAATTAACATTGTCATTGTCACAAAATTTATTATGATTATGTAGGCCTAGCTGGAGTTACCCAGCCCTGAGTTTTATCATTGGGTTGTCTATTACTGGCTGGAGTGCATTTTTCTCAAAACTTGTAGTATTTGCAAAAAAAATTTGGAAAATGTTCAATTTTGTCCCCGTTACACACTAATTGCAACTGCAACTCACCCCAAACTTGCCTGGAATAACCATTACACAGGTCCTTGAAGTAAAAAACGATCCACGATGAAGATTCAGCCTACAATTGCAGTGAAAACAGGAGGAATAACCGCTAACTTGACAACCTTGCTGGATTGGCCAGGACCGCTATTGGTTTGTGCACAAAAAAATTGTGTACAATGAATGGCGGTCGATTAACAGGCACAGAGAGCGATCGCTGTCAACTACTCGGTTTTGCCGGCTGCGCTGGCTGTTGGCGCATGACGTCACGCGGAAGCGTAACACCCGATGACTGTTTCATGCACTAGTATAAGGTTTACCACTCGCATCACAGCTTTGGTACTGGAACCGCAACCAATAGTGCATAAAACAGTCATCGGGTGTTACGCTTCCGCGTGACGTCATGCGCCAACAGCCAGCGCAGCCGGCAAAACCGAGTAGTTGACAGCGATCGCTCTCTGTGCCTGTTAATCGACCGCCATTCATTGTACACAATTTTTTTGTGCACAAACCAATAGCGGTCCTGGCCAATCCAGCAAGGTTGTCAAGTTAGCGGTTATTCCTCCTGTTTTCACTGCAATTGTAGGCTGAATCTTCATCGTGGATCGTTTTTTACTTCAAGGACCTGTGTAATGGTTATTCCAGGCAAGTTTGGGGTGAGTTGCAGTTGCAATTAGTGTGTAACGGGGACAAAATTGAACATTTTCCAAATTTTTTTTGCAAATACTACAAGTTTTGAGAAAAATGCGCTCCAGCCCTAATAGACAACCCAATGATAAAATTCAGGGCTGGGTAACTCCAGCTAATGATTATGAACCATTTGGCACAATGGCAGTTTAAATTTTGGAAAAAAAATGTTTATTGTTGGGAAAGAGTGTTGCAACCTGACGCCACTTCAGTAGTAGTGTACAAAGTCTATGGACAATGATGGAGTGTACTTCCTAACAAAATTGGAAAAGTGTCTTAGTCCCAGATTCATGTCGTATCATCATTTTTGCAATGACTGACCCTCGTGGAGATGATAAAGGAAGAAAAAAGTGGCGTCAGGTTGCACATTTTTTTCCGAATATTCTTTTGTCATTGTGTCATGTGTGTTTGAATGTCACTGAAAGGAAGGCATTAAACCATGAATTTGGTGTGACTCCATGATTAGTAGAAGATAAGGTTTGATGCCGCCTCTCTCTCTCAAGTGTAACTATTTTTATATTTTGAAATTTGTGAAAGAATTTTACATAGCCCCATACATGCCAACTGACAATCTTCACTAGTTTGGGAAGGAATGTTCTCTTTAATAGTCCCATTTCCTTGTTATAATGTGTGATGACGGTCTTAATAAAAAATAGAAGAAACTGTGTCTAAAATTTCTGAGAACATCTAAGATTTGTCTAGAACAATTTTTAGATTTTCAAATTGACTCTTAAAGTATACACTTTTATGCATATTCCACATCATTTTGAATGTGCAATTGGTGAATTCCAGAAAGTTTGAGAAAAGTTCATGAAAACATTCAGTATTTTAAGTGAGCTGGTTGTTTTCTCCTTTAGACAGAAGTTTAAAGGAAACTGTTTAGGGGAAGACATCACCATGGTTAAGGAGATGGGATATTACGACATGCTGGGCGTGAAGTCCAATGCCACCGAGACGGAGCTGAAGAAAGCTTACCGGAAGATGGCCTTGAAGTATCACCCCGACAAGAACCCAGAAGATCCAGAAAAGGTGAGGACCAGGGAATGGACCCCTCTCATCCGAAAGTTTGGACATTTTGTACTTAAGGCAGTAAAAACTGCAACACAGGAAAATAGACTGCCACATAAATCCCCCAGTCCAACACCCCTTTAGTACTGCACAATCAGTTGTGTCAAAAGATCTGGTACCCAGTCTCTATTTCTGAACGTTTCCATAGTCGTGCCACCAGACTACTGACAGGTCAATCATTTAAAAAAGTTGGACATGAACCAGTCTTGTGTTAGACTTCGAATTGACATCACTTGGCTTCACTCTCAGGTGGAAAAAGTTGAAGCAACCTCAAACTTGGCTGGTGAAATACTGAGGATGTTGCCTTTGCCTCGTGACAGTTTTTAAGAATGTTGTTGGCTAGGAGTGAGTAGAGTTTGCATGATTTTGTTTTGCATGTGTTTCTGCACTCGGTCCCAGTCTGACACAGACCAAAACAATTCAGGATTAATTTTTGTAAAATATATACTCCCTAGGCATTTTTGCTAGGATGTAACCTCAGTCCTGCAAAATCCTCCAACTGCCGCCATGTCAAAATAGCATACAGTCTCGATCCTGCAAAATCCTCCGTTATTTCTTGTCTTGAATGTGGTCCTTGGAGAGGTGACCACTGCCTCAATCCTGTAAAACCCTCAGGCAATCACATTCAATATGTTGAGGCAGAGCCAGTGACATGAAGCAGTGGGGAGGATTTAACAACACAAGGTCCGGCCCAAGACCTTGACACAGTGCATCCTCCAAAATCAGCAACACACTTTTGCCATGTAGCCTCAATCCTGCAAAATCCTCTATTTTCCAAAGAGGATTTTGGGAGATTTGGGAAGGTTAGGGTTACAACCTTTATAAACCCTTAGACAGCAACAGAATTCAGGGCTATTATGTGATTTTTTTCCCCCAGTTCAAGCTGATCTCTCAAGCCTACGAAGTCTTGAGCGATGCCAAGAAGCGAAAGGTCTATGATGAGGGAGGCGAGCAGGCTCTGAAGGAGGGGGGCGGGGCTGGTGCCCACAACCCCATGGACATTTTTGACATGTTCTTTGGTACGCATTCGCGGACCCACGAGCGGCGCTGTAAAGACGTGATTCACCAGTTGGGGGTGACGCTCGAGGAGATGTACAACGGATCGCTGAGGAAGTTGGCTCTCAAGAAGAACGTTGTCTGTGACAAGTGTGAAGGTACATAGAAAAAAGAAACATTTCATCATTTAGAAATTATTGTTATTTTTTTTTTATTTATGCAGGATTTCAGATGAATCTGTATAATAAAACTGTTCTTTTCAAATCGACCCTTGTCAATAAATTTGCATTAAAGAATTTGCAATGTGCTGTGTGGATGTGGCGATCAGCAAATCATTCACCATAACTACTCAAGTCCTCCAAAATGCAAATTTGTTTTGGAATAATTTGAAGATTAACCAGGCCAGCGTGATGTTGCATTGGGTTAATAGTCCAAATCCGATTTAAGGATCAAACACATTGTTGGATTATGCAAGTTTCAGCAAGGCTCTTAACAAATATGCAACCCACATTACCCTAAAATTGGATTGTAATGGGCCATTTTGTTTTGTATTTTTTGTCCCAATAAGTTTTGTGATAAGCTTTCGGAGTTGGCATTATAAAAATGTAACCAAGAATTGCTGAAAACTCTTTAAGATTTTTTTGACATCAAAATCTTTCTGTGAGAGTTGATCAATTCATTGAGGCAAATTTTGCAAATTAACCCCAACTCTATAGGGTGTGTCAAAAAATCATATTAAAATCGGAGGATTCAGGACTGTTACAGTTAACATTGTTGTAATTTCTTAAACCTTTAGTCACTGAAGCTGCTGAAACCGCTGTGCCTGTTACTCATTGTTAATAAACACAATGTAATACAATTTGCTAATGAGTTAATACAAACTTGTTTTACTGTTTTACCTCCCTTCCCTATTTGTTAACTGTAAGCTACTTGAAACAAACTGACGGTTAAAAGGCTGTATTTATTTTTTCAAGGTCGTGGAGGCAAGAAGGGTGCAGTGGAGACTTGTGTGACATGTAAAGGGTCCGGGGTTCAGGTCCACATTCGTCAGATAGCGCCCGGCATGGTGCAACAGATGCGGACTACCTGCGGAGAGTGTCAGGGACAAGGCGAGAGGATCAACCTCAAAGATCGATGCAAACAGTGCCTGGGCAAGAAAATTATGAAGAACAGCAAGATCCTGGAGGTGCATATAGACAAAGGTATGCCATACATGTATAATCCGAACGGTGATATTCAGTCACAAAAACTGCTCTAACAAACCTAACTCAGCATTATCCATTTAGAATACACTTATATTTTAGGGCCACAAGTATTATTGGGTTACTCGATTAATTGATCGAAGTGTGGATTATTTGGTTACAGTTTTGTGTTTGATTAATCGAAGACCCCTTTGTGAAAATAAGGGCTTCCTTTCAGAAGGCGTAAGAGAACGGCCATAAACATCTTAAGCCAAAAATCTCAGACATTCCACGTAGCGCAGGACGATATGGCGATAAAGTATCACCACGAATATGATGTTTGTCTAAAGAAAATCGGAATCGCCTAAGTTTAAAAAATTGAGATGTAGGCGAAGTAGTTTTAAAATTCTCGCTTTTTTCTAAATTTTACAGATGAACCACAAAGCTGTTTCTCAACCAGCATAAAAAAATGAAAAGGGAACGATTTATCGATCAAAGGAGTAATCATTAACTGGTGGCCCGATTACAGTACATGATACTTAACTGAGCACATGTTTTTGCTTAGTTGTATATGGGAAAACCATAAATGTCTGATTTTTTATTCCACCCTTTTACGCTGAGTGGAGAGTGCTCTTTCGGTTTGTGTGAGCTATGCGGCACACGTCACAGGTGGAAAATGCTACCTGGTTCAAATATATACAACGCTTCAGATATGGAATGCTCATCTGTTTTTCTGCTAGTCTAGACTATTCACTGCCGTGCCAAGTTGTGTGGTCTTACTTGCCTAATACACGCAGGTCAAATTTCATTTGACCTCAAACTTAAAACTGATGGCATTGCAATTCAGTCAGTTTTACAACTTCATGTTGCAAAGCAAATGTGGCCCTAACTGAGTTCAAGGTTTTTACATAAACTGAAGGGGGGGATTTCAGGTAAATTTAAAGAAAATTTAAAGTCAATATCATGCTTTACAGTAATAAGGTAAACAGGTAAACAAAATTTGTTAATACAAATTTGTTTTATTCTGTTTTTTTTTCCAGTTGTATTGAACATTTTACATAATAACAGAACACTTTCCCTTTTCAACAAATAAAATAGTGTGTATATATTTGTGTGTAATGAATCAGGAATGAAAGACGGACAGAAGATCACATTCCACGGGGAGGGCGACCAGGAACCTGGTCTGGAACCAGGCGACATCATCATTGTTCTTGAGGAGAAACCACACAAGGTATCTGTCTATCTTCCATCTTTAAAATGCATCTTCAATAAGTCCAATTTGAATCTTTGTAAAAAGAATGACCACGAACTTGAAATGTAACATTTGCAATATATAAATGCTAACCCAGAGGCATTTTGGCTAGGAATGTTTCTGAAGCTGCGCAGATCAACAAACTTGAACAATAACTGAATTTCAGCAAAACCAGGAAACCAAGGCGAATCTTAAATGATGATTGTGAGGCTATACATTATTTCGTCTCTCAGTATCAATATAATATGTGCAGAATTGAGAAAGGGTTTAAAGTTTAACGAAAACAAAAATGAAAGCAGAACTATCTGACTTTTTAATGTGAAAAGAATAAATTGATTGTTATTATGTTGTTGTTTTTTTTGGGTCATTGTAGACCTTCAAGAGGAAAGGGCATGATATCATCATGAACCTGACAATAGAGTTAGTGGAGTCACTGTGCGGATTCAGGCGTGTTATCAAGATGTTGGACGACCGAGAACTAGTCATAACATCCCACGAAGGTAAGCCAATCCTTTAGATTTCTTTTGAGCCCTGCAGTTCTTCTGACAAAATCAAAAAGTCATAAACACTGATAATCTCCTAGTTTTCCCGTCAAGTACATTTTTATGGGGTTTGTGAATACAGTGTGAGAAAAATATTATCGAAATTGGAAGAAAAAGTGCAAATTGCCCGACATGCATTAAAAAAAAAAAGGTTGCAAAGATTCCTGTTCAAAATCTTTTATAGCACCCAGTGTTTATGTTTTGCATCAAATTCCACAACGAACTATCACTTGAAAGAGATGTTATCGCATGGGAGAAATAAAACTCCAAGGCTATATGATACAATTTGGCTTAGTGAGTGTACTCTATAAACAACCCTTCCCTGACTACCAGCTAGAAGCAGTATGTGTTTTGCATGAGGTTTTGGCTGGTTACCAATCAAATGCAGTAAGCAGTCATAATTCTGCTGAGCAACTTTACGGTCAGCAGCCTTGCAAGATTGGTACCCAGACATCTACAGGAAGCTTGATTCATTCCTTGACTGAGTCACAGTGGATAGTCTATAATTAGGTGATTCCCGGGCTGATTCGGTGGCTTTTCCTGCTACTTCCTTAAAATATCTCCCAGGTCTGTTCTTTTCTTGACTTGCCATTTATTAACTCCCAAGCCGCTGTGCTAGAAGCCAATGGGACATGTTTATTCTGTAAAGTTTAACTTCTGAGAATCTGTACTGCCCCAAAGAGGATATGGATTCGTCAAGAAGTTAAAATAAGTGCAAATGTGTTAACATTCAAAGGGAATTCTGTATAGAGGCTGTGCTCTACATTTTTATATCTTGAGAATTTGCAAGGTAGATTTTAAAAGATCTGGGAATGGTAAAGGTTCAGGAAATGAACGAATCGATTTATTTTGAAAAGAAATAAGACATTCTAAGTAATGGTCACTCCACTTCAAAGTAACAGTGCTTTCAGTGGAACAAAATTGCAAAAACTTCTGTACATTTTTTCTAAATTCTGTTCATATTTTTTTGTAATTTTTTTTTATGTACTGCCTGTAGGCTACGAACAAAAGATGTTTGGGAATTGGTTCCAGAGATGATTCATCAACTGTTACTCCCCAAAGTTTACTGAGGTCTTTGCTGTTGGCTCCTCGAAGTGACCCACAGCATCTTTGACTTCAACGCTCTGTAAATGCTGTTTGACGCAATGCACTAGAAGTCTGAAAACAGCCACACACAGTCAGGCAATACAGACTCAACCAATGAGGAAAAATTCAAAATCTTGCCTGACGGTTTAGAGATAATAGTCTCTGTTCTAAATTGAAGTTTGTGTGGGTGTTAGCTTTCTGCATATGGTTAGCAGATATGCCCGCTTGAAATGTCACTCACTGGAGATTGGAAACTGATAGATTGGCTAATCCTTTTCATTGGATTGAGGCAGTTTCTGTACTCGAAGAGTTCATTCGTCAATTTGTTTTTGTGTTTGCTCGTAGGTGAAATAATCAAACACGATGACATCAAGGTCGTGCGCAACGAGGGCATGCCCACCTACCGGTCGCCCTTTGACAAGGGTCGTCTCATCATCCACTTCACGGTCAAATTTCCCGAGTCCGGTCAGATCTTAGCCGAGTCCATCCCCAAACTTGAGTCCATCCTGCCGGACCGGCCTGAGGTTATGGTAGGAGACGACGTCATGGAGGTCAACCTAACGGACTACACCCCACAGAGTCACCACGGCCACGGTCACTATGGCAACGCATACGACCAAGACGAGGACGATTACCATGGGGGGCGAGGCGGGGGTGTGCAGTGTCAAACCCAATGAGTGCAAAAGACTGGTTCCATAATTCCACACCACCCGGATATAAATTATGTACCATTTGCATAGTAAATTATATATTTAAAAGGATTGAGCACGTACATGTACTTGTATCTTCCGTGATGTACCAAATCCCACAAGTATTAATCTTTCAATATTACTTTGCAGATAGGGTTGCATTGTATAAACTTAAAGGAAATATGCACCCCACAAAGAGGTTTTTTCGTGAGAAATATCACTTCCAAAAACTTGAGGTCAGCTTGTAGTGATGTTGTGAAATGGAACAAAAGTTGTTTTTCTGGTATTTGTCACCTTTTTTTTTTACGTAATGGGCATTTATATTTATTTTGTCAGAATTCAAGGCCGAGTGAAAACCAGAATGTGAAGTCACCTGCCTGCATTTTAAATTAATCGTTTAAAGCAAGGTGCATAGTGGTAATAAAAAAACATAATAATAGTCCCGTTTCAGTGTTTGGAAAAGCATTGCGTGTGCAACTTGGAATCAAAAGGACAATTGAGACTGATCAGTATAACAGCTGGATTTTTCTTTATTGTACATAAATGCAGAATTGAACTGAATGTTGTCCACAGTCACTTGCTTTGGTTTGTGCAAACTTCATTGCTTTTAATTTTGTCCAAACAAGGACAGTTTGACAAGCCAAACAGTATGTGAATAAAAAAAAGACGTATTTGTGCAATAAGATGGCTAGGCAGGTCTTGTCCTAATGGTTCAATGCCACACTAAGCAAGAATTGCCACGAGTTGTCAAATTTATCCTTAAAAAAATCATCCAATGTCAAATCAAAACTCACCTATTTGGAGTTCTATGAATAAAGGCGGTTAGGGCTGTCCAGTTTTGAATAATTTAGTATTTGATTGCTTGAAACTGTGTTTGACCCGAATATTTGGATATGGGAACAATGAACAGCCGTTGACAAAAGAAATAACCGTCAACAAAAATTGGCATCTGACGATGAAGTGCTGCAACATGGCGGTAAAATAACATCACAGTCGTGTGTGTATGTGTGTAGTTTTTTTGTTTTCGCATATTCAAACTGACAAAAAGCTATTTGAATATTTTGGTTGATGATCAGATGTTCGGTTTATTTGGGACAGCCCTAAAAGGCAGTGTGAATACTTGGCTACGACTAATAGTAAGATACGTCCGTTGGAGTCGAATCAGCCACTTCCATTGGTACATGTGTTATTGCCACTTGTAGCCAAGTTATGTTATGTTTCTTAGATGTTTTTTTTTTTTAGCGAAGGAGGGAATATACAAAATCTTTTATGATTTTTGGCATCATTCCTTTAGTGATGCGAATACGTCCCCTCCACTTTTAAAAACCTCTGTGTGTGTTTTTTAAATTTGTGGCACTAAGTGTACATTAATTAATTCGTTTGGTGTTTTGTTTTTATGAACCAGTGGCCAACAGGCAAGTTCTGAATTAAGTAATGCACATGCAAGTCTTGTTGGATTATAAAAAATGTTTAGTATTTGTCTTGTCAATCGTTTGGAAACAGTAGCTTAACCTTCCCTCTGTCCGTTTTGTATTGAAACTATAAAGAACTCATTGACCACTATTCAAACCTCGAGTACAAAATTTGTACTAATGACATTACCAGAAAAAATCCAAAATCTTGTTGCAGTTTCGTAGCTTTGGCTGTGATTATTGGGTTTAAAAAGATGCTCCGAGTACAAAACGTCACAACTTTAGTGTGGAATTTTCCCATTAAACAGCAGAATGCACTACAGTTTTGACTACATGTATATGAAAATAAAACGAGTAACAGAATTTTGTGGGATTGTGATGCATTTGTTTGTTAATTTTAATTTAGTATGTTATATATTTTAATCCAGGCACGTTGTGTCTTAAATAAAATGATATGACTGGTACAATAACATTCAAGATCCTGTTTCATTTTGTTTACCTGTGGCTTCTGATTAATAAACCTAAGCTGTTTATTTTATAGATATGGCGGACGCAAATAGGAGGGCGCTATTTTGTTTTGCAAATTTGGGTCAATACAGCAGTTAATCCAAACAAAATAGGAATCTCTTATTGCGTCTGTCGAAAAGGCAAACAGGGCTAAGTCAAAATTTAAAACTCTTCTCGCCCGCTTCCTTTTTCCCCCCGCCTCCTTGTTTCCCCCTCTATCATACATTTTCAGTATTATTTATTTCCAGCAAAATCCAAAATTGCGGTTTTGTATGCCAGTTTTAATTTGGAAGAAAGGGTGACGTCTCATTTGGTCTTTGGATATCAGCAAAAGAACTGAGAAAATAGAAGAATCAATCCACCATCTAGAAAAATCCACTATCCTGGGGAGAAAAAGATGGGCTTTTTTTTGTATCTAAAATAAACCCTAAAAGCATGCTAAAACTTAAAAGTAAAACCTAATTTTGTTACTTGGCCTAATAAATTGTTGATAACAGTATTTAGTAACACGAAAAAGAAAGAAAAATCTGGCACCAGGATATCCACAGTTATATTTTTTTTTTTATAAACCTCTAAAAATGAATGAAGCAATGAAAAGAAGACGAATGCAATAAAAACATGATTTCCGCATTTAGGCCTGGGAGGGGTTCGAACCCACGATCTTCTGTTTACGAGACAGACGCCTTACCACTTGGCCACCAAGCCATGCATTGCCAGCTCAGCGATTTCATTAGTATTGAATAATTTTACGTTTTAACCTTAATCAAAAATTGTAATTTTGCAAACTTGTTTTTGTTACAAAAAAATACGTCAAATTACCTTCAGCTTTAGCATGAGTTATTTAAAAAAAAATATTTTTTTAAAGTGTACTGAGTACATGTTCTTGTTTAAAATTGTGTAATTTGTTTAGACTGTTAAAATTATTCAATTTGAATGAGCCTGCATGTCAAAGGTCAGAAGGTGAACGTCCAGCTGAACTTCGCGGGAACTTTTGTATTTTCGCGCATTCAGGCGCCTGTTGCAGTGTGCGAGAAGATTGTGTTTAAGTTTTGGAGATTTTAAAGCAAACAAGTGGCAGTTTCTTTGCAGTGTAATGTAGAATATGTGAGGTGTGTGCTTCTTTCTTTAAATGATTAATGTACTGCTGAGTTAATCTGCATTGTTTTGGTGTCTGACAATCGACACGGCACTCGATCTCCCGATACTAGATCACGGACATTGTTGTTTTGGCTTGCGCATCAGCTGATCAGCCGTCTACAACACGATGATGGAGTCGACAATGTACTCGACCATGAACGTGGAACTTGTGTCAGCCTGCAGTGCTCTGGGTTGCTTAGAAGGGAATAAATACCAGAAGGAACCTGACTGCCTTGGTGAGTTTGGCCTTTGGGCTTTAGTTAAGGTCTAATTCATTAATTATTATATTTTTGGGGAGGGGGGTGGAGATGGAATCTAGGCTAGTATTAGTATAGTAACATAGCAAATAACAGTTTAGGCAGGGCATGGGCTGATGGGCAGGGTTGCCGGTTGTCGCTGATAATGATAACATAACAAATTCATATGATTGACATATTATTAAGTATTAAGAATATTAAAGAATTATGAAAAGGGAGTCCAGCGAAATCGCAATTTCCAAATTTGTTGCTGAAACTGTGTAAAAATAGGTGCAAGTTTCACCTTGTTATACTAGGCCATAAACATGATTGTTTCCTAGAGCCTAAAGTAAAGGTAGCTTGAGAAACTCCAGCTCAAATGCTCATCAGGAATTTTACATTTAGCGCTGAAAACAAAACTATGTTGTACTTTACTTAGCGGAATCGAAAATGGCGGAGGCCGTGAAATTTGTCCCCAACACAGCCGCCGAAATCATCCTTTTTTTTAATCATATTTTAGTCACTTTTGTTCTGTTTCAAGTCGATCTTTTGCATTGATGAATGATTCACAAAGCAGTATGCGGTAGATGTTGTTTCATATTGATGCTATTTCTATGTGTTTTTTTTTTCAGAAACACTGAAAGATCTGATCCGTTTCCTTCGACGCGAGGATGAGACGTGCGACATTCGCCGCCAGCTTGGCAATGCACAGATTCTCCAGAACGACCTGCTGTACATCACGAAGCAGTACAACAAGGACACGGAGCTGTTCGAAACTTGCATAAGGTCCATATTGACCATAATTTTTACAAATCTCTAGTCGCACATTTTCCAGATCCTTGTTGGTTGTCAGCTTCCACACAAGTCCGTGTCCAAGTCTAGAGTAAAAAAAACAGTCTTTGCAGTTCGGCTTCAATCATTGAATATTCATTGTTTTGTCGCAGTTTGGAATTTACCAACCCTTATTGAGAATACTGTGGGGCTCTATGTTTAAATACCTTATCACTTTTTCGATCACAAAATAAGAAAAATAACCAATTTGGGAGTCGATCCTGCAAAGGTTACATCAGTCAGTTATCTTTGCACAACTGAAATTTTTCAAAATTCAAAATGTGAACCTGGTCAGTTTCCGTCTGTGGTTTAGCAAATCCTTTCATATCCCATTAATAATTTCTCATTTTTTTTTCATTGCAGGCTTCTCGTTAATCTGACCCAGTCGCCGGAGATATGTTTCCAAAAAGTCCCCGAGGACAAGATGTTCCGGAACTACTTCTTGGAAGTCTTGTCTCATCTGCAGTCTTACAAGGAGGCATTTGCCGATGAGGAGTTGATGGGGCTCCTTGCTCGCAAGCTGAAGAAACTCCTGGACTTGGTACGTGACTGAATCATTCCAGATTAGCTATTGCATTTCTAATCATTTAGAACTTAAAATTAATATGTCAGGAGCATCGCTAGAACACTTTGAGGGGGGGGGGGGTAGTTTCGTATGCCATTCTTGGGGAATTTTCAAAATGAAGACAAGCGATGTGCAAAACCAAAATAGATTTCGTGTTTACGTGCAATTTAATGAGGGACAGATGATGCATGCAAAAGTTTCAGTTTGTACCGTGAAGCCATATAAGGCCCTTTGGGATTTGAATTTTAGGGTTGGGTTTCTTTTACGGATACCCGTTTTTTACTTCAATAGGGTACCCGGTTCCCGTTCTGCCCGTGAATGCACACCAATATCAATAACCTGGTATCTATGTTTGTTTGGACTTCCAAAGCAGCATTTGCTCAGAATACGAACTATTGCTAGTCTGTTGAGTAATAGGCCCGCAGTGCAATCATTTATTAATTTTTTTAATAAATTTTACTCGGTCCTTTTATCATTCTTTTCCTCAGGAGTGGGAAAGTCGTCGGGAAGACCACACCCTCCTCATGGAGAGGATTCTGCTCCTTGTGAGAAACATCCTCCATGTTCCTGCTGACCCCGGTTATGAAAAGGTAACATTTTTGTCCGAATCTTGAATCCTTTGGAAACGCCATACAAGGGGACTGTTTTTTAAATTGAATAAAAATAGGATTTTTTTTTATTACAAATCAATTCTGGTAAATTTGGGTTGTTCTTACCAAGGTTAATGAAAAATTGTTATGTGAAGTTATATGTGACCCAATTCCATGACATCTGACAGTTATCAAAAAAATCATTCTAGAGAGTTTTGGAATTTGAGTTATTAAGCTTTTAAATGATGTGCAATTTATATATTTTTTCCGTGTTTGTAATCCAACAGAAGTGGGAGAAGCAGTCACAAACACAAATTGTTGCATATCATTTTGGCTGGTAATCTGCTTTTGATAACAAAAATTTTCTTGGAGAAAACCCATGAAATTTGCCCCAGCTCACGATAATGATAAAGCTGATACTCATAAGCACTTTCTTGTCATTCTTTAATGTACAGCGCACTGACGACGATGCGAGTGTTCACGACCAGGTGCTGTGGGCTCTCAACATGAGTGGCATGGATAAGCTGATTCTGTACATTGCTAGCTCAGAGGCTGAACAGCAGTGGTGCATGCATGCTGTGGAAATCATCTCACTCATGTTTAGAGAACAGGTATGGTAAAAGTGCAGCGACCTAATTATAACCCCTGCTAATGTTACACAATTCAAAACATTTTTGAACAAAGAAATTGGCAGGAGCGGGGTTTGAACCTGCGACCTCTGGAATGCCGTTCCGGTGTTCTACTAACTGAGCTATCCAGCCTTATGTTGGCAGTTCCCCATTTTGTCAGTGTAGATGTTGAAGGGGTGCTAGTCAGAAGCCAAAAGTCACTCATTCTAGCAACACACGCTATGCTGAAGACCTGGGATATAGGAAATGGAGACCACTCTGAGAGGACCAAGCTTTAATATTACAAATTCTTTTTTGGGAGGGGGAAGTTAACAAATTTTGATTTTAAAAAACATTACAATAATTTCAAAATATTTTTCCTTTCGTTCATATGAAATACTGACAACCTTAAAATTATTTCATAGACTCCGGAACAAGTTGCCAAGGCTGGGGAAGCACGTCTGGCCAGCGAACGACAGAAAGACGAACAGGAACTGGAGATGATCAGGCAGCAGGAACTGGCCGAGAAGAGGGCAAAGGTCATGGCAACTAGTGCAAGGTCAGAGGTTAAAAAGAAGTACATATAAGGTCATAGGTTGAATATTTGCATATGTACATGTTCAGTTTTTGAGTCGAATGACAGAAACTCACTACTTAGTGATTTGTAATTAAGTCATATGTGCACTTAGGTTTTTGCTTAGAGATTCCGAGATTGGATATTTGGGCCAATTTGATATGTCTTCACAGAATTGAACATATTTTGTTCAATTTGAGGATAACGCATTATTAATTTTTTTTTCTACCACAGACATTCGCGTTTTGGTGGAACGTTTTGCGTGAAGAACATGAAGTCTATCAGCGACCGTGACATCATATACCACGCCGCCATTCAGAACTCCAATAACATCACCTTCGACAACAAGAAGGAACCCAAGAAGAAACCCAAGAACAGGATGCCGATGAAGGACACGTCAATCACACGCAGGTACTCTTCAAGTTTCCTGTCAATTGTAGGGTAAACCCGAACTTGGCCAAATTTAAGGATATTTTCTGAATGATGTATGTGTACTTTTTCATTTTAACATCGAGCCCTTTCTCATCTTTGTCCCCGTTTTTCAGAAAGTGTTTTTAAATTTGGAATATTTCTCCTTGTGAAACTTTTGTTTTTGGGAACTGGTCGTAACACTTAAAATGTGACTCACTTTTTTCAAAATTGTCTTAAGCTTTGGAAATGTAGTTTTGATTTTTACTTTAAGTACAGTGAGACAGTTTGTTATATAACAACATCTGAATTAAAACTTTGAACCACAAAAGTACAAAAAAGTATTGTTTTTTGCTTTGGAAGGAATTTGGAATGAAGTGAATTTTTGTGCCCAATTTTTTTCTTGATAAGGGGCACCTCGTGTGAACACTGGGCAATGTTTGAAGGAAATCTTGCCGATGAAAACGATGACTTAAGATGACTTGAACAATTTGTTATTATTTTGATGATGATTCTTTCTCTGGTATTTGTAGGATACTTGTGCATATTTTTCATAGGAATGAGAGTTAACTCAAAGACCTTGCATACCTATTCTTTCACCTTAACTCAGGTCCACCTTGAGCATCCGTCTGTTCCTCAAGGAATTCTGCATTCTGTTCATCGAGAACTGCTACAATCCCCTCATGCATGCCGTCAAGGTTAGTGCCGTTTGCTTGTCTCATTGTCGAGAAATTGCCACAACTATGATCCTTCCCCCTTGCCCTTAAATTCTTGTAATCCTTTTCCCTACAATTCACTGCCCCTTTCCACAAACATAAACAAAAATAAAATAATATAAACAAAGTAATGTTTTCCCTTTTTGCAGAATAAACAGGTATTCTTGGCAAATTTTGTTACCACAAATTATCAGAATTTTTATTTTACCATTAAAAGCAAAAAACTTGAAAATTCTGTGGCTCGTTGCAATGGTTGGTTTTTGTGAAACCTAACTGAAAAAGACCCATTCGTGCAATCTGGGATTAAAGTTCTTTGATTTTTTTACATTTCTTTTGGCTTGATAATATTTTCGCCCATGCTGACCTTCAAACATTCAATCAGATTTTCTATTATATTGAATGTTCTTTCTGCATCTTTGACCTTTGAAGGATCACATCATGCACCAGCGTGCCCAGGAAAACGACGATTCCTTCTACCTGTGGGCCATGCGGTTCTTCATGGAATTCAACCGACTTCACAGATTCAGAGTGGACATTGTCAGGTAACCAGTATTGGGTGTAGGGCAGGATAAACATTTTTCTGTAAATTTTGTCCCTTTTTTTGGTACTTTTGTACGATCCAAAGCTTTAGAAAGGTATTTTAAGTGAAATAAGTTTTTTAATGGTTTCCCACACTTCAGTTGTTTATTAAAGAAACTGAAACATTTGTACATGTAAACTTAATCTGCTTTGAAAAATTAAGTTCATCAGAAAGTTTTGCTTTTTATATTTATAATATGAATTATTTGATGTTTTGACTGTGGTTACCTCCAAAAGCGAAGTCTTCATCTGCTGGGATGGCTTTGTCATTTACAAACTTATATCAACCATATCCGCTTTCTTATATTTCCCTTCTTTAGTGAGACATTTTCTGTGCAGTCTTTCTTCTACGTTCAAACCCAAATCATCAAGTATTTGGACATGATGACAACAGACAAGAAAGAAGCCCCTGCGTGGTCTAAAAGGTAGGATAATTTTGTCCCAATTTATAAGACATTTGGATATCATAAGTTTAATTTGACATGTTTTTCAATAAGGATTTGCTTGTTTTAAAACAGACGAAAGCTTTTGGTTCAACACTACTCCTGTGTAGTTTGATTGTCATGTGACTAATTTTGAGTTCATCAAAGTGCTTTTGTGGAGCGCTGTGGCCTTGTGGTATGGTGCATTGAGCTCAAGTTTGTGTGGGAAAATCTGCAGGTTGTGGGTTTGAGTCCAGTGTGTGGATTGCAGTGCATATGTCCTTGGGCAAGGCACTTTGTCACAAGTTGCTTCTCCCCACCCAGGAGTATTTGGGTATCTGTGTAGGTTTTTATTGTTTGAAGTAGTTGTTTGCACAAAAATGGCAGTATCTCAGCTGCTCAGAAGGCGGGGAAAGTACAGCTACGCCAACCTGTTGTTAGAAAACGGCAATAAATATACTGACTTTTCTTGAATTCCCAGAATGCATCTGGGCCTGAAGGCCTACGGCGAGCTGGTTGCCAGTGTGGATGCAATGGCGCGCTCCGGTGACCCCAAGATACGGGAATCGGCCAGGGTGATCCAGAGCAACATCTTCTATGTCATAGAGTATCGCGAAGTGTTCCTGACTCTACTCAAGAAGTACAATGAGGTCTATTGCACAAGGTGAATACGGGTGAAGTTAACTCAGATAAATTGAAATAATCCGTGCCTAAGTGAGTGGCTGTATTTCTGCTAGATTGTGTTAGGGGAATTTCAGCATTTATGAAGGGAAGTGTAATGTCCGTGACAGAGTCACTTAAACATTATATCTAATTACTGATTCAGGAAAAATGATCCAAAACTCCTAGTTTGTAATCTTCTTGACCATTGCTAGAGGATGGATGTATGAAATTTGAGAAATACACTTTCAGGATTGTTCACTGAGGACTTTTAAAAGCTCGGTCACGAACATTACATAATGCTGAAATTGCTCATATCATAATAGTTGAAAAAATTTTGCTAGAAAATCTACACTTGCAGAGTTTCAATTTTCTATTTCTCATGCTCAAGCAGTTTGCTGAAGTTAAAAATTATCACAAGTTTTCAAAACTGAACACAGACAAACTGAGAATTTCCAATGCTGACTGCCTGCTAATTCAAATTCTATATGCATCTTCGGGACATTTTCAAGTTGGTGACAAGAGATTTCTTAAGCTAATGTTCTAAACGCATTCACTACTTTCAAATTTTGAAATCAAATTTCTTTGATTATTTTTTTTGTTGCCAGATCCTACTTAAAGGACTTGATAGAGACTACGCACACTTTCATCAAGATGCTGGAAAGATACTGCAAAGGCAAGAACACCATTATGGTCCAGGTAGGTAATCAGAATCATAACACCAATGACTTGATTAACCTGTTACCTTTGAGATGTTTCGAAATTCACCAGGAGATCTTGAAGGATTTTGTAGTATTGAGGAAGGTCAATTTAACAGCTGTATGAAATTGAAATTGGGCCCTGAAATAAAGATAGATGTTCAAGTTTAAAACAAAGGGAACTTAGAAGAAAAAAAAATTAAGAACGAGTTGTGATTTGTGTCCCAGAAAAAGAAACGTAAGCAGAAGCAGCGGCGACGTCGTCCCACAGCTCAGCGACAACAACATGCAGAGCAGCCTGGTGAGGCCGACGAAGAGCTCAATGCATTGTGGGATAACATAACCTCTGACCTGTCGGCCATGTTTCAAGGCCGGGAGGACATCCCAGAGAACGCTGTGCCATTTGACGCTGCGTCGGAGTTACCTGTGGAAGAACAGAGGTAAAAATAGAATGTTTAACTCTTTTTGAAGTGTCACGAAATATTTAAATTGAAAAACACTGTAGAAAGTGGTTCTAAACCTTGGAATTTTCCTGTGTTTTTATGACTAACCAGTTGCATACCTGCTGTTTGTTTGATTTGTCGTGCAGGGCTGATGCCATGGTGCGTATTCAGCGCAGTCTTCGTACCGGTCAGCCCGGTGATTCCATCGCCCTGCTCCGTGCCGCTAGGGAGGTGTGGCCAGAGAATGACATCTTTGGGGCGGTAGACATTGGGCCTGAGGATGAATTCATGGCGCTCCGAGAAATCCACTTCACAAACCTCAACGGTATGTGAGAGGAGAAATGTTTCCACCATAACAACTCTTGAGAAATTAAACTTGAGAAAGAAGGGATTCTCATCGCTTTAACAGACTTTTTGCCTTGCACCAAAATTTTTACAGATTTCACGTCATTTCTCCAATTGACAAAATTGAGAGACCGCCAACCTAAGGCTTGATAGCTCAGTTGGTGGAGCACCGGTACGGTATTCTGCAGGTTCAGGTTCAGATACTGCTGCAGTCCATATTGTGTTTTCAACATGTCAGTTCCAATTTGCGCTTTGTTGAATGCTCGGATCATTCCGTTGGGAGCACTACCTGTTCAAAATGGCAATTGGTGTTGTTTGCCACTGCGAATATGGCCAAAGAATGTTTGGTACTCCAATAGGGAAAAATTCTCTGAAATTTCGTTCCAAGTCGGAACATGTTGAGAACAATGCATCAGAGGCCTGCACTCTGTATTCCAAATAGGAACAATTCAAAAAGAATCCGACACGAAAAAAAACAGGATTCTCCTGAGGTATAAGACTCTGCCTAAAGTAAGTTTTGAATCAAGTTGGAAGAGCATTTTGGTGATTTGAGAAACTTTATCTCCTTGTTGTACAGTAGCAGCCCCACCGCCACCTGTGGATGAAGCAAATGATGTAAATGAAGAGGAATTTGAAGGTAAAATCTCCTTTCTTATTACCTAGGTGCATGCAGTGTTTGATACAGTCACAGTTGTAATAGGGCCAGTAGTGCAAGGCTTGATCTCCAACAAGAGATGTCAAACCGTGACAGAATTGAAGCAGTTAGTGTGTCCAATTTACAGCTGTAATCAAAACATCACCAGTCCATCACAAGGCATTCAGTCAAGTCACAAGCTAGTGAAATTGATATGAAAAAACAACACGCAGTTGTCCTTGGTCATCCCCTGTTGCTTGTGTCCTGACTTGTGAATGGCTTGTGATTGGCTTGTGATTGACTTGTGAGTGACTTGTGATTGACTTGTGATTGACTTGTGATTTGACTTGTGAGGGACTGGCTCTCAACTCTAGTTCTAATCCATGTTTAACACCCCATGTTTAACCCTTTCACAAACGTGTACTTTATAGAGACAAGACTGTTTTTAGCCCAGTTAGCCTCCGTTGCACAGTTAGGCCTTTAGTTTACATTTGGCCCAAATATGCATGCGTACTCCAAACAGACGGGAAACATGCATATGGAAAGATGGCAATTGGCTTCACATAAATGGCATAGTTCCTCCTACTCAGACAAATTCTGTTCCCTTTTCCTTTCTGCTGTAGATGAAGAAGATGAGCTCTTGGAGGCAGAAAGAAGAGAGGACAGAACGGAGGAGGAATTCAACTTAAAGGTTTTCATCAACAAGTAAGTAGTCGTTTTCACTTCACACTTATAACATTATAAATTGAAAAAAAATTTATAGGATTGAAATCATCCTCTTTTACTCAGTCTTGAAAATTGAATCAAAATTTGTGTGCTTTCTCTAATAATGTCAGTCTTTCACCCAATTGTTATAAGCTGTTGTGAAAATTGTAAAATGCTTCCCTGTAGGTTCAGCCATCCCGAGGTAATACGTTGCTATGTCCAGCTGCTAAAAGATTACCGTAGCAACTCGGCTCTAACCAACCACTGCATCGTCAAGATGCTACACCGCGTCTCCTGGGACTGCGACAAGACGGCCTTGCTCTTCCAAATCTCCCTCTTCAGGATATTTCAGAAGATTGTGAACGACCCCATTGCATCGACCACCAGTATGAAGGTATTAAAAAAATTGTTTAAAGTTTCAGCTTTTGACTTGCATCTTTTCAATTGACTTTGATTATAAAGAACTGTAATAAAATGATACTTATTTTGATGTAATCTTAAGATGGATTCTAATAAGGGTGATGTTAATTCAAAATTGGGTTTTGCCCTTACCAACATATTTTTTATAAGCACTGTATTCTCACTGTTGTCTTGAGTGATTGAAAGAAAAAAATCACAAACTTAATCTGGTAGGACTCAAACCCACGACCTCCTGCTTACTAGTGCAGACGTCTTACCACTTGGAGTTTGCAGTCTAGCGTCCTACTCAAAACTGTTACATGAGACTCAAACTCACATCTATTTGAGTTTGGATTCCAAATAGATTGTGCCTCACTCAAAAACCTCAGTCAGTGTGTGACTCGGTCAGTGACTCAGTCAGTGACTGGGGGAGTGACTGGGGGAGTGACTCAGTCAGTGACTCAGTCAGTGACTCAGTTAGTCAGAGGACAATAGTCTGACTCCATGCCTCACTCAAAAACCTCAGTCAGTGTGTGACTCAGTCAGTGTCTCGGGGAGTGACTCAGTCAGTGACTTAGTCAGTGACTCAGGGAGTGGCTCAGTCAGTGACTCAGTCAGTGACTCAATCAGTCAGGGGACAATAGCCTGCCCTATGGGTCAAGTAAAATGCAACACTCCCACCTACTAATTAAGTGTACCTCAGGATAACTTTAACAATTTCTATTTTATTTATTTTTCTCCACGCAGGAAACAGTGAAGTTTTCCAAGTTCATCGTGGGCAAGTTCTTTGAGATGGCGGCCTCCAACCCTAAGATGTACATGGAGCTGTTGTTTTGGAAGGATGCCCGAGACCTGTTTGAGATCAGCGAAGGATACGGTGCGGTCATGGAGAAAAAGTACGTCATCTCCTCAATAGATAGTTCTGGATTTGGCGATATGCCCTGCACACTTCACGCATGGACAACAATATGTTCAGCTCACATATGTTCAAGCTATGCAAGTTATACATATGTGCATACTTGTTAGACTGTTGTTGAACATTTGTTGAGCACAGTCATGATTGTCGTTGGTCAACATATCGGTGGTGGGGGGAGGGGGAAGGGCGGCTTGACGGAGTCCAAAATATAAGATGCTTTCTAAATTGCTTAATTTCAAAAAAAAAAATCACTGCTTTCTGATTGAATTGACCTGAAATGTACAAATCGAAAAGTCAGAGGGTCTAATGTTTCGATCTCAGGATTTTTCTCAAAAGACAAAATGGCAGGGGAATGGTAGCAAACAAGCTGGAAACACACGAGCATGCATTTCGTAATTTTGCCAATTTGCTTCTTTTCGTTCTTAATAAGATGTGAATGGTAAACATTGTGTGCTTTCAGTAAATGTGTGTTTGATATGCATTGCAGTATGAGTCTTTTGACCCAAAACAAACTATATTAGTATGCTTGACAGTCTGGCTCACTCAATCTGTGTCCAAAAACATCGAGACTTAAAAGTTGATTTAATTTGTGGATATTTTAGGAGCAAGAAATCATCTGTTGAGTGGCGGGAGGAGGAGCAACATGAATTGGCTCAGCTGTACGAGGAGCACAATGAGACAGTGGAAGGAGGTACAAGATGATAAACTTTTCATCTTTGAATTAAATTGTGTTCGGGATGAGTTTATCAAGAAGCACCTTGCAGCATCTCAAACTGTGGACTGTTGCGGATTTGGTCAAAAGCTGCCCCCTCCTTTTTGTACATTTCTCACAGTTGCCAGGGCTGATTTTGACCGAGCAACCTTTTTTTCACCTGATCCAAAGTTGTGGGTTCGAGTCCAGCCTGGGGTTGTGGTGTGTGTGTCCTTGGGCAAGGCACTTTATCACTCATTGCCTCTCCCCACCCAGGAGTAAATGGGTACCAGTGAGGGCAGAGATGGTTTTTGTGGTTGATTCTAGCTGCTTGCGCCAAAATGGAGCTGTATGTTTGCACAGGGAGCTGAAATGGTATTTGGAATGTTTAATTGGCCCGATGATCAGGGGTAATAATAATGCAAAGCCAAGTAATTTGACATGTGACAGATTGTGCGTTACAAAAAATCATTTGTGGAATAAACTTCTTCGTGAAATGTCTTTTTCAGACAAGGATGTTGTTGACCACATTATGGAACATATCATCGACGACAGCAGGACAAGGAGACAGGTACAAATATGAAGTTTTTAATGCTTGGACTTTGCTTTTAGCAAGAAATGTCTTAACCCACCCCAAACAAATTCAATCACCAAATATAGAATATTGTCCTTAAAATGAAATTTTGACATCAACGCTATATAGAGTTATAGTTGCTGGGCTGTACCATCACTGAATCCATTAAAAAATGCAAATTTGGATTTAGATAGAATTGTATAACGTATCGCAAATTCCCTCTGAAAAAACTGCACAGATTTGACATAAAATTGAAGATTGCAAAGGGGAAAAGAGGAAAAGAGAGAAAGTAGAAGAAGAAGCCTGATGTAGAGGAAAGATCTTTTGCATCTTGAAAATCAAAAAGATTCTTGGTAATAATGTGATAATTTCGATGGTGGTTGTTCTGGTATGGAATGACAAGACCTATTTTTGTTTTGATTTTGTACTTTAGATAATAACTCAGCTTCAGAGGCAAGGAATCATCGATAGCGCAGCTGACCTGAAACGGAAAAAAGGGTGAGAGGATAGCACAACTTGAAGACGCCTAAAGTTGAAATCATTTCTTGATAAAAATCACTCTCTACATTGTTTTGTCTATATTTTCTTGACATTTCTGATTGTGTAGTGTTGATTGGTTTATTTTGACAGAGCCAAAAGAGTTACTATCTGGCGGGAGGACCACGAGTTTGAACTCCGTAATCTGTTCGAGCAACACAAGGGATCTGACGGTAAGTCGACCTAGAAATCAGACTTTTTTTGTGTATACTTAGGTCTAGTTCTCTTAGACCCAGTCACTCTTATTCTTGTTTTCTGCTAAAAAACAGGAAAGTGATCTTGACTTTTTCTTTGATTGCCCCAGACATCCTCGGCAACATCATGAACGGCATGACGGAGAAGCGCTCCAAGGCCAAAGTCATGGACAAGCTTCTTGGCTTGGGGCTGGTCCAGGACCGCAAGGAGCTGTACAAGAAACGAGGAGGAGGCAAAGGAGGCAAGGCTGAGAAGAAGAGACGCGGTCGCCGTGGAAACAGCGATGATGATGACGACGATGATGATGATGGTGGTGGTCTAGAAAATGATGTGAGCTTTTATGATTTCAATAAGCATTTTACTTTTCAGAGATTCATATTTTGTTGTTTCTGATTCTAAGTGGAGTTGTTGCGTAATCTACTTGACAATTCTTCAAGATGTTTGAAATGATGGCAGATCATTTATCTTCCACAAAGTACTCCTGTGGTTATGAAATTGTGCTACAATTTATGATACTCGTCTCAGTAAACTGCTCACTTCATCATGGCATGGAATATTGAGAAATGATGTCCTCAGTTTGGAATGAAATATTCATAGAATACCGCAGGAACCTGGGCTGTTCCTATTTGTTTGATGAGACCTTGACAAACTCAATGCTGGACTGACAAGGATGTACGATCTGAATTTTTTGTTCTCAGAGAAATTTCATCGATGACATGGATGAAGAAGATGAGTTCGAAGGTAGGAAAATGTTATTAAAATATCATTTAAATCTTTATATATAGTTGACGCTTTGTTGTAAGATGGATGATTTTTTGCATCAGGGAGGTGTAAAATTTGATATCTGGGTTTTTTTTAGCACTCACCAACATTTTATAACTAAGCACTGTATACCCAGTGCTTTCCAAGGCTTGCATGAAGAAGCTTGTTATAAAATTACTTTTGCGGGAAAATCTCAATATTGAAATGAAGATATTAATATTTGGTATTTCTGGCTTTTTTGGGTTAGGCTTCCTGGCACAGCACAAGCGAGATTCCCAGGATGCGTCAGCCTATGACAGCAAGACGGAGAGTGAATCGAGCGACGCCTCAGAGGACGAAGCAAGCAGTGAGGAAGATGAAGCAGGAGGCACTGAGGAGGGGGCTTCCGTCAACAGTCTCATCAAGAAATTGCAGGAGAAAGGTTAGAAGAGTTAGACTCAACCTTTTTTAGTCATCAACCTTGACAGTTAGTGTTACTGAAAAGATTGTACCAGAAACATATTTTTGAATGAAATTGTTTTATAGAATGAAATTTTTTGATACATCATTTGTATTATTAAACCCTCCCTCTTTGGCTGGCAAATTCAACAATGCCATCTTGAAATATTATCTGACTGGTGGTGACTAAGCTTTATGTACTGTGCTTTCCCACTAGGTTTGACGGAGCAGATTCTCTGGGTACAGAGTGGATTGAGAAGCACGGCCGACGACAGAGAAAAAGACAGTAAGGCATGATTTGCTATTTCTCATCGCTTCACTTATCCAAAACGTGTCATCATCACCAAGCTACATTAAAAAATATGCCCCTGTAATGTTGATATTGGCAAGCAAACTGTGGTGTTGGTAGAGCACCAGTGGGGTATTCTGGAGATTGAGGTTCGAATCCTGTCCCGGTTAAGTTTTGTTCTCTCTTAAAGTGATATACCCTCCAAGTTAGTTTCTCTTCAGTGTAATTTATTTCAATTTTGTAGAAAAAAACTACTGGAATTATTACTGCTGTTCGTTAAACTGCGGAATTGAGTATTCATTTATATTTTCCGTGTTCTTCTTTTGTTTCTTCAGAGGATGAACAGGCAATCCCCATCGTGCCTCTCTCTGAGGAGAACGGAGATGCCATGGACAACAAGCTCTTCCAGCGAATGCTCAAAACTGTTGGGATTTCTGCACCCAACGGACACGAGGTAGCTAGACTTTCCCACCAAAAAGTCATTTGAAGGACCGGAGTCCCAAAGCTGTCATTTTGTTTGTAGAGGACTATTGCAATTTGAATTTTTCTAGAACATAACCTGAAATTATTTGTTTCAATTCACATTTATGACTTCATATCCGTTTTTTTTTTTTAAATTTGTTTACGATTTTCTAAAGTTCCGACGTATTGACATTTCTAAAACACTACCCACTTTCTGTTCAGATTCTTTTTTGTCCCGAGGATAAATCTTTACAGTTTGAAATTTTGTGTTCAAGGATTTCTCTTACCAGAAGTATTCAAAATATGTATTCTTAGTGCTGTGTGCAAATATTGTAAGAGGCCTATTTAAGCGGGACTTCAAGTCAACAATCTTTCAATCTGCCGAAAGGTGCAGACATCGCAGACGACCTGGTCTTTCCTAGCGGTTGAGTGATTTCATGTTTGTATTGCAACAAGGACTGAGGTCAGTTGAATCCAACGGCACTGTGAAAATCTGAGAAAACAAAATGTCAGATTGTAATATACTTTTTTCAAAGGAAACTTTCTGGCGCATACCTGGCCACCTTGACCCAGAGCAGCTCCGAGAGATGGCGGATTCCATCGAGCCCCAAGAGGGGGTGGCTGAATCGGCTGCCGAGCGCAAGAAGAAGTCCAACCCCAGGTACAAGGCGCTGAAGGAGATGGCTAGACAGCGGAGGCAGGAGAAGAAAACGTCCAAGGACCGAGGGAGGAGGAAGGAGCGTCGTCGAGAGGACGTCCCGGTCACCGAGGTGATTAGCCAAGTCATGGATGAGGAACGGTTGCCAATGGAGACGGAACGAGGCGAGGAGAGTGATAGCGATGATGGAGGAGCAACCAGGGAGAGAGTGTCACCTAGGTCGGGTCAGAGGAGAAGTCGGGTCAAGAGAGCACTGCAGAGCGATTCATCCGATAATGAAAGGTAGGTTGTTATGGATAAGTGGAATGATTTACTGATGTATTCTTCATGGGAAGTTGAGAAGAATTTCAAGAAACTTCAAAGAAAATAGAAGTATACACATTTTTACAAACACACCCAAAAAGTTTTGGCCATTTTTACCTTGCATTTTTATAATATCAGTAGTCATTACATGAGCAGCACTCTTATAAATCAATGTCCGAATTTCTTTTCAGTTGTAATCTTACAGTGTAACATGCCTTTTCAAAAACTTTTTATACATGTATAACTTGTATCACAAACCTTTATTATAACAGTACCGTGGAGCCATCTCCATCCGACAGTCCGGTTACCAATGAAACTCAGCCCCCGGGCACCAGCCAGCCTGCTGCCAAGCGCAGCCGTCTGTTGCTATCCAGTGACGATGACAGTGATAGAGAGGGTGACACACCCCGGACCAGAGCCACCCAGGGGCAGTCCCAAGGTGAGATACACTCCCTCTAGAATATCAAAATTCTCCCTGCAAACTTTTATTTTAATCCCTGTTAGCTCAACATATTAGTGATAAAAATCTTAAAAGCCCGGCATTTTCAGGATTTTCTAGACCTCTGCTGCATCCATGATTTTGACCAAGCAACCGCTGTCACCTGACCCAGAGTTTCTGAGTTCGAGTCCAGCCTGGGGTTGTGGTGCGTGTGCCCTTGGGCAAGGCACTTTGTCACTCCTTGCTTCTCCCCACCCAGGAGCAGATGGGTACCTGTGAGGGCAGAGATGGTTATTGTGATTGATTTTAGCTGCTTTGCGCCGAAATGGCAGCATCAAGCTGAATACTCTGATTTTCTAGACCTCTGCTGCATCCATGATATTGGCTTCAGAAACTTTTATGTCAATATTGTTCTATGTTGTGTCCCATGAACATTACATCTTATAATATGAGATCATATTTAGATTAGGACTACCTGATAGAAATTCATAAAAAAGAAATCCAACAATCTCCCCTCTTTCTTTGGTTAATCATCACCTAGCACCAACAGACAGTCAGACAAACCCCTCCCTGCCGACCACGGATCTGGCCATGGATTCTGACTCCCAGGATTCAGACGATGACATGCCTCTACACAGGGTTGCTAGGCGACGCATCGTCGAGTCGGATAGTGATGAAGATTGATTGACGTTGGCTCACTCATAAAAGTGCTCTGCAAGTTTGATGCAGCAACTAAGTGTGACTGCACAATTCTTGAATTAATGGTTATTGAGAAAAGGAAATGAGCAGTGGGGAAAAATGTAAAGAAGCAAATTTCTCCATTCTTGTTTTCTTCTGTGCAGATGCGCGTAGTGAGAAACACTTTCAAGTTCCAAATTTCTTATGTTATTATTGTGGGTGCTCCACCATTAGAGTAACGGTTACCTAGTTCAAATTTCTTGTAAAAAGCACACCCCTAGTCCCTTTACCACAAAAATTAGCAGATATATTTCTTGTGGATTTGTGTTGGTGGAAGATCCCTATGATTTCATACTCGTACTTATTTGGCAGCAACTTTAGATGTTATTTTCCGAAGGCCTTCATGCCCAAGCTGGATGTTTCGCAAAACTCTAGAAACAAAAATGTTAAAAGTCTCTCCTACTGTCCATTTGTAAATGCTATAGCTTTTGCAACATGAGATGTTTTGTTCTTTCAGACTTTAGTGCAAACAGGGCCAAGTTCGGGCAAGGACCATTAGTCGACTAGTGGTTGATTTGTGACGTACCTTACGCCTGCGCACTAATAGCAACGTGCGAACGTCTCTGGTCGAACGCTGGTCAAAATGTCATTGCAAAACGTCTGGATCCTGGCTCCCTGCTGTACGTTATGAACGCGCGCGGCTATGGTTACCAGCGATGCAACCAGCCCCAGTAGGTTGGTTCCAAATAGTCGACTAGAGTAGTCAACCATCGTCGACTAGACAGAGTTCGGGCAAGCAATAGTCGACCAATGGTTAACTATAGTCCTTGCGCGAACTTGCCCCATGGTGCATCTGGATCACAATTAGTTTTGTTTCCTTGTCGAAGTACGGCAATTTCAAGTTAAAACAGAATTCCACAGCTGTACTTAACACATTGTATATTATAACTGTTCTTTTTGGCATTTGTCTTTGAAAACCAATACATGTATTTACCAAATTTACTAATTGAAAATGGTCTCTTTTTACTACTTAATTATGAATATGTGAAATGACTCATGTTTTTCTACAAAATTGTAATCCTGACGATTTTAATAAATGTTTATACATAAATATTAATGTGTGTAATACGTTTTCTATTTGTGTAATTTACTAGTTTTTAATATTGGTTTAAATTATTTATAGACTTTACGTAAAAAAAGATGGATTATTCAAATTTTACTGCACGATATAAAATATTTTTCTGTAATATTTCTGGTCCAATATTCCAAAAGGGAGAATTAATAATTCAATTCGTTTGATTACATGGGGTGGGGGGGGGGAGTGATGTCGAGAACCGAGCTACAAGAATAACCAAATAAAAAAAATACATGAAAATATGAAACAGAAAAATGGGCCCCCAAAACGCCTCTTTCTCCCCAAATATATTTCAAACGAAATTTCAATTTTAAAGTTTTTGCCGAAAAAAAATATTAAAATTGGGATACCTTGCATTTGTATCAAAATTGACAAAATGTGTAATTAAAGAGTTAGGCCTACAATAAGCAAATAATCTTGAATCTTTTTAAAAAGGATTAAATAAAATTTAACACTTGCAAATTAAAATTTAGGAAAACGTAGACCTGTAGGGCCATAATGGATACATTCTAGAAAATAAAGGTTAAAATGTCTTCGACAGAACCAAAGCCCTTCTAATAATTAATTTTCAAAAAATTGAATTATGAAAACGCCCTTTTAAATGTTCCTTTTTTAACCTTGCAAATGTGATTCAAAAACGCAATTGAAACAGATAAATTAATTAATGGCCTCCAGGCTAACTAGTGGCTCAATAGCCAATTTTGCCAAACCACTTTTCCAGATTCCTATTTCAAAATTTGTTTTTGTTTAATTTGCAAGGGAACAATATGTCACTTTTTTAATTAAAAAATTGAAGTAGCTTGAGAAAGTAGATGGATCATTCAGGACTCGCCATTTGTAACAACAGGCGTCGAGGGCTGTAGATTAATTAAAAAGCAAACTGACCCGCGAATGATATCGGAACTTCATTTCCACTTCACCCGGAGGACAGGAATATCTTAAAACATTGGGACCCATCTTTCCGTCTCTGTCAGCTGTTCACTTGATGGAAAACCTGTCGGTCCCAAACTCGAACCGTCAGGACGAAATTACGTCCGCTCACCTTGACAGTTGTGCCATTAAATTAAAGGTTGACGGATTAGAACAGGATGTTCAGGTGAATTGGACGTGAGGTATCGCACTTCACTGCGCGCTGGCTGGCATAATACGCCCGGCATAGGTTTATGCCCTCCCCCTCCAAGCTATTTTTATGCTCTGGCAGTAGCTTCGACCTGTCACTTGGTGGTCAGTCGGTCGGTCTGTCTGTCTATCCCCGCAAATTGACCTACAAAAATCGACCCAAAGTAAATGGACCAAAAATAATTGACCAAATACATTTGACCAAATGCCATGCCGTGGTCATAAAATGTACTCTTGCTGACAGTTTTCGGAACAGCGATTTGTTTCGATCGATACGCATTTTGTCTGTCCCCTAAAATTGACCAAAACAAGATCCGTAAGTTTTCCACAAAATGTAACAACCAAATTTTAATTTGAAAAAAAACCAGTAAAATAAATTAAATACTTAGACCTAACGAAAAATGTTTGTAGCTATTCGGAAAGATGATTATGAAAAGTTTGTAAATGGAGACAAAATATGTGCAGTATCTAAAATATGGTGTTCCATATTATGTGCTTTGGGCGTCGCATTTTTAAGCTCTGGCAGGGATCATTTTGACAGATTTCATGCAAGACGGCCAGAGCTTATTATGCATTCGCAGTTGTTTTTTTAATTTTATTCGGACTAGTGATGTCACAATTATAACCATTATACATGTAGCCATCAAGTACACATAGGCCTACCTTTTAGTTTTAAGGCATCTAGCTTCAAGGTTGGATCAAGAACCAAATTTTTGGAGTGCCAAGAGGGCTCGAGGTTTTTTTTTTCAAAAAGGGGAAGGGGTTGAGACTAGATGCAGTAGGATTCCAATAGGGATTCTGCTCAATGGCGCGAGATGGGACGAATGCGACTCGGACACGGTTGCCATCACTATTTTGCTTGGTTATTTCGGGTACATTATCGGCAACAAGCATTTCACATATGGATTGAAATAAGTTACGTGGCTGTGGTGAAATGTATTCGCGTCATTTCTAATGGTCCCTCGACTAATGGTCCCAATTTAAGAACTCCCTGTATTGATGGTCGTCCCGTGGAGATAATTATTCCGGTTTTTGACTCCTAATTCAATCATCATAATTGTGTAATCTCAAGTAGAAGGTCGCAACGCCATTTTTGCAACAAAGATTTCTGCTACACTTTCATAGCCCCGCGTCTAACGTGATCCCTTACGATGGTCTGAGATAAATACGTCATTTTTTTCTGATTGCTCACTTTAAATTCTTTCTTTATCTAATATATTATTACAGTCTTGACGCATTTTTTTTTATCATAACGCCAAGGTTACGGTGGCCCTTTGAAAAATGCCCCACAACTTTGAGATCCCAGCTTGAAAAGATAATGATCTGGGGGGTTCCTGCGTTGTCATTAAAACACCGTATAAATCACCATGTTTGGGGGAAGCTTCTGGCTTCACTCCATGCATCAAGCATGGAATCTGGAATGCAAATCATGTAGTTATTAGCTCGAACCAAACCAAGTTTAAGGAGCCCCCAGAGGGCAGCAGATCATGAACGATCAGGTGGTCTGGCTTATCAAGCCCGTTACGCATGGTAAGCTCTATCAATATATTCATGTGATTTCTCCGAATGAAATACAACATTTCATGATTTACAGGCCAATTAGCGAAGGCAGAATGTAAAACGACCTTCACATTTCTTTCACGCATCGGCAATCTCAATGTTTGTTTTTACATTTGTCAGAGCTGTGTAGATTAAAGATTCTGAATATTTCAAATCGCCAACGTTAACGGTCTGGTGTACTTCAGTCTAGGGTTAATTAGGTGCCCTTCCGTGTCTTTCCAACCCGGCTTGGCGATCGCTCGTTCAAGCTAGTGATGGTAGACGAGGCGTTGATGTCAATCACCGCGTCGCCCAAAGAAGTTCCCAGCGTTGATGCGATCGATGCACGCAGGAACTCCGCTCCGTGCACCCTGCTAGTTGCTTCGCTCATTCGCTGATGCATCCCCTCGTTAACGTTCTCATGCGCTGCGTCATTTAAGTTCATCAGCACTTTCCGTATAGGCATAAAGGTCCATGCCCACTTGAATTCTTATTCATGCAGCCACCAAATTATCTTCCTATTAATGACTTCTCAGATCATGAGGCATGATTATGACCTCATTATTCACAATCGTTCCGGCAGATTGCAAATTGCGAAGTGAAAACATGCTTGTTAACTTTGCGGTTTGGACCTAGGCCGATGATTATCAATTATTTTTTAAACCAAGGATTCCTCACATGGGCGTAGAGAGGGGGTGGGGGAAGGGGGGGCACTCCCCCCCCCCCCCCCGAAAACGGAAAAAAATGGAAAAGGGGGTGGGGGCAAGGAAAAGAGGTGCTAAGCCATATTGCTGTTAATTTGAATGGGAGGGGGGTAGGGCAAATGCTCCCCTGCTCACATCACGCTCGGAAAAATGATAAATTTTGAATATAATGAAAATGTTAAGGAATTTTTGGAAAAAATTGCTCTGCCCCCCGCCCCCGAACAAATCCTGGCGACGCCCATGATTCCTCACACTGCTCGCAAGCCAGAAGAGACATGTAGAGAGAAGACATATGAGAAGAAATTACAGTTTTAGAGGTGGGGGGACCGGGAAGATAACCCAAGAAGACCGAAACCCCAATCCACATATTGGCCTAGGTGGGATTCGAACCTTGGTCACAGCGGTGGAAGTCGAGGAAAGTAGGCCTACGCTACGCCAACTTGAATGCCCATTTTGTGACGTCATTATACGATTTTGACGATTTATACTACGGGTGTTTTCCCATAGAGGTATAAAGACGATTCATAAGAACAAGCCAGTAAACTCAGATCACGTATAAGAAAAGACTGGTACGGACCCTTTACGTACTTGTTAGCCAGCAGGCAAATATCGATCCAATTTTATCTGCTATCTTGTTGACTATAAAGTACAACCGGCGAATGGCCTCGACAACGAACTCTGACGTCATTAGTAATATTGATCGATTCGTAATTCTTATAATGGATCTCACATTATGATAATGTTGTCACTAATTGCATTTTCATTCATCCCTCAAATGCAACAGTTACTTCTATTCACCCGTGGGTAAAAGTAGAAGTTAAAGATGTATGTATATGGAGATAATGCAAAAAAGTAAAACTGCTGCAAACTGCTTACTGACTGGATGGACCTGAAATATATAAATCTTAGAATTAATGTGGCCTGACGTTGCGAACTTAGCAAGTTCTTCTTCAGAGGCTAAAACAGAATCATATCTCATATGGAGATTAGAATCTCATATGGAGATTAGTCAGAAATCTTAAAAATACAGTATTATGGGGAAATTCAAGAAAGATAGAAAAACAACATTATTGAATATAGTTGTTAAGCCCAGGCTTTTGATTGGCAGCTACGCGGTTGTCGATCACATCAAGCTGCGAGCGCCAGTGGTTGACTGTTGCCTGCGCGTGATCGTGTTGAATGCAGTGGTTGGGTGTTCGTTCAGTCGCGTCCACATAGGCGTCGGCACGTACATGTACATGTCACTCACGTGCATGCGAGCACATGGCACTGTTGAATTGCGCGGGAAAGGTTTCGTCTGCACCGAGTAGAGCTTTCAATCAGGGGAACAGTGGTAATAAGCGAGCCATGGCTACAAGAACGTGGATTTTATATGCTGTCATCCTGTGGACCTCGGACAAATCCAGGTAGGTGTTCTCATACACGAAATGAAACAGTGTTTGTTGCAATCTGAACCATTCTGAGCACACATCACAGTAGGCCAACATGCATGGAGTCCCCTTCAGTGGCGAAAGCATTGTACCAGTTAATTATACAAAGCAACTGCCCAATCTGAACAATAGCCGGGGGCCTCCATGGTGCAGTCAACGTGCTGGGATAGGTCTATACCTTTAATTACTAAAAGGACATGAAGCAAATCAAGTATAGTATTCCAAGGCGATTCGTATAATTATCTGATAATGTCGATAAGCTTGAAATCTAGACAACTGTATTCAGAACCGCCCGGTATTGGAAACATTTGTAAGAATATATTTCGATTGTATAACGGTTTCATCTTTCCTTGGGCGGGGGATTTGTTCAATGGCCTTCTCGGTAAAATACTTGGCACAGCACAATACAGTTATGGCATGTGGGTCTAGCAGCTAAATTTCTGAAATAGAATTTAGTAGCTAAGTATATTCGGTTTTGGAAAACTACAACGCCATCTCTGATGGTCACTTTGGAAATGCTAAGTACGATAGGCCTACTTCATGTTGGTAGCCTACACAGCGTTCAACATCAATCATAATTGCTCATGATCACACTAGTGCCAAATGCCATGGGCGATAGTAAAAACAAAACCCGAAGATGGCACTGAGGTTAATTGGATACATACATGCACGCTATTGGCGGAGTGTGATGACCGACCAGACCACATCATCGCATTATTATACACGAAGAAGAAACTTGAACCCCTAATGACCACAGCGCACCTCGGCACACAGCGCAGATATTTATTAATCGGTTCACTAAATGTTGGTGAGTCTCCTATCTGCATGCATACGTTATAAAGCATGTCGGACATCATTCAAACTGGAAGGATTAAAAAATACCGATAATTCCAGAGTCCATTTTTAAAGTGCGATCCATCATGTGGAGCCATCAAGTCAGTTAATTTTTGACAATGATATTTCATCGTATTAGTAAGGGATAACCTTTTATCAGGGAGTGCCATCTGGGTTGATAAGAATGCATTGGCTTCCCACTTAGTTTTTGTGTGGTTACGGCTCTTGGTTTATTTAGAAACCCATCGACAAAATTACGAATATTTATCCCGTGAAATATCTCCCTATCATCGTTAACCCAAAGATGGATAGTTGAACCTATAACCTTATACTGTTAACCTAAACAGGTTCGCAGGAATTACTCAAGCAATCGGAGATTAGACGACAAAATGCACTTTATTTTGAACCGTCCTTAAAAATAGTGGTGTAGGCCTATTATTTTATAACTAATCCTTGACCGACATCCCCAAGATTATAAAGTACAGCATTGGAAGGGTTTCTCGAAGAACAAAAAACTCGGAGAAAATCACGGGTACAGAGTTACCCTGCAACATGTCTATTATGTTCCTGTAATTGGGGCGGACAGATGATTATAAATGACCCCTCATACTCGGTAATAGCAGTAACCCGGACTACGTACAATCATAGGTTCGAGCACTTTTTCCTATGGTGACACACCTTTAGTGTGAAGTCCATTTTACTTAAGAGCATTATTTACCAACTGCAATTCATAGACTTAATTTCATACCAATGATTGCCTATTGAAAAACGCACGTTGAAAATTGAATTGCAAATAGCACATCTGGATAACAGCGCTGTATCAAATTCCACTAATGCCCTGGCTTAGGCCTATAAGTATGGTAAAGCAACCGCCTCCGTAGACATGCCTTTATCCCTTGACGAAATGCACATTTGAATGCAGGATCTTCTCAGTTGACTTGTAGTGCGTAAATGAAACGTTCTTTGGATTTACTCGTGGAGTTTTGAAGATGAATAAATGCCATGTTTATGAATCACTGAATGCTCCGAGTAGATTCTAAGGTCTGAATAAGTACTGCTGTTCGCTATTATCGGGTAGGGGCCTACATTCCAAAATATGATACGAGTGGGGCGCCGTGGCCTCGTGGTCTGGAGCATAATATTATAACATGGTCTGCCGATAATTTTGCAGGTTGTGGGTTCGAGTCCAACCTGGGGTTGTGGTGCGTGTGCCCTTGGATTGGGCAAGACACTTTGTCACTCGTTGCTTTTCTTTAAGAAGGAGTAAATGGATACACGCGAGGGCATAGATGGTTAATTGTGACTGATTTTACCTGCTTAATATTGCGCCGAAATGGCAGCGTCGAGCTGTGTACTCCCAAGGGAGCTGAGATTGTCTTTGGAATGCTTCATTGGCTGAATGATCAGGGGTAATAGTAACGTAGAGCACTCTATTCTTAATTAAAGCGCTATATAAGGATTCAGTAGTATTAGTAACACCTACACCGTTGCCCTTTTGCCCAGCCTCGTAACAATAATACTGAATTGCTGCCTATCTTTTGGAATTTGCCATGCCAGTCGAACGCATCTGAAAAACCAACATGATTTGCGGTCCTCGTTTTGTTAGATACACATATTACACATTTTGTATCTTTCATCGTTGGTATAACAAGGCATTTATGTCGTTAGAGATGGGAGAGTTGACAGACCGTTGTCCTTGATGATAACCAGATCGGCCTGTCCAGGTAACCTGGCATTCTTGGTGGATGGTACGACATGTGAAGCCATCTTAATGTTCTTCATTATCACTCAACCCAAATACCAACAATCCATGGAGAATTTTTATCTACGCCCTTTGCAGATGTGGGTCACTTGATGAACCAACATTCCGAATGACCAGGGACGGTGTTACGATGTAAATGATCGAGCGGGGCAGAGCAGAGGAAAACGGCGAGTTTTTTTTCGAAACAACAAACAGTCCTCAGTGGACCGCGAGATCTCGCGCTTGCTGCGAACATTCTTGTCATTTTCCCTGCATCAATAGGACGATCACGACGAAGATTACATCCATATCATCAAGGTGCCATTGTGTCTCTTTCTTGCGAGCCTCGCTGCAGTCTCCAGAGATCATGTATTCAAAAATATGCGTAGCTTTAAAGTGTGGATCCAAAGTTAGATTCAGGTTGGGCTACACATTTAATGCAGCAACTCTTCCAATGCATAATGATCAGAGCCACTGAACTATAGTATAATATTATAATGCTACAAATTAGTATTGATGAATTTGTACGTACAACACAAGTGAAATGTCACGTCTGATGATTTTTATTGAACAATCGGCTCCGGGTCTCGCATGACATATGGCTGTATCACACGAATGTTGGACTAACCTTACGATGACAAATTTGCAGAGTTGTCTTATGGGAACACAGCTGACCGAACTCACACTGTACATAATTCATCAACATTCCAGATCGGGCATTTAATTAACCTTCACGGAAGAATTGCTCCATGAATGGAGATACATACACCGTTACATGCAATTAATGACAGAGAAGAACGTTTATTGCAAACGAAAACTTTAATAAATTATTTTGACAATAATAGCCAACACTTGCCCGTATATTTCTTGTTCCGTTAATGGAAAGGATTATCAAGTTTCTATCGTCATAATACAAACCTACTCTGATAAATGCAAAAACTATACACTTTTTTTTTTTACATACATGTACTTTGTTCAAAATTGAGATCTTATGTCGATTTTCAGTCGCCGGCCAAACGGCTCGACACACCTCCAAAACGCCATGCATATCTGTAATACGCCATGCTGTTTAATACTTTTGGGGACATCGACAGGAATATTCGAATTATTAGTCATGGAAAAAAGAAGTTTCTGGATCCGTAGTCCAATGAAATGTACAAACGCCGAGGGGAAGTGCGTGTTCTATTCCTCCTCTTTAACAGATGTTAAAGTTCAACCAAAGTGTAAATCTCAACAGACTGGTCGATTTTGAATAAAATATGCCGCGTGGAGACAATATGTTACGTTCAAGAATAAGACATGTCGTCCAAAATGTACATTGACTCTAATGTATTAAAACAGTCCCCATGCAGGACGTATAAGAACAGTTTGATGATTTCCCTTTAATGAGTAGCTCGAAAACAATCAGTCTTAATTGGCAATATAGTAGGTACCCGTGGTTCTCACTTAATATTGTTTAATATTGCCATCAATTAAGACTTAATATTACAGCATAATTAAGCCGTAATTTGCAGCATGATGACACGACGATACATGTTGAGTTGATTTCCCAACTGAATTGAATATGTGATGGACGAGCCCGCATGCCAATAACTCTGGATAATGAAAAGAATTGATAATTGATGGAATAGTTTCTAATTACAACCTTTCAATAAATGCCTTCAGTGACGTCCTTAAAAACGAAAGAATATTACCGCACCGAATGTCAACTAACCATTCGATATTCAAACAGCCATTCAGTGCACGACCTCCTCATGCAATGCAATTACACGAGCCAAATGCCAATAAAGACAAAATATGTCGCTTTATTTGCCGTAACGCCGCGTTCACAAAAAACCGGCTCTTCTACAACATATGGATGTACATTAAAATGAAAGCCCAATGAAAATGTACAAACCGACTAATGAGATGTTATAGATATCTTGCAAACTCGCAAGATCTGTAGCGTTAAGCCTAACATAAAGGAAGGTAGTGAGCCTCCCTTATATAATATGAGTTTCAGGAAGGAACGATTACAACTGCCATTTCTTTTATAAGGAGACAATGAGGAAGATCTGCAATGGTTCAGCCTCGTCTCTTATTTGAAATTACCGAGGGACTGTGGATGAAGGACAACCAAGCAGAAGATCCCCGCGTGTGTTTCTTTAGTGATAATCATAACTCTGCGGGTTTTACAGCCAATGAAATCCTATACACGAATTCATACGATAGGTATGCTCCTAAGGTGACATTTTCAAATTACTTTATACAAGAAAGATTTATTATGATGAAAACATTGTTAAAACGTGGAAGTTACATTATGCTTGCATGGCCGCTGTATAAATTGAAGTTCCAAAGTGCAACAAGGAAAGAAGTCAACCATCCTGTCATATTCGATTTTTTTTTTTACAGTTCAATTCAAACAAGTGTCGCGGCGGGTAAATCGAAGAACGTCTTTATTAAGAGAGCTGTGAAATTGGCGCGGAAACGCATCCAAGCAGACTAGTTCCTCCAAATATGAAATTACACACTTGGGCATTATTGATACTACACAAGCCGTAACGGCATTGACCCCCAACGGCCAGTAGGCCTACACAATAAAGACACGAACGGTGCCTTTTAACGTAATTACAAGGCTGTATCTCGGAGGCAACCCAGTTCTTCGAGGTCGAGTAATCGATATTAACCCTTACAAGTGCTTCGCACGCGTTCCATTCCCCATTTATCTATTTTGTAAGGTCCTAGGTGCAATCGTTTTTAGGGAAGTGTGGAATCACCCTGGGGATATTGACTGGTGTCCCTGGCGGACACTTCTCCTTGCCTTCGTAATTGCTCAGTTTGGGCTTAGGACGCAACAAGCGCCATTGTTGTGCATCGAAATCGAGAGACCTAAATGCATTTTTGAGCCCTAAATGTAGAAAAAAAATTCAATGTTGTCGCAATACTCGTAATCAGTGTTCACTCTAAATTGTCCCTGATCAGATTTCACTTTTCTACGGCTGGTCAAAATGATACTTTGCTACGGTTAACCGTTTCGCATTCTGCGGACGTGCAAGAAACAACATGTATTGGTAATGTGTGTATTTATGTACCACACACGCACAACGTATACGCTGCATTCAATAGACATGCACTACTTGAAATGCGTATGGGTTTGCCACAAAGTGTCTGTCGCGTCCGATGTAAACAACCGGGTTTGTTCGTCTTTTCTCGGGCGCCGACAGACAATTACAACACGACTGTCCAGTGACTTGTCCACAAGTCATGGAGCCTCGCGCCTGTACCTAAATATTATAGTACCTTTAATAGTACTGTAATCATTGTAACCCCAGATCAAAATGTTCGAAAATAACATGTCATGGAATAAGCAAACATGTTAAGAATTCCATGGATAACTCCAACCACAACCTTACAACTATACTGTCAGTTTGTCACGGAAATTTGATCGAGCAACACAAAGGTGAAATGTCCGACAATACTTCGCAATCCAAGGTTGAAAACTGAATACAACCGTCCCTCGTTTTCACGGCATTTGCAACACCTTTTTTTTTTTTGGTTTTAAATCATTCAACAGCTGGGACGTGACTGCTCGAGGCGCGCGACTGCTCAATCTCACACTCACGAACGGACAGCTTAATCGTGCGCACGGAGACTGTAATGTCTATAAATACATTATTTATGAAATGCATACTAGTTAATTTAAAAGTAATGAATTTAAAGGAACTCTACATCACCAACGATTTTAAAATGTGTATCAAAGCTTACACGTTGGAATTTCAAAGGTGTAAATTTAGCAACAACTGTGAAAGTTCGAACTCAACACAGGTGCTGGATTTTTGAAGATAACTGCCAACATAAGCTTTAATATTTAAGACCTGAGTTTGTGGCATGTTTAATACAAAAACAATTCTCTGAACTATACAGACTTGAGGAATCCTTAAAACTGATTTTATATAAAAAAAAAAAGGTCAATTTAGCTAAGTGATTTTTTTCTACAAAGTAAGAGGCGTTTGGAAAATTGGTTTGTCCGATCTTACAATGAGCCTATTTTCCCGGAATTTTCGTCAGGATTTTTTATTGGGTCTCCAAGCTTTAAGGGCAGAGTAAATGGCAAACACAAATGAGTTGCAAATCAGGTAGTAGTAATATCCATTTGTCATATCCTCTAATGGGTCACGGTGGATGATTTTATACTAATTGCATTTTATCTACGACACCCAAACTCGGTTGAAAAAGAGTTATTTTCTGCACTGTAGAACTCATCGTGTATCAAACTACATTGTATATATTACAAGGGTCAATAAATTAAGAAATCGAGCCCTTTTTTTAAGTAAAACTGCTTTTTTTTTCTCAGCCAAAGATATATCAAGTACGTTATTTATTACAAGTTTTACCACAAATGTCCCGCTGCTAGCGTGCTTTACTTTGTGTTACACGTTGAAAAGAAATCATGGGATGTATCACTGAACAAACTTGGATGTACTACGGGTATTATACTCCGCTCTGTTCACCATGGAAGTATAATTTTTTGGACAACTGGGACAATAAAGATCCGTGACCTTTCGGACAATTACAATTTAAAAAGGAGCGGAGTGGCAACATTGAACACTGGATGGCGCTGTTCAGGGGGTATAAATGTCCTCCCCAACTCCCACCACGGATCTTTTACCCCATACACCATTCCGATTTTGAAATTATGGTGACGATTGTGGTAGGCATTGCAGGGACGCTTCTATGCCTGAGCGCCCATCACATGTGTATTTTGTAAAGCTTTGTCACTAAAAGACGGCACATTGTACGAAATACCAAAGCGAGATAGGGCGCGTCCCAGTAATGATAAAAAGTTGCCCCGGTAGACTTAAACAAAAATGAGCAAGTCGGATTGGTCTATATCCTCCACACATTTCCGTATAGGCCTACATGCAGTCAACCCCGTCGAACTACTACGATTCGTCAGGTCGAGATCTGTTAAATTAACCATATCACATTCCTGCATTGCACTGCAGAAATTCCATCATCCCAAATGATGTTCCTAACGATCACAACTCATTCATTCATGTTATTCTTCACACTTATGTTCCCCGGACATCCTTCAACGTGTTAAAAAACGGGAGAGAAAACGCGTAAATGAGTGTGCTCGGCTACCTATCATAACGCCCGAGTGGGCCTAGGTTGGCGGTGATTGCCGCCGATGAAATGAGGCGAGACACGGCGAGAAATGACCCATGGAACGGCTACCGTCGGCGGAGTAAGGGAGCACTTGTCATAAAAGAAAGTCACTGCGCGTTGATAACTTAATGACTAAATATACCCAACAAGTTTTGTTCTGACTCCTTCGTTATTAAGATTTCATAAGTTGATGACCAAATTGCTTAGGTTATGTACAGTTTCTTGGAAATTCATGTCGGCAAATATATTCACATCGCACTTTCCATTTTGCCATCCTGGCAAATCGTACAGGTTTTGTGGACAGGCAGCCAGGAAGTGACTGAGAAATTCCCGCTTCATTTACTGCTTAACATTGAGCGGAACAGTGTATATTTAAACCCGGGGAATATTGCGGTTTAAAGGCTTAAGTAATTGATTTTTTTAGTGAAAGGACATGACCTTCTGGATCATTGCCCGCTGAAAGATTCAACAAAATAGTATCAGTTTTATAGCGATATTAAGAAGCCATTTCAGCCATTAGATTGGTATTATGCTCATATAGCTATTCCGAATACCGATTCTCCATCATTAGGGACAGTACATCGGTCGTCCAATATGCCAAGAGGTAGTATGCTGACAGCAAATAGTCGCCATCTAGTCTAACAGTGGAACTGAACGCGGCCATACTAATTCACACCAGGGGAGCAGTAAAACAAGAATTGTAGCTACCGCAGGTATACCGCTTTCCCATTTACTGGGTTCAATTGTCGAGGATGATATGCACTTCCACCCGAACGATGCTCCACGGAGACCTCTTGAGCCGTCATTGATGGCAGGTGATGTCCGGTAATTGCCGATCCAATCCCGGACGCTATACCGTCTACAATGCCAAACATTGCTTCCTCAATTTCAAAGATGCCCCCCCCCCACCCAGCAGAGATTAGGGAAGAGATTTAACCGAAGTCTCACAATATTGCTTTCCACGACCTGCCTGGTGATTTAAGTGGAGAATCCCTGTCGAGCCCCAAAGCTAAGTGCAATGTTAATTTTGGGAACGGGAACTGTAAAGCTATAGTGACATGTTACCTGTGTGTACTTTGCTAATGTCAATACTTTGCGAGCGCTTCTTATTATTGGCTATTCGAGCGAATATCCCCCGGCTTGTATCAAATTTCGACATTTATTTGCGCCGATTCTGAAACCTGAAGAGACTCACTCCCGGTGTCACGTGAATTATCAACCTGTGTGAAATCCGACCCCTCTGCCTTCTGGAAACTCAAACTCACAAGTTGGCCTAGCTGTTGCGTTGTTCTTTGCACCGAGACATGCGCAATACGTTGATTGAGTCCGTCTTCCATGTAGCCCAAAATCCACACGACACCAGTACTGAATCCATATAAATAATTACACGTTTCAATTTTTGATATGCTTTTCCAAAAAAAAAAATCAACTGCGGCACAAAAAATATCAAGGTTCGTTGAGCAAATGTGTCCTTGGAAAAATCATGAACAAATGGTGAGCAAACTAATCGCATTGTAACAGAATATGTCGCACACATACCGTACTTATTGACATTATCAAATTTTGTTTTTGTTAAAAGGTGTATTAAACTTGGTAAAAACAAATTGACTAACTGCAACATCAACACATCAGACATCAGAATATCCCATTGTTTGATCAGTCAAAGACAGTCAAAATATCTTCCACTTCCTCTGCCATGCATTATATTAGGGCCTATAGACTAGTACAAAACAAGTCCGAGCACATTCGTGTTAACACTGTGATTAGTCAAATTCCATCAACAGACAAAAAGGTAACTGGTAGGTATACATCTTATCAATCACCTCCAGTGAAATTCTTAACAGTTAAAAACAGTCACTTGATTGATTTTGACTGCTGTGATGGCGTAGCTGAATTTGTCTGCCAGAGAGGGCGGGTTTTGTACACTTTAGTTTATTAACTTGATTATCAATCATAACATCTGATCATTTCTTGCTTCTTTGTTTCTTTCCATTAGAGTCTGTGGCCAACTCTTGTCTGGTAGAGTCGCTGACGACTATGAGCCAAGTATACGACCCAATACCACCGGTAGGTAAAAGGCTCTTTTTCCCCCGAATGTGTTTTCATATTAAACGAAGAATATGTTTATGGCATTTACTGATTGATATCAAATTATTTTTGTCAACACATCTCAGCGACTGACATAATGATATGCAAACAATAGCAACATGCATGGATGATATTCAAAACTTGAGAGTCAAAAATATGAGGAATGAGGCACCGCCCAACCTCACGAACATTAACGAAATTACCGAACCTATCCGATTCTTTCCCAACTCTGCCGAGGAAAGGTAAGCCAACTTGATCTTTGCCAAACAACTAAGTAAAAAAATAAAAGTACCAAAAATGCAATCCAACCGAATCCCAAAGAAAATAATACCAGGTCCCCAATACCGCCAACCTGACTAAATGACGGAAAACCAACCCACACAATTAAGCCAACTGTATTGCACCAAACCTGATCTAGCAACGGATGCAATCTATTTCCATGTTCATTAATTTTGAGCAACCACTACCCAAACATCCCAATCTAACACAGAATAGAACGGCGTACCTTACGACAACATCGAATTCAAAAGATACCTGAGTGTTTAATAAAGTTGTCAATACCTCAATGCGAGGCCGATGTAATTGAGACGACGCGGATGAAGTGAAGACGGTCTTCGCTGTTTACTCATAAAACATCCTCCATCTGTCATTCAGGTCAAACTGACCCAGCTTTTTTCCCCTTCATTAACCAATGTACTTGTTTAATGAACGTACTATACCTGTAGGCAAGGGAGCGCGTGTAAGCATAATTGTATAGCCACCCAGAAACGAACCTACCTTTTTATTGAGCGAAACGTCACTCAAGGACTGGTATATACTTAAAAAAAAACGCTGACAAATTATTCCACCTGAAATGGTCTACCGTTTGGAAGACACCTCATTAAATATGGTTTATGAAAATGTGCCCCCAGGCACACTTTTTTTTAAAATGATTTGGCAATGGCCCCCCAATAATTGTGCATAATGTTTTTCCTTATTTTCTACAAATATATAGTAGCTGTATAAAATGAGCTAAAATGAGCTACACTTCCACATGATTAAGATTTTGAGCCATTGCTGCTTTAAACGAACTTTAAAAAATGCACAAATAGTATGTGATCATAGGTCTTTGTACCTTTAATTACAATAATAACAATGGTCACGTAATGTTCAACGAGGACATTTTATTACTGGCAAAAAGGTTTGCTATAGTTTGCTCGTGTGTCAAACGGTCAGTGCATGCATGATCCGAAACACCGAACGTGCCAAAAAAAAACAGCATTATACAGAAACATATTTCCACGTAGTGCATTTCTCGTCTGACTTCATAACAAAGAATAATAGTCTTGGACCCAATTACGCACTGCGAATATTTTTTGTGTGACCTGCAGCTTTATTAGTTGGATTCTAAAAACCAATTAATGTGTGAGATTGACAACATTATTGTGACCTTCGTTTAATAAAATGTGTTTTGTTTGGCGATGGAGATTCATATTTCAGTGTTTAATTGAATTTTGCTTCTTGCTGGTACACATGGCTCATGTTAGTTTCGCCTGTCCGAGGTTAATTGTGGGGGGGGGGGGGGAATAGTAGGCTTTACTTCCATTTTTGGAACGAAATCATAAACAATCACATCAAACAAACAAAAGGCAACATTATGGTGGATTACGAAGTCATTCCCTCATTTCTTCTAAAAGGGATTAAAAAAAATTAATGTACACACCCTAAACTAAGTGTTGTTTTCTTGCTATTATTTTTGAATGTTTTTTCTTATCTTTGAATTCCAAATCTATTCTGTATTTGCTACAATGGCGATGCCGTTTTTTCTTTTCTATTGGGCCTACACATCTACGTAAATGTCACATGAAATTGTAGGCTGGTACCGAATTCAATGCATGTGCGTCAACTATTCCTTACCGTCAGGGAACCAAGCAGGTGAAAATGGTGGTATGCTTTTAGCGAACCGATAAACACCATCTGTATATTTGCTTCTACAAAATAGACATGTATCTATATCTAGTCGGCAATTATTGGTATTTTACGACATATTTTCCGGTGCCTGGGCGACTGCAGGCGGCTTTTGAAAATCTCATAAAACAAGGCAAGTTGAAAGCGCCATAAAACAGTTGGAGTCGTCTGTTGCCTCCGGCAATTTTGATGGGCCAGTAAAAGAATTGTATAGTTGAGATATACGCATTGTGCTATTGTTAAAAATAGGAATGGTGTATATACGTGTAGATGTAAAATACGTGTAACCTGATTTTTTTTTTATTTCCATGCAAAAACCAGACTGATACCCTGCAATATTTGAGTTCCCAGGGTTAATATTTCTATAACAACGATAAACCGAAGTAACTTTCGTGATTCTTCCTGGACAACACCTAAACATGACAAACAAATATCATGCGCTACCTTTTATTTGAATCTATTCGATTGATTGAAATATATAGGCCTATATATAACAAATTAAAAAAAAACCTGTTCTTGCAAAGTAGTACACGTAATTGTATAGCCATCAACTGAAATACGTATTTCGTGAGCGGCAGAGATCCTATTTTCGGAGTATATTCCGACTGACCTTGTAGATAGACTTGTAATACATCAACAATGCAACACTCTCGCACTAAAGATGTTTGAAACCGGCGGAGGTATTCTTATTACCCTGCAATATTATTAAGCTTGAGTAGCTGTACAAGCGAGGACAACAGGATGCTGTTTGCTCGATCTGAGATATCTGAGATGGAGTGTCCGAGAGAGGGGACGGGCCTTTCTGGACACCTCATTTTTCAGGCTTAGAAGCGACGAGGCGAGTGACATGGCTTGACAGGTGCCATCCCGAGGCTGATCAAGGATGTCGTATCCTGATAAATCTCTAACAGGAATTTAGGCTACAACAAAATAAAGACCGGGAAAATCATATATCAACCCACATGAAGATAAAATGTTATACACGTTCGTTGCAGGAGAATAATCTTGCGCAATTTCATGTCTTTGTTTAAATGTGCCCTTGTATTGTGTTACTCATTATTGCTATATTTTGTAACTGAAATTATGGTATTCGTTTACTGATGTAAAACAATTTTAAACAAACATACTCTTTGAGAACTGGCGTGGAGAATGGAGTGATTGTTCAATCCACGGCCCTCCCAAAAAGGCATAGCCTACATAAACCAAACACACACATACTCGAAATAGGAATTTGAGGAAAGAGAAAATACAAAACCAACCACCGAAGTAACTTTTATAAACAGTCAGGAAAGGTTTTCGTCCGTTAACCGCCCCCCCCCTTTAAAGATTTAATGTAACACTTTTGACTCTCAACATTTCTGCCTACTAGGCCCGAGAGACAAGACGTTCCTTTACAGAATTGCAGCCTTTACTAAGCAATTTTCCAGCAGACGACGTATAAAATTAATGACTATACAATAATTGTTACAACCATAGTGTTCAGGGCATGCCGGCACAAAAATGACTGTTTTCTGTCTGCACTCACAAAACAGTAATGATTCGCTCCCAGACAAAAAAAAAACATTCGTTAGAGCGAGAATAAAGTTCCTGGTCAAAAATAAGTGCCCAAACCCATTTTTTTTTAAATGCCATTGCATTTTAGTTTATGAAAATTCGTACTGATATTTAAACATTATTTTCTTAGAGAAATGACGTAAAGCGCTTGTCCAAATCCCCCCCCCCAGAAATTTGAGAAAGAAAAGAAAAGAAAAAAACAGAAGACAACAGAAGCAACTATTTAAACAGATCTTCTAAGATTTTTCTTCCAGTAACACTTCCTTTTATATAATAAGTGTTCTTGTGCAACGCTCTTTAACATGCGTCTTTGTGCACGCTATCGCGGAACTGGTACAGCGATTAGGGGAAAAATGTTCCTTCCGGCACAGATAAAGAGGCATGTACTATCAACCGTTCACGACTGTACTATAAACAACCTTACCTCCCTACATGTTGTATATTGCTAGCGTGTGATGAAAGAAACATCAAAACAATGTTCAGTGCATGCCGGCACAAATTGAGATCTGCATTCCTCGATTTCTAGAAAACCTCATGCTCCGCGCCACATTCGTAACTACTCAAAACATTAGTGACTCTTCGTCCGGACTGCAAGAGAAAAAAACGAGTACTTATCGTCAGAGCGAGAAAAAAAAAAGTTCGCGGACGGAAATCAGTGCACCCGAGTGGTTTTTGTGTTTGCATAGACGAGACACATTTGTGCCAGCGTGCGCGCAAGTGAATCGATCAACAACGGAACGTTTTTAGGAACGACAGGGGGGAAATCTCAGACAACTTGGAAGTCTTTTTAATGTGGCAATTCGCGTTTAGCATGCATGAGCATGGTTTACCGATGATGCGAGAGATTTCCCTTGAAGGCACACAGACCCCGCGCGGTGAGATGGATTCTTACGATTGCACACTAGATGCATGTTTGCTGTGATGGTTGATATGAAAAAGTAAAGATATTATAGGATCGTTAAGTTTGCTGTCCAAGCATTTTGTTTGTTTCAAGTCGTAACACCCTCAAGAAGAATGTTGAAAACCTTACCTGTCGAAGGTTCAGCTCAGTGGATATTACCCTTTTTGAGAAAACTGGGAATATGCATCTAAATTTTTCACAACGCAAAAGCATAGGTTTCATTTTCAAATGATGATTTCTTCGTCTTTTCTTGAAAATGACAGCAGCGAAACGATTTCAAAGGACGTTTGATCATATTTTTTACGTACCATCAAGTAGAATATTTCATAATATTTGGGCAGTTTCATTTTAGACATTTTGCAAAATGATCCAGTATATGCCTTTAAGGAGTAAAAAGTAGGGCTTTCGCAGGAGGACAGAACACACAGCTAATGGACACAGTGATAGCAAACCTACATGGGGGCATTAGTTCTATGTCGTCTTGACATTCCCTCTACCCTCTCACGCCAATGCAATACGGGTAGCTCGAAATAAGGCTGACAAGTCGCATGTTCCAAATTAGGCCGTGTTTGCAATTGGGTTTTTTTTCCTCTGACACGAGTTACCCTGGGTTTTTCTTTTATACAGTGGTGCCTCAGAAAAGGAAACACAAACCAGATCGCTGGCACCAAATCAACGTTGCTGAGAATTTTTTTAAAAATTTCCCAGCGTGTTTTAGAAACCTCTCTGGACTGTCCACGTTGCCAAAACGGTCGTATGACTGGTATTTGAGATTAGCTCATGGCTGTTCGTGGATTAGGGGTTTTTTTTACTGTGGAATTTTGTTTTGCTAAAATTTTGCTTTTCCATATATACAGTTAAACTGATCACAGAGCACACAAACCTCTATTCAATCGATTCACATGGACTATTCACTTGAGGTCTTTTTGTGCATGTACCGTCCACAATGGGCCAGATTCAGCCCATTACGGGTAATCCTATACGATAGCACTGCCCAGATCTCTTTACCACCCAAACACCAGGCTAAGTCACAAATGACAGTCAGCTAGTGAGTCAGTCAATCATTGATCCGTCAGGTGTACGTACTTTATACACTGGCTCGCTGGGGCCAGCAAACTCATCTAAAGATAGCATGGATACGTGAGTCTCCTCCTCTGCACTGAATAGAATTGTGCATTCCTATTGTTAGCTGTAAAGTGATCGCCAATGCAGGAAGTTTCGTGACTGACCGTCCAGGTATCGAATTGGTCTAGTAACCAGATACCTGATTTAGTCTGCGAGTCACACGGAACACACACAATGCTGCGCTTCCAAGTTAGCGTTTGCTCTATTTCCGATGGCAAGGTAAAACCTGTGTATAAAAATGAATCATGGATATCTTGGAAAAGCACAGCGAAGTCGCCTGGTGCTTATATCTGGAAACTAGGCCAGCTATGCACACATGTTAATGCAGTCTAGGTACAAAAAAACAAAAAACTTTCAAGGCTTTTGGCGTTGTTGATGCATTAAATGCACCGTGAACGTGACATCAAACACTGCTGTTTTTATTGGGTAGCAAGGAGGCAGTCATGCTAAAAACTTCATCTGAATGTGACTGTTGTGACAGTCGAAGCTTTATAAGCCAAAGAAGACTCTTGGACGCGGAATACATTGTTTTTCATTTCCACATTTTCAGCGCAATAAGTCTATAAGAAGCAGTCGACAAGGGCAAGTTGCTATTCTTAGATTAGGTTGTATTTCGGTCAAGGTTTTTTTTTTTATTATTAAAGTAGGCTCCTTACAAAAGACTGCTCTTGAAATCGATACAGATGCGGGACAATGCATCTTCAGTTCTTCGTTGTATCTCCATGGACCATTTCACGACACGGTGCTGTAGAACCTGCATCCATCCACATCTTATGGTTATCATCCGTAAAGTGGCGGAGCGAATTTAGAGGTCGCTTTAGATTGAATTGGTGGATGATTTGAATATTGCGAGAAACTGAGTCAAACGACAAAACATATTTAAACAAGAACTTTCATTGTCAGATAATGTAGACAGAAAGTAGGTACTAAATTAGAAGCATCTTTTTAAGAATTTTGTGTTATCTCTGTAATTACAAGAAGATGTAGCCTCTGTAAATGTTCGCAGTGCGGTTACTTGTATTATACATTGAAAAATATATTTAATTATGCAATTTAGAATGTAATCCTTTACGGGAAAAAAGAGTCACTCTTAAAGGGGTTCAAGGATGGGATTCCCAATAAACCCAAGATACTTATTCTTCCAACTCTAATAAATCTACTAAAATCCCAATTCAATTTTTCCGACGTGACGCGAAAAATGGACAAAGATCTTCATCAACTTGGTGCAGAAAATACACCGTTGAAGAGAAGTCTAACGAAAGGGGCCTTTGCATAGCAAATCAAATATTGAGGATGCGTCCGCTCACTGGCGCGGAAACTGTTAACGTGATTGAAGAGAATGGAGAATGTGTGAAAGTTTGAGCGTCAACACTTGAAAGATTCACTTACTATCGAAATCCAATTTCTCTAATGTGTTTAAAGAGTTGTTCAACTCGGCACGAATTCTTCACACTAATGGTGTGAAGAATTCTTCACACTAGTAGGCCTAATGGTGTGAACAATTTTGAACAAAAAAAAGAACGCTAGCCAACACGTATTTTTTCCAGACAATTTGTGTCTGCTGCAATACGGTAGACGAAATAACAACAGCAGCTTGAAACACTGAACGCGTGAAACTGCTCTGTGGGGAGCGATTTAGGTAAAATGAAAAGATGAATCCATTACCTTAACGCATAAGAGCATTTTCTTTATAGTATGTTTTTTTAGATGCATATTTTCCCCTTGAAACTTTAAGACTAATACGTTGCCAAAGGTACTCAATTCAAAAGAAACATAAACCGAAAACCATTTACAAACTCACGCAATTTCGGCAAGTGGCCTGTTTACGTTCGAGCAGATTTCTTGTGCTCAGTATTACTTTTCCCGGGCAAAGTGACACTTTTTTTCTGGGCCAAGTTGATACTTTTCCACGTCAAAATGACCCGGAATATGAGTCAAAAAGTGTCCTTTTGACAGAGATAAACTGGTAACTTTCATCCGGAAAAGTGTCACTAGTCTTTGACCCGGAAAACGGTGTCCCTTTGACCCTGAAAAAGTGTCACTTTGACCGTCGGAAAAGTGTCATCTTGACCCGGAAAGTGTCAGGACGCGGATCGAAATGTGACCCGGGACTTTTGAGACTGCTAGAACAACGGAAGTGTTATTTAACACATTGCGAATTTTAAAAGCAATAGAACGAAAATGCCTGATATTTACGAAATGAAAATGAAACAGGCAATCCACAGAGCTCTTCACACCGCAAATATTTACCTAGCTGCACCATCAAACAGACCAATATTCATCAGACGAAAGGAAAACCAAACATTTACTAGGCGTTTGCTTCGCAAATACGTTTCAATAAATATGTAAATGAGTTGTAGAGATATCAACACGTCGGTCGCCCGGCAGAAGGACATATGAGCGTTCTGACGCAAAAATAATTTTCAAGAAAATTGCATTGAAAGGTTCCATTGTTATCATGAATCCAATTATCCCCCACACGTATTATAAATAATACGAATTTGAAATTTGTCACGCATATGATTCATTAAGTTTGGAACAACCTGTAATAGTATCTGACGAAAATGTTTGCATTTCATTAAAATAGAGGCAGTTTTCTGCATATGCCCTTTTGCTGGGAACATTTTGGTGATTACACGTTCGTGCATAAGGGCATACGCGCATAATTATGCCCTTCTGCCGGGCCCATTACACTTTTTTCTTTTTGAACACTATACTTAGAATAACGCAAACAAACGCCCCTTCATGCAGACAATCAAAAAGAGTGTTTTCGTAAAAACAAAATTGTGTTTCAACTGAAAAAGGTGCGTCTTGTTTCTTTTTTGTTTTTTTATCGGACAAACTTCACAGGTTGCTTACATTACCGATCGAATTAAATAAATTACTGATAACTAAGTGCCAAATAATGCCCATTAGAAAGGAACAAACACAATGCCGCAGCAGGTAAAGAAGTAAATCCGAAGTCTCGAAGGAAACAATTAATCAGTCGACGACAAACCATGAAGACATTGATCACACGGTACGATGGAACATCGTCTTCCTCTAACATGAAGACCGGCAGAAAAAGCACTTAAAATTTGAGTGCGTTAATTTCCTGCACAACGAAAATACGAGGTGAATTTCAGATCCATTAACGGTATACGAGCGACACGTTATTCAATTGACGCTGGGAAATTATAGTTCAGATTAAATAAAGGACAGCGAATGAGTAAACACGAAATACATCTTATGAATTTATGGGCTGCATTTAAGTTAATTTTACCCCATCTTCAAAAATTCTGACAAAAGACAATTTTACACATTGCTATGTTGACTGTTTTTCTTCAGTGGTTTCTGCGATAGTTTAGACAAAACCTTTCAATTTCCTCTCATGTTGAGCTCACATGTTGAGCCGATTAGGCATAAATGTTGCGCACACTAACCCGTGATGTTTCTGATGAGGACAAACAGTCATATCTTTTTTAAAAAATCCATCTGTATCTGTCTTTGGTTTTATTTCACAGGTTCCGCAGTGGACGTGAGACTTCATCTGTACATCGAAAGCATGGGAACGATAAAGGAGTCGACGATGGTATAGTAAATAATTCACATCATCCTTCACATTGGCTGTATATTTGCTATATGCACGTCAACCAAGTGCACACAACACAAATTCATACGCTTATTCCGGCGACTATTCAAAAATAAGGGAAACCAGTTACCCTTCCATGGTCTACTATCGCCACTGATGTTGAACGTAGGCCCTGGGAACAAGGGTACCATGAAAGTCCAACCATTTGAATATATCCAGCCGTTGTATATTTGTTGCGTGTATCCAATTTATTTTCTATCAATATAATCATAAACATCTTGCCTGTCCTGCTGCCTCGTTTTGTCCTCAGTTGTCTACTCCTCTCCACTATTCGTCCCTCTATTTATTTCTAATTGTCCATTGCCACCGTCAGATTCAATCATCTCCAATTCGACTTCTCCCAATTACTTAATCCTCCATCTCGCTTTCCACGCTATGTTGTATCCGCTGATATATTTGTGCTGTCCTCGAACCATCCCAACCCATCAATCTCTGTCACCATTCGACCGTTCTTAATGCTCTGAGAACCATCGCGTAAGATCAAGAAGCAAACCCTAGACACGAAGCGTCCTTCCCCTAGAAGCTTCCTCAGACCTGCACGATTTTAGGCCTATTACCTTTTAACTCCGTAATTCCATCGTTTTGGGCCTACACTCTAAAAAAGCATTAGTCAGATTTGACTAGAAACCAGTTAAATTTGACTAGCCATTCAGGGTCAGCTGGGTGCAACTGAAAATCAGTCAATCTGACTAGATTTTTCCAGTCAGTATTCCTGGCTTTGAAGAAATAGTTATGCAAATTACTGAAATTGGAGTCGAACCCAACTACTTTTTCTAGTCATGGTATGAAATTGTGCATGTTTGACTAAATTCCTAGTCAATTTCCAATAACTAGGAAGACCAGTCAATAATTTGACTAAGTTGTTTTTAGAGTGTATATTCTGTTTTTATTCATTCAAGGACAGGTCCGAAAACATTATTTTGTTCAGTCAATTCCTGTGTGCGCACTGTATGAAAACAAGCCCAGGAGTTTACGCAGGCAATGGAAAACGCTCCTCGTACAATGTTTGCCTCAATTTGTTTCAACCCCCATCCTTTATTTGCAGTAAAAATAGGGGTTTATACAGAGGCCTTTGAATAATATTGGAAATGTGATTTTTGATAACATTAATTTGTTATCCTTCTTAACTTCGGATTTGATTGGCCGATGGCATAGAGTTTGAGCCCGGGATGCAGGCGCGGTTCTACCGGGGGGGGGGGGGGGGGGGGGGGGCTAGAAGTGTTTTAGCCCCCCCCTAAATTTTGTCTAGCCCCACCCCCAAGAAAATGTTATACAGAAGGCAGTAGCACATCTTAGATGGTGATGTCACACGCGAACGCCCCCCCCCCCCTTAAGCAAAAAAAAAGGTCTTTTGTACACTATTATAGTTAATAAAGACTGCGCCCCACACCTATTGATTTTCGGAGGCTTAAGTGTCTTGAAAAAATGAACCCAGTCTACATTTCAGCACGTCTCCTTGCAAAATTCTGGATTCATCCCTAGATAGCCCCCCCCTAAAATATAGGTTCTAGAACCGCGCCTGCCGGGATGGTTCAAAACTGCCATTAAGCCTAATGGACTGTTGCACTACGACTATTCGGGGGCTTTTTTAATATAGCGGTTTGGCCGATCGCGCCTTGTAATGAACAAATATCCGGTCGTGTTTTCACTTCTTGCTTCTACGGAGACTGATCAAATTCACATCCTAGGGCGAAATATTAAAGGTATATAGAAGAATAACACATCGCGGTTCTGACAAATTTATCAAGTCGGTGGAATCAAAGACCAGTCAAGTATGTAACGAGCCACTGACCGTGAAACCGTTGAGCACACATCATGCATGTACATATATATATACAATTGCCTCCCTGAGGAGCCGGCCACAATCGCATCATTTCTAATCTGCCGCCTCAACAGTTTCCCGCCGTTTTCAATTCAATTTGCACAGCTAGACAACGTTTGTGTGTCTTCAAATACTGACGACTCTTAATCAATCCAAACTCGTGACTCGACTTGAAAAACCCTTTCGGTGCATGAGAATTATTAATTATTAACCAAACCACCAAAAAAATGCAACAATTTGCATGCGCGAGTGTAGCCAACCACTTTTTAGATCGATTCTTCCCTTGACGTGCGCATACACAATCCCACTGTTATTGAATTAACTCGGCCCAATACCGTCCCAAAACTCCAACGCACATGCGTAAACTTCTAAAACCGGAGGGAAAATTCTTTGCAAATATTACAATTACCCTATCCCTTCCCATACCATCAACCCATCAACCTTACTATACAATAATCGAAGTCATATATACTTCAATTAATTGATAAAATCAACTTAACGGTGAGTGCAGTCCATGATAATCAGATATCTGCCGTTTCTGTTTAGGCATTAAGTTGGCCGGAGGCATTCGGAGAAAAATGCAATAAAAACGTGCTTCTTTCTTTGTAACGATGGCCTTGATCAAAAGTGCGATTTCAGTGGAGACTTTTGAGACGCCTGGTGGCAGCAAACACACGGTCCTTTTCTATTGTTTGCGTCATTTTGCACATTAGCTTAAACATGACGTAACAATTGAAAACGACCCGTGTGTTTGCTGCCACCAAGCGTCTCAAAAGTCTCCTAGTACTGCTCAACGTTTCGATGCGTACTCGTGCTGCCAAGAAAACTGAACTAGTAGCTTTTCTGATTTAACTGGGAGGAGAAAAATATGAATTTAGTAATGAACACCTTTCACTGAATGCGTTGATATAGTAACAGTTCTTTTGGAAGCAGTTTTCACCTCAAATTATGTCAATAAGCACCGCGCACCGCGTTTGTATACGACAAGTGCAATCCGGGGTTAGACTTGTCTTCTGCCAAGGTTCCCGATAAAGGCAATATGACACCACTTTACGATAATTCTTCAAAACATCTCGTGTTATGACGGAGCTTTCCGCAGGTTTTACTGGCGATGTAATGTGAATCGCACTGCTTTCATGGCTTGATCCCGTGCACAAATCAGCCTGCGTGCCGAAGCGAAATCCGCCCGATTGACTCAGGTCGCGGTACACATAACGCAAAGTTCGTTACGGCAGCTGATGCATTCGTTTGCAGATGCATTCTGCACATGTAGTGCGCATCAATCTTTCGCATCTTTGGTCATGATGACCGTGAGCCACGTTTTTAAAATAGTGAAAATATCTGTAATGTCTGCGGTGTGGATGTTTTGCGTGTGGCCCATCTTAGCATGGTTATGTCCCATGTGCCTTTCATTAGAAGCATGTATTTATGGCATTGTGATTTAGAGGCGAAATTGCAGAGGTGTCATGGGCGCGTAGGCAGGATTTTCAATTGGGTCAAGGAAAAAATGACCGCATTCTTTTGAATAGCGGAAAAGAGGGGAGTAAACAAATCAAGTTTTAAGTCATCCTCATAACATCATGCATTTTTATCAAATCCAACCACAAATATGGGATATTCTACGTTAATGATCTTATAATGTTACATCAGTACTAAATCTGTAATTGTCGAACCACTATAATACAGAAGTAAAATACATCTGTATCAATTAAGGTAAAGAAAATGAATGTAGACTATTACTACTATTATATTGTTATAAATTGGACTCGTTCAAAATCATATGATGTGGGAGTTCCCGTTTGGCGACTGAATTCCTATTTTTTTTCTTCTAAGAAAGTTTGAAATGTGCCACAATAAAATTCAGAACGCATCAAAGACGAAAGACACTTGGGGGGGGGGGTGTGGGTGCTGGACAGTCTGTCCATGGGGCGCTGTTAAACAATGTTAGACAATAACTACCGCCATTCGCTTTTCACGGACGTTAAGCCCGGTTCATACTTCACGCGAAAGTATGTGCGAAGCGAAATTCATGTCGTCAACAATGGTGGACGCGCTTCGAATGTATTGTTGACGTCACGAATTATGCGTGAAGTATGTACCAGGCTTTAAAATAAACAGCCACTTGCAAAAATAAGGGGTTTTGGTAAAAAAAATACAAAATCGCGGAAAAGGGGACTTTATGTTCTTCCAGCTAATTATGGTAACTCGACGGCTGCGCTTTTCTCCGGATGCAAAATTTCCGTGGGGGGTGCCCCCACGCCCCCCCCCCTAGCTACGCCGCTGCAGTGTGCAAGCGTTGACATGCCCATGGGCCATGAAGCGTCTAAGATTGACCAAGTTTTACGGCATGGCCATTTTCACATCGCTTTTAACAATTAATTTTCGTAGCTGTTGCATTGAATTGGTACTGCATGTAAAGTGTCGTAAAACTAAAACGCGATGAAGTTATAACTCATCGCAATGTTGGGAGATTCACCATGGGTTGATGTATCTATCTATAATTACGGCAGTGACGGATGAGGAGCGTAATAGAGTGCACCTGCCGCTTGGGGCAAAACGTTTCTGACTTGCATTACGTGGTGATTACCATGTACTGGGTTGCTCTGCCTGTCGAGGTATAGCAGTCACAAAATGGTAGATTGAACTGTTGGCAATAATGGCTGACAGTATCACTGACTTCTATATTAACTGGACTGGCTGTTACACGATGGTGTCGGCCAATGCGCCTTGAAGAAATAGAACCGCCATCTTGGATTCCCAAAACTTCCAACCGGAACATACATTGTAGGTAGTCTACATCGTTTTGCAGATTTGTTTATCACTTACAACAACTATTCCCCTAATAATATTGTCAGCTTTTAATCAAAAGAACCGATCAGAAAATACGAGTCATATTTTCGCCGCCTAACTCGAACAAGAAATCCAAAACAGTGTACAAGTAAAACACTCGCGTTTATACTGCGCTGCGTCATTGGTGCATGACCCAAGATGGCGAACGTCTGCTTCAATGCGTTGGCCTCGTCAGCCATTCCAGTTCGTATAGAGGCCAGTGAAATCTATGGGCGAGTGGACCGTTGAACTATCAAAATCCACCCCAGCTTGTGCTTGATTGGTGAGCTTGCAGAGGCAATATGAAGACAGAAATAACTTTGCACGTGTTTTTCCTTCTGTATGCTTAAAAGTTTGTACGAATGAAGATAGCAACTCTTACATCAATTTGTGTTCATGTACCCGTCCAGCTACATGCAGGACGGTCAGCTACCTAAACAACGACTTGATATCATCCTCAAACTAACAGTTTTAAAGAAAAGAGAAATTAGTCCATGCATCTTTCCAATTTTTCATTTTTTTGCTCGCATGTATAGGTAACCAGCAAACGAAGGGCAACTCTAACCAGCGCTCAAAGAACACATACGGTGAAGTCACCACCTATAAATGTACGATTTCTGAATAATTTGAAAAATCTGAAGAAAGGAAAAAATTCGTCAGTTTTATATACCTCGCTGACGGTGTCCACTGTACCCAGGGAGAAGCAAAATAAGGGGTGGTGCCTCTCTAGCATCGATCACATGGAGTTTAATACATTGTTTCACGTTCGTTTGGGAACGAGTGTCCAAAATGTTCTGTTTTATATATGTTCCCCTTTCGGTTGCATATCCTTATCGTTAATTGTTATGTTACCCTAAACATACCCCTTGCCTGTCTGTAAACAACCCTTTTCGTTATCAGTGTTTCCAGTGCTCAACCTAAATTTTGCCCTTTTTTAAGAGGTTGGCAAAATATGAAAACATGATGGTGCTCATTGTGTTCAGCTAGACGTGATTTCTATCACATCCGCATACATGCAGTCATGATGTTCAATCAGTGTGAAGTTGACTTGCTTTTGGATGGGTTATAATTATAATATAAGCATAATTATGTCACTGGCTTAAGAAGGTACGTGGGGCCAGCTGAATCATTCGGGCAGTGAAACTAACCCCCTTGCATCCTCGCAACACTATGCGTTACTGTAGTCATCTACGCCTACCCAGGATTTCACCATAACCATGTGGTTCCGGCAATTCTGGCAAGACCCCCGACTAGTTGCCAACGCCTCGGCCAGCCAGGAGGTGGTAAACTTCAAGGGGGACCGCATGAGCTTGATCTGGACCCCTGACGTCTTCTTCCTGTTCGAGAAGGACTCCAAGTTCCACGACGTCACGGTGCCCAACCGGATGCTCCGGCTGTATCCGAACGGCACTGTGCTGCTCAGCACAAGGTGAGTGCCACCTGGTCGTTTTCACGATCGACCATCTTGAATCGAAAGCGAGGCGAGCCACGCGAATAATTTTATGAGTTAAAGAGACTAGGAATGAAGGAAATGCAATAGATGCAATTAACACATAAACCTCATTGTGCTCCAGTGTGGAATTGATAATAAAATGTCCTTTTTTATGGGGGGGGGGGCACAATACGAAATACTTCTGAAAGCGAGGCGATCAGACTCGCATTCTTAAAATAGTCTGGCACCTTCTCTTTCAAGAGTACCAATACACCAAGGGCGTTTTCGAATCCCTGTTCTTGACAACACGCGTGTAACACGAGAACGTGTTCTCGAGCTGGTTGTTACGAACGCGCGGGTGCATGTCGCATCGATATAAAGCAATGCAAAATGGCCGACAATCGTCTGAATTTGTACTTAGGCCTATTCCAAATGAACGAGGACGACTGTTGCAAAACCGGACATGCGGGGATGAAATTGCAAACCTGCACTATAATGGTATTCTTATTCCAATCATTAGGGTATTAGCCAAAAAAAACCCCACAAAACAAATTACGAATCTGCACAGTCCGCCATTTTGTTCAAGCTGCACCTCGACGAACCCTCCATCAACCGGGGAGTGAAAAAATCGATCCGCGAACGCCCTCTCGGGTCTGTTCGTCACGTTCGAGACCGCTGTTCTCGTGTCGGGTTAACCCGAGTGTTGTCAAGAACAGGGATTCGAAAACGCCCGAAGTGGTTCGAGAGCTAGCAATCCCGTGAACAAGGCCATCATGGCCGAACGAAAAAAAAATAAAAGCTCTCTTCCAAAGGACTTGGTGACATTGAACGATGAATTTTAATCATCATTACGCCGGAGCGTTCAGCCGTAGCGGCTCGTAATGAGCATCGAATGTTGCCTTGCCTTTTGAACATCTGCAAACACTGTTAAAAAAAATCTTGCGATTACAGCGGGAATACAGCCACTCTGAGTCTAGAACATTGAGTAGTTACCAAAATGTTCCTGTTAGACCCATTCTACCTTAGGGTGTATTTCTAACCGTTCATTTCTGTTACACAGCTGCTCCGTTGCGCCTTCAAATGCACGAGTCCAATGATAATGTTATACACTAATAATTATTGTATCTCCCGAGAATAATCAACCGCCTAATTAAAGGCAATTTTTTTTCAATCGGATTCCTGATGAAAAGTTGCATTTTAGTCATCAAGTGCCCTTTTCGTTGATTGACTGAATAGCGGTTGCACGAGGCAAACCAATTAGATTGCATTACGCGTCTTTCTGACGAATCCATGCACATTGGGGGTTATTACAAAAGAAACGTACGTTTCGGATTAGGTCCGAGGTTTGATAAGTGGGCTGGCGACTGCTGCGGCATTAAAAGATTACAGGACCGGATTTTTGATATTGCCAAAATAAAGTCCCTGACCAATCTTAATTTTCTTGCCGCGATCTTTATTAAACACCCAACGTCAGAAACGACGAGCTAGCAAAGGGCACTAATATAGAAGTATGTACGTGTACTTTAATACTCCATTTCTCATTCGTGGTACATGTAATAATTGTTACAAGGCAAACTCATTCAAGGCATTTGTGAACTGATAAAACGTGAGACTACGGCGAATCAAAGTCGACAGAGGGAGATGGGAATGCAAGTGAAGTTAAATCCCAGCGATTGGTTACCATAGTGACGACTTTTCCAGAGCCGGGAATATCAAAAGCGCAGACGTTCCGTGCCGAGTCAAAGCAGCGCATGTTGTATTCCAATCGTGGATGCGCTCCGAAAAACATTAAGTTCAATGTGTTCTACATGCGTCAACGCACATTAAACTTTGTATAGACTACCAACGAAATTAGGAAAACATTTCTTATTCTGAAGTAAGTGAACAGAAATCCAATGCTACGGACGAACTCGGAGAGGTTGTGGGGATCCGTGGTGGATAGGCTTACTGAAAGAAATAGAAAAAAAAACAGAGGGTAGGGTGAGTTATTGGGATTTTTATTAGCGGCACGCGTCTGTCACATTCACGGCCCTCAGATGCCCAGTCGCTGTTTCACTTATAAACAGTCATGCCAACCAACCCGTAAAAGATTGTTTCAGAGAAAAAAACCGGCATCTATCGACCAGACGATGAATTGGATTGAAAAGCAACCACTCGACCGAGGTGATTTGTCTTGTGATTGAGAGGCGCAAGTGCGGCACCAGACTGCAATAGGGGAAAATCAAATTAACCGTAGTGATACGGCGGGGACCCGTCTTGACAATCTAAACTATCGAAAGACTTAAGTCGTCTCCACGGTGTCCAATTAACATTATCATGTCCAACATATTTGTAAGATTTCCAAACTGAACATATTTTCATTTACTGATTCAACTTAATTTGTTCCAGACTTTCAATTACGTTGGCGTGCAACATGGAGCTAGCCAATTTTCCCATGGATACACAAGAGTGCCAGATGATCATGATGAGCTGTAAGTATGTGTAACAACTCGCAGACAATACAAAAACTGCTTTCCGCCCAATTAGAAGCCATGGTTCAGATTTCACCAAAAAAAGTGGAATATTTTGGTATAAAATGTGGTATGCATGGCATGGTTTAGTAGTCTATTGCACCCGATTCAGAACCAGTCCGTCCTCCTCCCCCACCCGCCCCTCCTCTTCTAAGAAGGAACCACAATACACATCTTTATCCGCCATCTAGCCTTCACGTTGTAGCTTCAGCATAAACATACCAAACAGCAGAATTGGAAAATATTTGATCTACTTAAGGAGAAGCACTTGGGCCATTTCTCAAACCCCGCAGGTTCGTCTCCGTCTACAGCTTCAGGCATGCAATTTTGCAATGAAACTGGAGCCAGAGACAGCAACAAAGCCGGGGCTGAAGAGACAACCTTGGTAAAAAAAAAATAGCCCCTGAGAAACGGTCATATCAAAGATTGAAAAGCCAGATCTAGATATCATTAGGTTATTGGTCTAGAACCTCTCGAGTGTTTCGAACTTTGCGAGTGAAAGCCCGGAACCCTTTCAGATTAAACAGAATGATTGAAGCAGTCTGGCGGCCATGAAGACGGATTCCTCAATTCAATCAAAATCCGATCTATTCTCGACTGCCGCTCGTGAGAATCAATGCGATTTAGCTTGTTTTTGAGTGATTTTCTAGAAGTCCCGGGGCGCATTTCCGCGCTTATTGGTCAGGGAGGATTGTGGGCTCGAACGGCCCGAAGCGGACGAAAACGCGCTCGCGGCTGCTGCCGGTGTGGTGTGCGAAGACAAACACCCCGCTCGGTTTGCACTCGTAAATAAACTCTCAGATGTGTACACTGGCATAAGGTGGGGGTTGGAACTACTTTGCGCACGCGCATTTGCACGATGACAAATCCAGCCCGGGACAATCTCAGCATGTATCGCCAGTTAGCTTATACTCCTCCAGATAGAGCACGTGTCTTAGAAGACAATCTCGAACAGATCTTAGAGATACAAAAAAAATTCAACCGCGAAGAGAGAAATAACCCCGATGTGTTAACTTTGATTTTGGGTGACTCGACAACAGCACGGATGAAAGGCTTGTTAGGACACCCAGAGCGGAAAATTCCAAGTCAGACATGATGGGAATGTTCCAGAAGATAAAGCATTTTTGGCGTCTCATTCGGGATTCGGTCTTAAGGGAATTTCATGGAATGTCGGGCCAACACATTTTGCAAAAGATTTATATCAGATCCGATGTGGTTGAGCTACCGTTATTGCACACATAATCGCATCTTGATGTATCTCTGGTGGGCAACTTATTTTGCAAGTAATGATATTGCATTCCCATGGGCAAGTTATAAATCGATGTGTTTATTCGTGGTGACACGGAATCTAGATCCTTCCTCGATATCACATTCTGGCCGTATAGGCAGCACGGCACTTAAGACGTTCATGACTGTACATAATGAGACAAGACATACTGCCTCCGGACCCGATCCGGGTCGGGTTTCAAAGATAATGTGTCGACTTAATCGTCCATTTACAATCAAGACGGTTGGCACAGATAGAAAGTGAACATTAACTTTCGATACAAGGTAGGCCTACCGTACTGATAAGGATGAAGATTTGAAAAGACAGGCAGCATTGGTGATTAAATATTGATATTGACATGTTTGTGTTTCAAAATCGTGTTATAAAATGCGGAAATAGGACATATTTTATCACAATAGGACATAGGCCTATTTTATTTTTTTTGCCATTCGGATGTTCAACAAAATAATGTGGGTTTCAAAAATTCCACTTTTTTGGGGTCCATATTAGGATTTGGTTTTGATCATTCGTTCACCTTCATAACTTCATATAAACCTTTGTTGAAAAATCGACTAACCGTGATACCAAATAATCGAAATTACAAGCATATTAACCGTCTAGCTAGGTACTAGATACCGGTATCCCTGGAAAATAACAAGGACCGCGTTATGGTTGAGCTAGCTGCCACTGTAGTAACCCTTTCTAAGACAAAAAATAATCCATTTATTTAAAAGTTTAATCTTCGCTCTTTTTATATTTAATGCGTTTAGAAAGGACATTAATTCCTCCCTGGTTTTCTCATGAAAAATAATTTTAAAATTACAGTATTGAGCCATCTTCAACACATCCATTTTGAGGTCCCCTCTAGGCTTTATTCGATCTGAAAATAATTATGCAATTATTAATTTGCCGGAAAGGAATGTTAGAGGGACGGTCACTTTACGCTGCGGGATACTGATCGATTGCTTAGTAATGGTGTGGTGACAAGCATTTATAATGACATGAATATAATTTGAATTCAGGCATTAGACAGACTTCTCTCCTTTGCAGCAGTGCAACGTTGTTGCGTTGCCAGCCATTACATAAATAATAATTACAGTTATGAGGTTCCCCGGCCGAATTTGTCAAACTGGCGTTTCAAAACATGATTTTTTTTTCTTTGAAATTTTACCTTTTCATCCCGTGGCTTTTAAGCCAGAAAGGGCGATATTGCGATAGGTTAACTGTTTAGTGCTGTCATATGACAATTCAGACTTCTCTCTCAACCAAACTTGGTGAACATAATCTTTGGGTATAGGGCAGGGGTATAGGGGGACTTCCGATGACTTGTGACTTTTGAGGTCAAAAGTCATCTAGGGGTAATGACGTCATAGTTGTGTTTGGTTAGGTACACTGAAAAATGTGCTTACTAACTGACTGTATAAATACTGCCAGCATGCGAGGGGGATCGCTCAAGTATATTTGCCGTATTTTTTTTTATTTACAGACGCCTACAACTCGAACGAGATGACGCTCACTATTAACGACGCTTCACTGGAGATTGACACAGATCTGAGAATTCCCCGATTTCACCTCAACGAGTACAAGACGGCAGTGACCGAGTTTAGCTACGGTCCGACCGGTAAGACATGCTGCATACCTCGATTGTCTCGTTTCGATTTGGCGAGATCTTCCGGAGAGTCCACTCCATTTTGTAGGGTGCGGGAGTAGGCGGGTCAAATAAAAATAAAACAAGCTCAGGCCTATTTATAATCACGAACTCAGTCAATCAGTCAGAGACCCACTCAGATGCCAATATAGGCTGGTCCTTTGGGTCTAGCAATAATGGATTCTTGACCATTGTAGAGCCTTCTGTGATTCATTTGCCAGTTCATTTTATGAAGTTTTTATTCAAATCAACCAAAGAGATAACGTTGTTGCACTGTGAAAGAGGGAATATGTTCAATCTTTGAGCAAATGCGGATCCTAAACGACGGAGGCACAATCAAGTAAATCCATAGTTATTTTGTTTACATGTTTATATTTCAAAATTAACGTTTTACAATCTTCACATTTTTCTTTGCTGAAGTAAATGATTACAACTACATTGCTTTGACAAACGTGATATTTCTACGGTTTGTACCCCAAAATTTGCCCACTGATTTTACCGTCTGTGACTTTCAGTTAGCTCTGTGGTGTGTTACGTATTGTCACACTAAAATGTGTTTTGTAAATGTGTCTTCCAATTTGCTGTGTGTTGTGTTAGGTAACTATAGTGCTGCAAAGGTCACCTTTTCGTTTAGACGTCACCTCCAGTCGTACATCCTGACTGTCTACATCCCCAGCTCGCTGATCGTTATCATCGCGTGGTTATCATTCTGGATCGACGCCAAGGCGGCTCCTGCCCGCGTGTCGCTGGGAATAACGACTGTTTTGACGATCACGACCATGACGGCTGGTATGCAGGAGACAATGCCGCTGGTGACATACGCAAAGGTACGCCATTTAGCTGTTACTGCTCCAACAATCTTCTCAAACTTTTCCAAAATTGTACTTTTACTGGTATTGTGTGGCTACTTACGGGTTAGCAAAAGAGCACATCAGCCAAAATATTCACGCCAACTTGTCACGCCCATTTGTCAGGCAAAGGGACTGGCAGTGCGTACTTGTCAAACTTGAGACTTTTTATCAACTATAGTTCTTAATTAATTCCATGGCTTTTTGCCAGCGGGCAACGGTACGTCGATCGCTCCCACTTTTGTGTTATTAAGCCTCTGTTCTGGTGACGTCACACTTTGTTTACGTGTGCGCTTTTCTATGGGGCTACGAAACCGTCGTCCCCACCAAGCTCTCATAAGAAAGCACACGTGTAAACAAAGTGTGACGTCATCAGTACAGAGGCTTATTTTAATGTATGTATAACACTGTCCATGAATTATAGTGACGAGAGAGGGCGGTATTAGGTGGAAGCAGCAGAGTCATGTACCGTGCTATCCAGCCCATCATCCTGTCAGCTTAGAACGAAAACGCCAGTCAAAACATATACATTTCTTACCTTGATAATACAGGCTCTTGACGTGTGGTTAGCCCTCTGTCTCTTGTTTGTCTTCCTGTCTCTCATGGAGTACGCATGCGCCAACTACTTAATAATTGTGGAGGTGAGTGTGCTGCCCTCTCGGGTTGAAAACCAGACTGGGGATTTGCCATTCCGGACGAAGGAGTCATACAGGCTCGTTCACAGTCACGTGACATCTCAGCACTGATATGGGTGTGTTCGATTAGCTCACTCGAGTCGACTCGGGTTAGCCCCGTTAGCTCTGACGTTATTGGTGCTTACCCGGGTCAGCCACCGCAATAGACCCTGCTCGTGGAGCAGTCACTGGTGGAAATACGTCACACGCATGCCTTGTTTACTCCAAGAAATGGACAAATATGGCGGCCGGACAGAGGAAAAGCTCATTAAGTGGACCCAAAAATCAACTTTTTTTCAGAGCTCACTTGCGAATTAGAGGCTAAGCCTATAATATCAGCCCAACTTTGTTAGGTTTTTTGTGATTGTAAATGTAAAAATAAGATCCAGTCTGAAAAGGGCGTTTTGTCAATGGCTACGGCCACGGCTACGGACGTCACGCGAGGATCATCATGGTCCGCGTTTGAGCGTTCGATTAGCGCCGCTTTCGTGCATGGCTAACCCGTCTGCCTTTACCCGAGTTGATCCGGGTGAGCTACTCGAACGCGTAGGCCAAGGTGCGTTCAAGTAGCTTCCCCTTGACGGATTTTACTCGAGGAAGCCACGAAACGAGTCTAATCGAACACCGAGGTGTATTCGCCTAGGCATTCTGGGAAAATTAAGGTCAAATTTGTTGTTGCGTGGCGGGACTGTAAACACACCGGGCATACAGTCGTCTGCTCTACTCGTACAATTAGTTTTATCATTGCAACCAGATCAATAATTGCTGCAATCGGGAATACTTGTGTCATAAATCTCTCCATTGCACTCAATTCGTATTCAAGTTCCCGCCATCTTCAATCCAGCTAGCCATTAGTCTTTGGTATCCCCATTCTTTCCCCATTCTTTCAGAACAACCGCAAGCTGAAGAACTACACCAAGAAATTAGGCAACGGCATCAACGAGAAAGTGGACCACATGCGAGTATTCGAGTTCCATTACGGCCTAGGAGTGTCAAGACGACCCGGCTACCGCGAACCACTGACAGCTGACAAATTGGACAGAATCTTCCGCTATTCGTTTCCCGCCCTTTTCGTCGTCTTCAACGTCATCTACTGGCCTTTTTACTTGAGATGACACCATGCATGTTGTTTGGAGTATCTTCAGAAAAGCGAAATCCATCCAGGCGAAAGCTCACAAAACGATTGCCTTAACAACACAAGAACAGTTGAAGTCAAGAAAGCGTCGAGTTGTTCACGATCCTAACGAGGTGTCTATATTGAAATATATGTGGCGAATGGGTTCAATGTAACATATCGTGATTCATCTGCTGCCACTAAACTGTCCCGTATTTTGCAATCATTCTTTCCATCCATTGTTACACTGTCTGTTATATTTTCGATGTTTCCTTGTATTTGTCTGTGTTAGTGAACACCATATAATGGCCACTGCGTGTGAGACTACCGTTTTGCAAAAGTGAAAAATTGTCGTAAACCGTGTTTAAAGTATGCTAGTCAGCTGATTTAATTTTCCACAAACCCCTGTATTTTTACATTTCTCAAGAGAGTATTACAAATAGTGCCTATACAAAGGTTTCTTTGAGGTAACACCGGTAAACACCGTTGGCATAATGTGGACATTGCAGCGCGGTGCAGCCGAACTCGTACCACCCGACCGTGGAATAATTTTGGTATAATTTGGTAACCCAGGTTTTGAAGTTCACGTGTTGGCCTATTTGGTATGTACTTCGCCTATAAAATAGACTATGAATGAAAAGCCAAAATAGCGTGTGAATGCATGCGGGCTATACGGTAAGGATTTAAACGTTAACGAACGAGACTCGTCTGTACCACCTTCACAAGCACGCTGATGTAAAAAGCAATTTTTGCGACGATAAACTAAACCGTGGACAAGATTGTCACTAACTACTAGCAATGCACTTCACAATATCAGCTGATTTTTATGGTAAGGTTGTCACATTGTTTTTAGTGTTCTAAAAGTCAAATACAATACCCGATCTGGTAATCAAACAAACAAGAAAGAAACTTATTATTCCAACTGTTCATAATATGGAATGGGGGTGATGTAAATTTAACATTGGGTTTTAATTGCCCTTCACAGACGTATGAAGACGTCTGCACGTCCGTGAAGGGCAAAACCCAATACCGTATTGAATTTATTATTCCAAGTACAAGAGGACAATCAATCTTTTATTCAGTCTTTTTTATTCTTGATATTAAGATGGATTTTCTCTCAAACTACCACTTCCGTAGAAATATATATGAAATGTTATTTCTTTCAGAATGCAGTGTTTTTTTTTTATATTCTTCTCGTGAGATCAATTATACATTTATACCATTTGTGGTCTTCAAACTCATTTTTAAGTGCTTTTTTTAACGAGAGCTCAGGGGAATTCGAAGTTTAGCAAAACATTGAAGTGTACTTTTCAGATATTTATGATAAATTTGATGGTAAAACCATGGAGAAATAAAACTTGGTAAAATGCTGTTTCTAATGTATAAAACCATTGTTAATAATTCTACAGCAAATGCCCATCATTTGGTTCCCCTAAAAAAAACGTGTCAATGCGCAATCTTCTACAGTAAAGTCCTTCCTCACTGGCATACACGTTCTTGTAATTCCCTGATCATAGTTTTTATCATTTTTTTTTTATATTATTAAAGTCGAGTATGCCTATTGAATTACTCTTTTAAACTAAGAAACATTCTGGTGAAATAATTACCCTGTAATTGACAAAACGAACATCCCCATAAGTGTATTTTTTTTTAAAGTTATGAGCACTATAGGCCGACGCACACTGTTTCAGCACATCATGGCCAAAAAAAGAATGGTCTCACATACGGTATAAACACTGATTTGTGATTATATGAGATAAACAGTACATTGATTTATGAAATTTGTGTGGTACTTTTTGTCTAGATGTTCCTTTCTGTTGTTGCATCAGTGTCAGTTTGTGTCTGCGTGTGCACGCGAAATTAAAGTTCCCAGCGGACAATTGTGTTTTACCTTTTTCTCACAGAAATGGCTGCGCATTAAATGTAATGGGACTACTTTTCCTTCGTTCCTCTGTAACTGCTTTCATCTCTACCGAAATAATCATCATCAATATCGCTATGAATGTCAACGATCATAACTCTTATGAAATACAACCGAATGTAGGCCCGTAGGTTGGGGGGGGGGGGGGGGGGGGAGGGGGGGGGAACGACCCCCACTTCAAATCGGCCACAGGTCCACTTATTTACCATATTTCCTAATAGTGTACAACTGCCCCCTTCCTCGCGCCTTTTTTTTCAGGGGGGAGACAGTGTAACGCATGTAACGTCACCTTCGAATATTTGCTACTGCCCTTTTTTTTTTATAAAGGAATTTTTTTTGGGGGGGGGGCTAGAGGGGGGCCCCGCCCCCTCCCCGTAAAACCGCGTCTGCGATTGACTTTCGAATTTTACTCAAATGTGCATTTCCGTTTGTGTAATCAACTGTTTATTAGACTTAATGGTAACTACGACCCCCATCCCCTTCCTCCAGCCTGACAACGACCCTGGGATAAAAGCAATTCGGTGGCCATCACTTGAACAAGCTTAGTTCCCATTTGGAATAAATATTTTATTCATGTTTAAGGTCACAAAACAATGACATACAGGAAACATCATCAGTTCACTTTTCTTTAAGAGAAAACTATTGTTGTTGACATTTGCAACAACTATTTGTACACAATTAAAACATACAACATGATCTGTCGTGACTATTATAATTTTGTGAAATTTATACTTTTATAAAATTGTAAGACATTAAAATTACATATAAATACCCAGTACTGATGAATGCAAACCATATGGGGCTTCATGGAGTTGACGGTACTAAACAAAATTCAAATAAAAAGACACAAATGGAGTATTCTGTATTTTTTTTTGTCCTGAATTCAGATTGCTTGTTAACATCACATCTCTTCAAGGCCTCTATCAGGAAGTCTTTCCTTTCAAAAATGATCCGTACTGCAAGCACTAACAATGTTCACAAGCACTTCATTGTTATCCATGTAGAGTTCTATGTGGTTTACTTGAGATGCATTGTATGAAAAGATGAGTATACAAAATGTTACATTGTACATTGATTATCCTGAGTTTTCAAAAACGTAGGGAAAAGACAGAGACATAGCAAAGAGGAGACATGCCCCCAAGAAACACAATCATAACACAAAATAAATTATACAAATGCTCATGTGAATGTATCACATTTGGACGCCCCTTGTTGGGCAGTTGCCGTTGAAAGCTCTTGGTAAGCGTAAAGGTGTGAGTAGCAGATGACACCGATCCCCGTTATATCACCTGTGCAACAGCTGCACATGTGTAGATATCTCAGATACATCAATGTTTAAGTATACTGACACATGCCAGCAGGTTTTGAACACCTCTTATAGGCTATCAGCTTCGTTCCAAAACTTGGGCCACTGGTGTCAAATGATTGAAAGGAGCAATGCTCATAGCAATTTTTAGCAAAGGTATGCACATCTAGAGTTGGAAAATGTGTGATAGCTTTGCAGTGTAAGCGGTGGCAGGGTTTTTTGGATGAATTATATGTTGTATAAAGCATGTTTTGGCCGCCAATTTATTTAAGTGATAGCACCCAAAAAGCTGCTACCGCTACAATGCTATCACATATTTTCCAACTACAGGCCTAGGGGTGCACACCTTGCCAAAAATCACAATAAGCATTATTCCCCTCATTTGATACCGACCGAAACCCCCAGGCTGATGGCATATTATAGACTTCTTTCTCATATTTTGATGCACTCCACTTTCAAGCCAGGAGACTTTTCTCCGGATTGACAAGGTCAATGTCCTTCCAGTCCGGCAGCTGGTCTGGTAGATGACCAACTCGGCTGACTGCCATCTCAGTGAGATGACCAGCCAGGAATCCTGACCCTGACTCTGATAGGTGGAGACCATCTTCAAGAAAACGCTGCCAATTCTGAGGAGCGAAAGTGAAATTACTCACGTGTCACTGGAAATTCCAAATAATTTTGAGGAATACCTAATACACAGAGACATATTTTTAGAAGCTATGAATGAACCTCGTCAGAAAGCTTTTCAACGTCCAGCAGAAAAATCAGACACAGCTGATTTTCAAAACGAGTGTCAAGAATTCCAAATAAGTTGAGCACTAGAAATTGTTGGACATTTTTTTATTTTGAGTTCCGAAAATCTGTACCTCTTCCTTCTGCATGAGCGTCCACAGATCCAGGATTCCTGTGCAGCAGTCCTCGGCCACTCGACGGCAAGCTTTAGCATACAGACCCGTGTTGGAGTTCTTCCTGTTGACTGGACCACCTGCAAAACATTCAAACAGGTGCATGTGTTAACTCTGTGCAGCACATGTAGATGGTGCTACATTTGGGGTTTAGTTCTCAATGTAAAAGTGAACAATGTTAGTCACAAATTTACACAATTTTTTTTTTAAGATGCTTCTTCCTGAATTCTCCAAAATCCTCAACTGTGCATGAATTAATATCACATTCTTTGGACTTGTTAATTTTAATTACATCAAACCCTAATCAAAGTAATATCAGCGGAGCTTTTTTAACCTTCCTCAATCCTTCAAAATCCTACAAACCTCTATGTGGAATTTGAAGGATCTTAAGACTCGGGTAACGGTTGATTTTTTTTCTTACAACTTAACAGCCACTCTCTTCAAATAAAAATGCCAAGATTCTCATTGATATTCTCAGAGTTTACCATTCTTTTCACATCCGGCACTCCACACTTTGTCGTCCAGCGCTGGCGGTGAAATGATGATGACATTCTTTGGGTCGATTCCCCCATCTTCTAAATACTTCACCATACCCTAAGAAAGGATAAAAAAAACACCAACAATTTCACTATTACTCCAAAAGATATTTTAACAATTTAGGATAGAAATTGGGAGATGATTTTCTTTCTCTTTTGATTAATTAGTATTGCATCGATTTTATTTACAAATTTTTAAACAATCTTTCTTTTAGGAAAATGATTAATAACTTGTATGTGCTAATTGACATGGACATACGTTTACCGATGTAAAAGGGCAATATCAGTTTGGAATGTTTGATTATGCAAGTGAATAGAAATGAATTGGATAGAAATGATCTCTTCACAAACTACCAGCACAAAAACAAAACCTAGGGACACTTTAGTGTCAGAACTTCTGCATCCCAAACATGTCACCTATTGTTCCTCACCTGCAAGTTTCCTCTGAAGTCGTCCACACTGACGTATTTAGGACTCGCTGTTACCTCCAGGGCAGAGTCGTTGGCACCAAAGAAAATGGTTACCATGGCAACGTGAGGCAGGTCGTCCTTGGGAATGCATCTAGGGAGGATGATTCTGCCCCAGGTGGAGTTGTAACCAGAGAACCCCCTGCTGAGGACATCACACTTCCTGTTAAAAAAAAAATTCAAATATCTTCTGAACACAAATTTGCTTGCAGTGCATGCTGCTGTATAAAGATTCAGACCAGCCAATGCTGTCAAGCTTTGATTCAAGTGATTAAGACGTCTGTACTAATAAATAGATGGTTGTGGGTCTGAAATAATCCAAAATCTTTTTGTATTTTTCTCACAGCTCTAAGACAGGATTGTGCATACGGTGCTTAAGAAGGTAATTTGAAGGGCAAAAGCAACTGTTTGAAATTTACATACTGTCCACTCACTTGCTCACGAAGAAACGATAATCATACAAAGACAGAATAAATGGTAATATTGGATTTTCCGTTTTTTAATCTCATTCGCGCTCAGTGGTTTTCCAAAGCTTATGCGCAAAAATGAGGTAAAACTTAATTCAAATGAATACTTTCTGCTTAGTAGTGCAATACTGCTCTACTATGGTGCTAGCCCACTAATACCTCCAGGGTTGAGCGCTGTTAGGTGTCTGCAGTATTAAGCATGAGTTCCTCACACATTTCGTTTGTTACAAAATTTAAAAAAAAAAACACTTAACATACAGTATTTCGGATATTTTGTTGGTGAAAAGAAAACCCAACATATAAATTATCCAACATGTGATTCCATTAAAGCAATTATTCAAGATTATATAAGCATGCAAATATCTACATTTTACCTTTGTAGCTTGTCTGCTAGAGCAGCACCCCATCCTCCATTGCTGAATGCTGCCTACAAACCGTGATTAAATTAAAAGAAAAATATTTACAGTCTATAAATAAGGCCAAGTACAAAATACCCGTTGATCGTCCAGGTTTTTTTCAAAAAGAGGAGGATGAGAGCCTTTTTTTTTTTTAAATTGAAAAATCGGCTAAAATAGCATATTTATAAATCTTGAAAGCTTGATGCCTCGAAAACAGGTACAAATGAAGGAGGCGAGAGGGTGAGAGTCCGGAAGGGAAAGTGGAGGAAATTGTGGCGCTTAAAAATCCAACGAAACAAACCTTTCGATATTCGCAATGCATCTAGTGATTGGATGACAAACAAAACCGGCAATTTGTGCTCAAACCTATGGGACGGAGTACTAGTTACAACTTTCATTTGATTCCTCCTCATTTTCAAGAATTTAATGATTATTTTACCACATATATTTTGCACTGGTTTGACATTATAATTGTTTACAAAATATCTTGTTTAAAGCCTATTCAGGTGCTATTCGAACATGTAGATTTTTCAGTTTCATATCTTATGAATATTGATCATGAGCCTTCTAATAATGACCAATCAGAATCAAGATGTCAAGCTCACACCCCAACACTGGCCAATCACACAGGGTCTGCAATCCCTCACCCCTAACACTCGACCAATCACACAAGGCCTAGGCCTATCAATAGTATCATGAAATTAATTTTAAATTATTTCTCGGTTTTATTTTTTAAGTTGAAAAACTGAACTTTATCTACACATTCTATTTCTAAAATCATATGCATGTGCAGGTTTATCGAAGGTCACTTAAATAATCCTGGAAAAAATAATGAAGAAACAATATTTTTAAAGCTTCAATAGCCTTGAATTGGTCCCATACCGTACCCATGGCCATACTCCCATAGGCCCCCTAGTCCCTACATAATGAAATAATAAAAATTCTTTCCTAACCTTGGACCTACCTGTGTTAATGAATCCCCAAATAATACAACCTTTGGCCAGGACATCGTGTAAACAAGAAATTGCCTGATCTTCTAAACATCGTCTGCAAACTTCCGCCCACAACCACCACCGCGCTGGTGTTCGCGAGGGCGCCACCAAGAGCCACCAGGTCACGTGTAGCCGGTCTAATGTGTTAAGTGTGGTTCTACTCGGTACTCGCAGTGGAATCTGCAGCCGAAGGCCTGCTAAAATAGGGACGAAAGGCGCAAACAAATTAATTGAAAAAAATAAGAAGTAATTAAAACACAATACACCACGACTCTTAAAACTCCCGCCCCTTCCGGCTCCGCCTCTCTTAAAATATTTTGCGTTTGAAACAGATTCAATATTTTTTTTTTTTAATGCTATTTTGGGAGTGTTAATTACATGCTGTGTTCCCCATTTGGAAAACAACAAAACAATTTTTTTTGCATATTGCACGCATGCGCATATTCATGTCTCGGTATAGTCTACTTGTATTAAGTTCATACACTGATCTCTATTGTACAGTGTAATAGAGATCACTGACAATTTTCGCATACACAAAAACCTGTCCCAACCATTTCGGGCGAGATAGCTTCTATGCCTACTTTATTAGTCGTACACGTCACGTCAGGAAATCTCAACGCTAAGACTAAGGCCTGCCCATCCCCCGCTATTCAAGGGAAGTGATTGAAGCCTGTTCAAAACAAACTTTGGCTAGAATGACTGATTTTACAGAAATTTGCTAGACTACTCTGCAAAAACTTTCCTTCTGCAAGATTTCCTGCTACATTCGGGTTATTTTCCAAACACTCTGTCAAATTTAGCCGAAAATCAGCTAAAACGTCACCCTGTATGGTACCAATGTAGCCTACAACATTTTTCGTCTGCTCATTTTTTTTTTAACAAGACTCCTTCGTCCAATCAAATTGGCTACATGGACGAGTGATGTCACCCTACATACTTCAGACCAATGAGAGAAAGGCCATGCGAGCCACGCGTGCTACGTCACGGACACTTCCTCGAATGCCCCCCCCCCCGTCTTAAAAAAAATAGGGCATTTATTTCTGAATTCGATGCTACTCCATCTGGAAATGACCAGTCCTTCAAATTTGTTTCTTTTTCTTTAATTGATAATTTCCCTTCACGATAAATTTTTTGACATTATGTTTAAATAGGTCTAAGTGGAGAAACTTAGTGTGCGGAGAAATACACACTGAGTACTTTGGTTCAAGGCAGCGCAAAGACCCCGGCACGGAGCAACAGCCGGCCAGCGATATGACACTTTTCACGTCCATAATCATTACGCCCGTGATGGACAATTACCGAGAACGGGGTCAACGGACACTGGGACTCAGGCAGCACGCAATGTCTTCCCGCTATTTTTCGGTCAGTCACTGAAAATTGCCTCAAATTTCACAAGCAAAACTTGAGTTTTTAACCTCCGAGTCGGCCGTCCAGCTTCAAGCCCCCAACGCGGAAACTTGTACATCATACCATGGAGTCTTCATGGGCGCGAAAAAAACATCAAATTTGACGCTCGGAGTCTTGCAATTCGACCAGACTGAAACCGGCCTCGTGTACGGGGCCGGGTCACTGCAACATTTCGACGCAGACACGTTGCGTCGTTGACTTCCATACTGAAAAACTGACTTGAACTTTGCTGTAGGCCTACAGAACTTGTTATAACTTTTTTACAGAACTGAACTGGACTTCGCAACTGCATTCCTTTGAATGTTAATTTTGTGCTAAACTGAACTGAATGGATTTTGTGAACTCATAATTTTGTCGAATGATCTGTATGACGTTTATGGAATATACTGAAGTCAAGCTTTGGGAGTTCGTCGGGGTAAGTCCAACATTAATTAAGGAACTATCGAGGTGAGTGAAAAATTATCTTCTCCTCCGGTCACACAGAGGAAAAAGCGTCCGGCTTAAAATTAATGTTGCAACCTGACGCCACTTTTGAAACAGAGAAAAAAAAATGAGCAATATCGCACCTGAATTATGTCTGCCTGCATTTTTTATTTTAAACCTCATTCGAGTAGGCAAGTGGGGCCAGAAAAAATTCCTCTCTGTGGTCCTTAAATCGCATTGAATGAAAATATATTTTAATGTTATTGACAATAGCATAATGTGTCGCATGTTGTACATGAGGTTGTATTGCATTGTTGAATATTGTGCGATTCTTCTCTTTAATTAGTATCTCATTTTTAATGTATCTAGATATTAGAATAAGCACCATGCACATGTGTGTGTTTGTTGCCAACAAAATGGCGTCCATTCTGAGTCTCCTGTACAGTTAGTTTGTCATTGCTAAATATTGTACGTCGAAATGCCATTCCTGTAAGCGAAAGCCCTCTGGATTTAGAGTAATTTGCATGTGAATACCTGCCAATTTTTTTTGTCAATCAACATGTGCATGCCTTTTGGTGCATTGCCCATTTCACGCAATGCTTCAAAGGCGAAATCGAATGCCAGTCGTACGTGCACGCACGTGAGCCGCTCGTGGCCTCCGCATTGTGGGCGTGTTCATAGATTCCGATGATTCTTATTGGTTGAAAAGTTGAAAGGCCGCGCGCGCGGTATGCGGCCAGGTGCACCGTCTTTGCTAAGCTTTCAAAGACATTCCAGCAAGGGCTTTTTTTTAGGGGTTTACTCACGAGTTGGAGTAAACGTGTTTAGAATTTCGTTCAGAATGGAGGGTTCCTTGGAATTAATGGTATGCATTTTTGTTATAATTGTATTAAAATCACTGGTTTAAAACTAGCAGACCAATAATTTCGAGCTTTATTTTATTTAATTATTTAAAGACGACATGAAAAACCTGAACAACATGAATTCGAGGAATTAACAACGAAACCAACGGATTTTATTATAAACCTGAATTTATTTAATGTAAGCGCACCATTTTATAGTATAAAAGGGCGGCATTCCAATGGACCATCATTTTTATGGACAATGTATCCACGGATCTTTATATATTTTGCTCAAAATTATGAACTTTACACCATTAGCTTCAGGGTAACTTGTATATTATAAATGCTACTATGAGTTCAAGAGGACTGCAGAAGAAAACTATTGAGAACTGAATTATTTTGATTATGATTGTATAAATTTAGATTTTAAAAGATGGCCGACGGAATAATTTGAAGCTCATAAGAATTGGAGAAGACCTGCTGTTGAGATCGAGATCAGCGAAAACCGACGTTTGGAAGAAGGCAAATAGGGCAAAGTTATGATTGTATTAAATAACGATTACGATTCAGGTTAAGGCGTAGGATTAAGGCGGGGTGGGTGGGGTATAGGCACATGGCGCGCGTAGGCAGCCGAGCATACCAGCAGCAGCGGAAGGGAGCTTGACCTGGCACAGCCATGGTGTAAAAATTAACTTATAAAAATATTTTAACAAAAACAATTGCAAAGTTACAAAAATTACCTTTCGAGGCACAGTTAAAAAAATCATCGGGCAAATCGTAGCTTGATCCTTAAAACAAAAATTAACGGTAGTAAATTAAAAATCTGTATCGAGGTAGTGCATTCTAATGGAAAAAGTACTATGTTTACTATGTTATCAATATCAGAAAATTCTTTTTAATATCAATTTGGGTTTTTGAAATAAGTAGACACACATTACTGAACTCTAAGGTTACATGGGTTGATGAGCATCCGTCATTTATAAAACAGGAGAACATTACATCGTTGAGGTAGTTTTCGCGATGTTATAATTGTTGGTATGATATGGTCTTCCCGAGAAAGTGTTCACGGGTTGGTGATATCTTGTAGGTGAGATGCCGTCTTCCCGGAAAAAAATTTCCCGGGTTGATGATATCTTGTGAATAAGACATCGTCCTCCCGAGATATGTGTCATCACGGGTTGGTTATATCTTGTTTGTAGGGTGAGATGTTGTCTTCTCGAGAAACAAATCTCTGGTCGATGATATCTTGTATAGGAGAAATATCCTCTTCCCAAGAAAGAAAACATTTCTCGGGTTGAAGATATCGTGTTGGACAGATGTCATCTTCTCGAGAAAAAGTATATCTCGAGTCGATGATGTCTTGTAGGTTAGATATCGTCTTTCCGGGATAATGTCATCACGGATTGGTAATATCTTTAGGTGAGATGTCGTCTTCTCGAGGAAAATTATTTCTCGGGTCGATGATATCTTGTAGGATATCGTCATCCAGAGATGATTATTCACTGGTTGAAGATATCTTGATGTTTATATTTCCCGACACCAAATCAGTTAATTATTTAAAAACGGATGATAGATGTCTACCTTTCACGAAAAGAAAATGATTTAACAACTTATAGCTTCTATACGGAGCTCTTTAAAATATAATTATTGCAAAAATTTACTGAGTAAAAAAATCATAAAACAGGTCTTCTAATAATTTGAAAATGTTTATCACAATTTTTAAATCTTAAATTCAGAAAAACTCGATGAGATTTTCCTTTTTAAATAAAACGATTAAGATAAAGCTATGTAGTCAAATAAAAATATAAATATAAAACTGTACAAAGAGCAGGTGGTAATAAAAAAATAATGATAATAATAATAAATAAAGTATGGGGAGCTTTAGCGTACTGCACAAAGCGAGAAAATAGCAGCTTGCAAGACAATTAGGAACTTTGGGAATTGGGGAGGGAACGAAAGTTATTATTAACAACCTACAATAATGAAAACGCCAGTGGAAGGATGAAACAAGTTAAGTTTCAACGTTCTTTAGGGTTTATTTGAAAAGTACAAACTGAAGAAACAACGATGAAGACGGATCCTCGGAGATGTTATCATATCAACAGAAATAAATGGCATGGCCTTGAACTTTGCCGTATCACAACCATATTAAGTTTGCTCATTATTTTTGTATAAAGACAAAGAAATTACCTTGAAGAATTAATGGTGTAAAGATGTTCACTATGCATTCATTTAAAACTTTTGCGAAATAATCCTGTAAACTGTCGTATTGGGCAGTGTCCATTGGAATGCTGTTAAAAGTATATGATTGAGAAAGACGGAGGACACCCTTGATGGGTGCTACTGTTGAGAAGAACGACATCCTTGATGTGTGCTAAACACGACACCCTTGATGGGTCCTGCAATTGAGAATAATCTCACCCTTGATGGGTGCTACTATTGAGAAATACGACATCCTTATAATGCTACTATTGAGAACTTGACGACGACACCCTTGATGGGTGCTACTGCATTGATTAACACGACACCCTTGATGGGTGCTAATATTGATTAACACAACACCCTTGATGGGTACTACTATTGAGAAGAACGACACCTTTGATGGGTCAGTGCTATTGAGAATGATCTCACCCTTGATGGGTGCTACTATTGAGAAATTCGACACACTATAATGTAATTATTTGAGAACTTGACGACACCCTTGATGGGTGCTACTAGAAGAACGACACCCTTGATGGGTCCTACTGTTGAGAAGAACGACACCCTTGATGGGTGCTATTTTACTGTATTGATTATAACACGACACCCTTGATGGGTGCTACTATTGAGAAGAACGACACCCGTTTGATGGATGCTACATCGCCAACAAATTAATTCAATATAGAATTGTAATGTATAAAGTTGTAAAACCAGCAAGAGATTATGTTTTGTAAAGAAGACAAAGAGAGTTAAAGATAATAATTATATTTTTTTCCAAGGAACCTCTCCGCGCGATTCCTAATAAGACACAATTGCTCCAAGACCCAGATGGGAAAGAAATGAAAATCCCGACGCTTGGATGTGAAAAAAATAAATTGGAGATAATTTGTTGCTTTAAGCCAAAGTTTTGGGGTGTCAGTAATAGGATTCCGAAAATGATTATTCGAAATTAGCACTAGCGCGCTCTCGGTTCGATCGAAAATGACTTTCGTAACAGTCACAAGATAACATGTTTAAATCGAAATGGAAAATTCCTCAAGGGTAAAAAAAAAATGAGGAGAAATTCTATAAGCGGTGGCCGTGAAATCGAGAAAAAAAACCTGATTGTCAATAAATAAGACGATGGATATTGACTTTATGACCTGTGGGTTTATTAAAGCAGAAAATGTATCGTTCGTTAACGATTACGAGTTCGAGTTGAGGTCGAGTGCGAACAAAGGTACTGTCAATAATTTTGTCCGATTTGTGTATAGTTCGAGTTCGATTGTGAACAAAGTCAAACGGGTACAGTAAACGAAATGTATGTACACGAGTGCGGGTCCTTAAACTGCGGAAGAATTTTGGGCCATGTGTTCTAATCTTTTATTAAAAATGATCCCCGTTCGATTGAAAATGACTTTCAAAATGATGACATACATTAAAAGGTGATAATCCTCAAGGGTAGTAAATATGAGGAAAAATCCTAGGAGCGGGAACGTGGAATCGGAAAAAGCTGGTTGTCAATCATTAATTTGCCCGATATGAGTATAGGAAGAAAATAATACGGTGAATATCAACCTGCTATAAAATAACAAATGTATCGTTTGTAACGATTACGAGTTCGTGTTGAGTTCGAGTGCGAGCAAAGTTGTGTTCGGAAGGGAGTGGGAACAAATTTTGAATTCGAGTTCGGAGTGAGGGTTCTATTCACGATTTCGTTCTGACTTTTGAGTTCGAGTGCGAAAACTCAAGTACTTAAAACTGCTGAACTACGTAGCAGTCTGATATTTTAGGAAGGATTTTTACGTCGAAATCATGTGTAGATCGTTCTGCTTCTCTTCCAATTTGCAACATTTGCACATTTTGTTTAATCTTGCACAATAATGTATCCTGTTTGACACATTTTAAAGACGATGATTGTGAGAAGTATAGGGTAATGTTTGTACGGAATATTTTCCCGTTTGTAACAATTCGTGTTAGATATTTAGGGCCATGTGTACGAATTAAACTTTTTGAAATTTCAGTCGCGTCTATCACGTATTTTCTCGTCATTCTACATTGATACTCATTGTGAAAAAAATTAGGGCCATGTGTACAAAACTTTCATCGCCGTTTTGTAGAGATTTCTACCAAACCCATTTTTTTCTTGTGTTAGCTTTCTGTACCGATTAGGGCCTATGTACAGGATTCCAGGGCCATGTGAACATGTCTTGCTTTGTTTTTGTGAAAAAAATTCGAATATTATGCACAACTTTTAAGGCCATGTGGTGTAGTGCCAGAGAGTCTATTCCTCCGTTCTCTGTAAATTTCTTTTGTAGCCGAATGTGTATTTTCTTGAAAGCTGCTTGTGCGTTCAACCTGTACTGGGTGCGAATCATTGTGTAAAATACTCTAGGGCCATAGCTATTTTGAAGTTTAAAAGCTCAAATGTTGGATCTAAGTTTTCTTGTATATTTATTTTCCTTACCTGTTGTAACTTCACTGTGGTTCATGGAGTGAAATACTCTTAAGGCCATGTTTACAAATCTACATTATTTGTCCTTGTGTCAAAACTTTTTCTCAACTGCAACGCCACGCCCATCCATGGCGATCTTTTATTTTAAAATGTTCTTCCTGTATAGGGCCATGTGCAGATCTTATTCCTTGAAACATGTAACGGTCATGAAACTATAATCAGAAAGATGGTTTCAACGATTCCACGATTATTTTGCGACATGCAATAGTCTCTCATCCTTAAGCTTGTCGAAATGGGTCTTATAGACATAGATTTTGTATTGAGTGCGAATCATTGTGTAAAATACTCTAGGGCCATGGCTATTTTAAAGTTTTGAAAAGCTCAAATGTTGGATCTAAGTTTTCTTGTATGGATTTCCTCACCTGTTGTAACTTCACTGTGGTTCATGGAGTGAGATACTCTTAAGGCCATGTTTACAAATCTACATTATTTGTCCTTGTGGTCAAAACTTTTTCTCAACTGAAACGCCACGCCCATCCATCTTTTTAGTATAAAATGTACTTCCTATATAGGGCCATGTGCAGATCTTACAGATCCCTTGAAACATGTAACGGTCATGAAACTATATAATCAGAAAGATGGTTTCAACGATTCCACGATTATTTTGCGACATGCAATAGCCTCTCAACCTTAGGCTTGTCGAAATGGGTCTTATGGACATAGATTTTTTGTTTGTGATTTTTCTTCCTTAGAATATCCGATTTGTAAAGATCGATAGTTGCCTTTTTGTGTTATATATGACCACTGTGTCAATTTTGTTTAATGTAAATCAGGTGTGACGACACCTGTTACGTATCGGATAACACCTTTAAACGCTCTGTAAAGTGTAAAGCCTGAATTTATTGGGTGAAACAATTCGCATGTTTTCTTATTTTTTGAACAACCTCAATTCCAATGGAGGTTTTGATCGCTGGTATACCTTTTAATTCTGATAAGTCCGATCACAGCTGGTCGGCAATCATCAATGTGAAACTTGTTTCCCTTTGAACCGCGCCAAGTTGCGCGTCAGTGGATGCGCGTTGCTTTGCGCAAACTGGAATATCATCTTGGCGACCAGTGGACCAAATTATCTATTAAAGGTAGCTAAGTTTTCTTTCTCAACGGTTAAATCCATTACAGTGGTCAGGTAAGGACCACTAATTGGATTATCTTCACCGTCTGTATGTTAGATACTTGGCACCCAGTTAGGCCTAGATAATAGCGCACGTTTCCCTTTTTCTATCTTTATAGGCTAAATTATCTATTAAAAAATAAACTAAATTTTCTTTCTCAACGGTTAAATCCATTACAGTGGTCAGGTAAGGGCCACTTATTGGATTATCCAAGTTCACCGTCTGTATGTAAGATAACTGGCACCCAGTTAGGCCTAGATATGTAGCGTGCGTTTCCCTTTTTCTATGATGGCATCTTTACAGTGGTCAGGTAAGGACCATTAATTTACGTTTTCCTTCTCTTTTTACCACAGCACCGGTCACAAATTTGATCAGGAAACCACTGTACATTGTAGTAACAAACCTAGCTCCGCTAGGAAGATTCTTTTATTTTCAGCAACTTACAATTATAGATTAGGAGGACCAGTAAGCCAGGGTGCTCATGTCAGGAGCTGATGACACGGAGGAACCGGAAGCAGGGAGGAGGAACAACGGATGCCGGACGACCCTGCCTGTCGGGCAACCCATTACTGATTTCCCAGGTAAAATATTTCCTTTCGAAAAATGCCCTTAGGATGTTTCAAGTTGTTCTGCTTGTTGTGTCTGCGATTATACCTTATGGAATATGATTAATTTAGAGGAAAAACTTAAGGTGAAATAATAATCACTCAACAACTTCACATGTTCACAAATAAACCAGAAGAGCAACATGCGCATGATTGTCACGCACAGATTCTTACATTGTGTTCCTTCTAATCTTCTGGCAGAGATGGACGGCTGCAGGATGAGATGTCATTCTGGACGAAGATACGATCACTTTTGAATCCCAAGGAACCGGAAGCAGGGAGGAGGACCGACGGAAGGACTGATGACCTGCTTGCAGAGCAAGTCTTCACCAATTCTTAAGGTAACATAGCAAAAGGGAATTAGATGTATTTTTCATTTATTCATTTTCAATTTTTGTCTTAGTCTTCGGGCCAAGTGGCATACCAACAATTGTTACGACATATCTTCTCAATCCGCGGTATGAGTTGGGTTGTACTTCGAATGTGAAAAAAAATGTAATATAACAGATATATATTTCTTTTATCGTTGCAGATGCCTCTTAGTGCTTCAACGGTGAGCAGCAAAGACGATGACGATATACGTGATTTTTATGGTAAATATAACCCATTGCGCTCATACCGTGAATGCTTATAATGACCCCCTTCATTTTTTTGACGGTATAATAATAATTCATATCATCTTAAAAACGCTTTACACTACATTAGAAGCTCTGAACAGTTACAAACTACATACATTCTTTAGGCCTATATGTTTTTTTTGAGCGGGGGGGGGGGTTGTCGCTTTTTTCAGCCTACTTTTTATACACGGCTAGTGTCTATTTCTAAAAACAATACACCTGTCGTATTTTTAAAAATGTTTTTGCTGATCCCAGAGGGCCCGCGCCTAGTGTCCTCTTTTTCTCACAGACTGAGTTACTGACTAGGCCCTATTGTTGCTCGCGAAACGTGGGTACTAGCGACGGTACGATCGCGACCTGATCGACCGGATACTTGTCTGGCGCCCACTGCTGGCCTGAACGCGCCAATGTTGTTATCTTTGTGTGGCGCATGCAGCTGCAGGCGCTAGTTTTAGCTCAGCTTTCACATTTTCGAATCAACAACTAGCATCGCAGGAGGAGAAATCAAAATCCAATGAGGATAATGGAGTTCCTTAATTGCATCATATTAACAACTGTTCTCTGTGCGTGTCTTCTGCATACCGCAGGTAAAATTTGATTGTAAAGACAGCCACAATTATACTGTTCTATGGCCTCGCGCTAACTCCGCGCTGAATGACGTAGCTAGCTAGTTTGTTGTGATGCAGTGCGTGGCCTAAATGGGGCCGGCTAGCGGCCCTGGTCATGCATGCCTGGCCTGCTGGCCTTGGAAAGATCAAAGAAACCTGTCTGTATTACTCTGTTGTACTTATTTATAAAAAAAGTAAGGAAAGAATTCCATATCTGAACATCACTTGGCACCCTGTGCACACACCACTTGTTTGATCTTCAATATTTTCCCTGCTACATTTTTACTTAGGACACGTTATTAAATTGTTAATTCTGACGGTTGATCAGTCATGTCAGTTGAGAACATTGCAGGGAAAAATAAAAAAATGATAGCCATATATTGAATTCTTTCGAACAAACACTTGTCTTGTCTTGATGAATACTGCACCAACACCCCTTCTCAGGGGTCACACGGGCAGGGTATATCCTTCCTGCCAGAAACACCGGGGCGAACCCCTTCTCTTAGCGATAAGCGTTACTGGGTTCTTTTACGTGCGTTAGGCCTTATACAGCACACTCGACCTACGGCTTTGCGTCCCATCCGAAGGACGAAGCAAGAATGGCTAAGTGCCTTGCGTAAAGGCACAAGTGTCCGGGCTCGGGCTCGAACCCACGTCACTGTTGCCTCTGAAACACCAGAGCATGAGTCCGGAGCTCTTAACCGCTAGGCCATGACACTCCACTATTTATCCTATATTTAAAAGATCCCACACTCTCTGTCTGTCTGCCTGATGCCTGTCTAATGTCTGTCGGTCTGTCTGTCTGTCTGTCTGTGTGTCACGTAAGTTTTGTAAAAGGCCTAAAGATTGTGTGCAAGCACAAAACAAAGTGCAACAGTTAATGGAGAGGTATTCAGTGTATGCAGGTTCTATGCCCCGTTTTCACTGTCCTCTGAAGTCATGGTTGGCAAGTGAAAAAAAAATAATTTGCGTGTTTTATTTTGCTTTTTTGGCAAATTTGTTTCTTTCAGACTTTCAATAGAAAATATTTATACAACATTGTGCGCCTATCAAATGTTTCCCCCAATGTTTCAATAATCAAATTAATGCACATTTTTTTTGTACAAATGGGATGACATTCTGTGCTTGGTGCAAGTTGGTAAATATCTCCAATTTCCACCAAACTGCTGAGAAATGCAAGTCACAGGACTTTCTTTTCAGAGCTGGTATGCTTCACTTTTCCAAAGCCATTTCCCCCCCCCCCAAAAAAAATTATCATGTTTACTGGCCTGCAGCCATTCAAATGTAATTGTACAGTCAACAGGGTTCCAAACCACAATGGAAATCAGGAAAAAAAGTTGAAAATGACCTACTTTTCCTGTCATGTTCAGGGAATTCATGTAAAACACCAACAATTACGGAATTGAATTTGGCAGTGACCCAGAATGGAAAGGTTTTCCCGCCGGAGGGGTGTGCGGGACATTTCTTGGCTAATTTGCATAATTTCCCCATTGAAATTCAAGCCTTGCATTTAAACTGAAAAGCGTGACCCTGTGTAATCGGAATGCCGCCACATATTTTCGTCCGAAAAAAAAAATGTATTTTGGGACAGAACCGGTCTTGGCCAAACAAAGGGACTTACTGGTACCAGCCCGGGATGGCTGCTACACGGTTGAGTGGAAACTATTGATTGTTGATGGAATTGGTAACAAGCTAATTCAATTGAATTTGAAAAAAAAAAAAAAGTTCTGCAGAACTCAAAGGCTGTACTTGGTATTGTTCACTGTATTTCGTATACTATCCCGGTGACTGTTTGTCCGGCCGGCACACAGTATGAAAATCACAGAATTGTTTGTTTATGAGTTTTGTAAAAATGCTTAAAATACAAATATGTTTCTGTACTTGGCCTCAGGGGTATTTTGTTTGCGATGCATGTCAATATTATAAATTAAACACAATAAAGCCATAAAAAAATTGCCAAATGTTCAAAGTATTCGCAAAGTACTTCATTTCTATTCTTAATTTTAAGCTGTCTGGAAATTATGTAAATGACCACATTCATATAAAGGCCAAAGATGTTGACATGTCAGTGATTTGGGAAGATTTCCATATACGAAGTTCACTCAACACCCTGTGTACAAACCCTATGAGATTGGACTGAAAAATTATAAGTATTTTCTAAGAACATGCTTGTATTTTCTCACTGCTCAAATTGACTTTGATTACATGAAATTGCTATCTGGGGGCTTGTTAGTCAATACAGAGGAAAATTAGTGAACTTCTTATATATGGAAATCTTTCCAGTGATTTTACCCCTCAATCTTTTTCTACAGCATACAGTACACTTTCGTACCGGTAGCTGAAATGTTGGCCTATTGAGTTCCATTGCCAGATTTATCCATGCATCTCTTTTCTGTACCACATGTAAAGGACCTTAAAAAGAATTTAGTTTTTAGAATGAAAAGAAAACAACAAAGTGAGTTTTAAAAGTACACCGATTAGGCCTACTGTACGAGACAGTAATTCTCAAATAAAAATCACAAAAAAATCCACATTTTTTGTTTCTCATCATGGGAAAAAGTGGGGGATGATACAATAGCCCATCCCCCCGTTCAAGCAACACATGAAGTGAAGCAAAGGAACCACTGCACATAAGTGGTTGGCAACTTAGGCCAAAAGAAACAGTCTTCGGTTTCTGGTATGGAGCTTGCCCCAAAAGTGGTGCGGCGGCGTGTTTTTTAAATTTTTAATTTGTTTTTTTCTTCAAATGTCGGCTGATGACTGCAAATGATGCCTGACAAAATATATTGCAAAACGTATGGGAGCCCAGAGAGGTCACATAAAGATAATACTGTATACTTGATCGTAACCCCATCTAAAAACACGTTAAATTATGCAGCAGCAGGATTCCAGTCAAACCAGTGAGTTTGGCGGTTTTGAGACATCATCTTACATTAAACTTTTTTTAAAAAATTTTGCATCATGTTGCCTGTTACAATGCACATAAACATGGAGTCTGTTTTGGTTTTCCGTGTGGCCTTGTTTTCATTTTTGAAAATTCCCCACAAATGACATTCCATACCTTTTTCACTATTTTTTATTGTCTAAAAATTGACTAACTTATATATAATGCCATAATCCCATAATTTTGAACCAGTTCCTCACATCATTCCACGGTCGGGTTCTTGGGAACCATGCATACCCCTACTACGTTCTAGCGATCTCAAAGACTTGCGTGTAAGTTGATGTGTTTTGAATTTCTCACACATACAGAGGCCCAAAATTACCAGGAGGAATGTACATCATTGGATCAGGCAGTGCAACAAATCAACGACCAAGCACAGTTGACGACATTTGGAGGTAACGTCAATTGCAGCCGGAATGCGGATTGTACTGGGTTGAGTTGCATGCTGACTTTGCAGGTGAGGCATGCGACAAGGAGAGATGAAATTTTACTATTATCGTTTTTGGCTGGAATAAGACAAAATTGACAGTAGTGTATGTTGCAGGCCTTCAATATTCCTACTTCTTGTACTTTTCCCTTTTTTTTCCCTCGCTCCTACTTTTTTACTTGAAATTCCTACTTTTTCCTCCTTTTTTCTACTGTTGTCTGACAACTGGAGAAAATGAAATCTCTTTGAATGTTTTTCATAAAAGTGTTTGTCATGAATGTAAATCACACAATGAAGGGCTTGGGCTCATGAGTACTGCAACTGTCCTTCCAAGAGCTTTCGAGCACGAGTGTTGTGAGTACAGAACATGCCAAATGAGGTTTATGATGCTGTGCACATGGCTGAGCATCAACAAAAGCTCTTCCTGAGAGCCTGCAAAACTTCTACTTTTATCTTGGTTTTGTCCTCCAAAGTCCTACTAGTGAATATTCAGTAAAAATAGTTTTTCCTGTCTGCTTTGCAAGCTGTGGTATCCTAGGTCACTACGAGGAAATGATGAAATGTTGATTTTGTAAAACAGTCGCGTTTGTATTTCTATGCCTGTAGTGTTTTGATAAGTAAACTTTCACTTTTCTGTATACCGTATGTGCACATTGCACTAGCTGTGTGTGTTGAAGTTGTTCTACCCATGTTCTTCAACTTGATCAATTTTTATTTCTCCTGTTTAAAGGGAATATACATCATTGGCTTTTGCTGTAATTTTAAGAAATGAACTATTTGAGGGGTTAGTATAATAGATCAAATATTGTTACACTCACATGTTTGAAGTTTTGTGTTCGAAAATGCTGGAAAAACCAAGAAAAACAAAACTGCTCAAGTAGTCTGGTTCCCTGACTCCACTAAATATAAAATGGATCAATTTACAGATGCCGGAAAATTGTAAGGTAAGGGTACCAGTCTAGCTGGCCTGCACCTGTTCATGAACATGTAACCAATAGCAAACAAAATTTGGACTGAATTAATGGTAAATTTGGAGCAGTAGTTGAAAAATAGTTAGGTTTTTCCAACGGTGGTCGACCGACCACCGCTGGAAATTTTTACAAAAATACCATTTTCTTGAAAATGACTTCACACCAGGTGCCATAATTTTACAGGATGCTTTAGACTGTCATTTACCAACATCCTATTAAGGTATTTCACAAAAACTTGGTAGTTTTATTTTTCGATGTTTGCAAATGTTGTATATTCCCTTTAATAACAACATGTCAATTTGTATGTTATATTTAAAAGGCTCCTTTATCCAAAATGCTTTAACCCATTACCACCCCAACCCTTTAAAATCCAACTGCACATTTTGTTGGAATCTGTTGGAGTGAGTATACCACCAGAATGTCTTCAGCTCAGTGTGCATGCGATTTAAAGGGAATATACATCATTTGCTTTTGCTGTAATTTTCAGAAATGGATGGAATTGGGGGGTTGGAAATATATAGCAAATATAGTTACACTGACCTTTTTGAGGTTTTGGGTTCGAAAACGCTATAAAAACCAAGAAAAACAATCATTTTCCTGTAGTCTGGTTCCCTGACTCATGATATAAGAAGAAACAGAGCAGTTTACATACATTGGGGAATTGTAAGGTCAGGGAACCAGTCTAGCTGGCTCGTACCCGTTCATAGGTTTGTAATCGATTGCAAACAAGTGCGATGGTCAATTGTGGCCAGTATTTGAAAAAAAGCCAGTTTTTTCCAACGCTGATCGGCCGATCAGCGTTGGAAATTGATACAAAAATACCACTTTTCTTGAAAATGACAGTATACCAGGTGCCATGATTTTACAGGATGCTTTACACTGTCATTCACTAACAGTCCAGCAAGGTATTTCAAAATGATTTGGTAGTTTTATTTTTTGATGTTTGCAAATGTTGTATTTTCCCTTTAAAATCCAACTGCACATTTTGTTGGAATCTGTTGGAGTGAGTATACCACCAGAATGTCTTCAGCTCAGTGTGCATGTGATTTAATGTTTAGCAAGTGGAGAGCTTTATGATCATGTTAAAAGTTTTAGAAGGATATCAAATACATGACTGCACAGGGACTGCCTTTTTCAAGGTGTATACGCTGAAGAGAGTTGAACAAACTTTTTGTCACTCAGGGAGAAGATAAAAACCTGATCCTGTCTGGTATGTGAAATTACATCCCCGGGGCAGTGGCACTGGAAGTGACATTTGGTCCATTTACAGTCATTTTGCTCAACTGGGACAGATTTATTGTTTTTATAGGCTGGACAAAAAAAAAATGCCCATATAAATCATCAAGCTGTAAAACGTCAAGATAGCCATTGGTGATCTTGTTGAAGTTGAAGTAGTTGAACCACATGTATGGTAAACGAGTAGTTCGCCCCCGAGCTTGCTCTTAGTTAACCATTTGTCTGGAAAAGCATGGCAAATTTGAAAGGAATGTACTTTTCGATAAAAATAACCAAAAAATGGATGTTAAATAATTTGCAACATTTACATTTTTTATGGAGGAGTAGAAAGTTGCAGGAAATGTGTTCCTAAGAAAAACTCATCTTATGGACCTGTTAAAGTTTGCAAAAAAAAACCTAGTTGGGTTTTGAAAGATTTTGGATGGTATAGTGCAGGTGTAATTACACATTTATAAGGGGAAAAAAGCAATTAACTCAGCTAGCTACCAACACATTCATTTGTACACGCATATTTCTCACATATACTTGTAAGCCTATGGTGTTTATTCATCGCAACTTTATTTTGAAAATAGAATTGCTTTTTTAAGTAATGTGTTGTTCTTTAACTTCACAAGAGTTTTGAAGTTGACTTAACTTTTTCTTTTTTCCATGTTTTCTGTAAATCAGCTGGTTTGGTTGCTTGGTAGGAAGTGCGCCCTCGAGGCTTTGGGCGCGTAGCCAATAGACTCATTCTATATTTCTGCATGGTTTTTCTTTCACTCAGGGTGAGAGAACCGAGCTGAGGATCAAGCTGCATCCCTGCGACGATCCTCCGCAGATGTACCTGCTGATCCAGGACCCAGACACCAACTTGCCTTACGTCGAGCAAACGGTGACCCACGGAGACACCTACGATATCCCAGGTTGGTCGGGGAAAAACGTCAAGGGCCAAATAAGCCATTTGCGAGTAACCTATACCCTTTGGGATTTACATTTGAAAAACGTCTGGTACAATGACTTGCTCAGAATGCTTGGCACATTTTAACTTTGAATTCTCCAGACCAAAGACACTGTTGCTAATCACAAGATTCGGGGCAAGCTCTTGCATAGTTACGTAAGAGACGCTCAGCACCAATACATCGTTCACAATGGGTGAGAATGGCACAAAGACACCAGACCATGCCAGAGCTGGGGGTTGCTAGCATAAGGCTTGCCCCGAATCACGTGATATAGTAACAGTCTCTTTGGTTGGGAGAATGCTAGGTTAAAACGTGCAAAGCATTGTATTAAGTCAGCGTTCCAGATTTTATTCAAATTTAACTCGCAAATGGCTTATTACATGTAGTTAATTGAAGAGCTGGGTCTTTTCCAATAATCAAATATTTGAATATTCGATTCCATTGGATCGAATATTCGGTTATAAAAATACAGATTTTTGGTCTTCCTATTTTCTAGTTTCAAATGCCGTCATGATGGTTTCATCATCATTTATTTCAACACAGTTTACATCAATATATCATTACAAAGAATGCTCACTTTGCACATTCGTGAATTTTATTCGTCAAAAATCTATTTCCATTTTCTTGGATGGATTCTACAATTTATTAGCGCATATATCAGCTGCATTTATTAAGCGTCTTGCAACACCTTAAAATAAGCTTTTAGAAAACAATTTGTAAAAAAAAATATTTGATTTTCCCCCTTTTATTTTATTACATTTCATCTGAATTTTGAATTGAAAAATAAATATTCAAATATTCAAATATTCAGCACAACCCTGGCTTATTGTAAAAAAATTGCCAATTGAAACACAAGAGAGGCCCTACTTGCAAAACAAACAGTGCCAGTGGAGCCTCTCTATCAAAATAACGATTTAGATTCATTATCCATTTCCTGAGACATTCACTTATTAGACGACTATTCAAAAGCCTTGACAAAGCTCATTCAGGCTGAAGTGAGTTAACCCTACTGCTGTTTGAACAGTCACAGATAGTCAAAAACTCCATCCCTTCTGCTGCCATACCTTTGTACACAGGCTAGTCACCAACAGTCCGATCACATTTCCTGTAGTTACTTGTCTAGTCAAATTCCATCAACAGACAAAAGCTAGTATCTGATTGGCACAGCTGGCCGAGCAATCGCCTACAGTCTAAGCATAGCTGTTTCCAGTGACATAAACAGTCACAGCCAGTCGATACTGTTTATGGCAACTGTTAAAAACAGTCACTTGATTTTGACTGCTGAGCTGGCTTTGGTGAATTTGCCAGCCAGAGAGGGAGGGTTCATTGGCAAAAATCAAGAAACATTGGCATTTTCTACTGATTACCATCATGCAATATTTGTTCCTGATGACTGGAAATGAAAACATCCATTGTTCATTTTGTTCCGTTGGGTCTCATTTTTAATATTTAACAAAACTGTATTGTTGGTTTGTAGGTTTACACTTCACCTACATGGACTTTCTGACTGTGAGTGTAGCCATTGGTGTACAGTTTGAACAAGTCTCTGGAGGATTCCGAATAGGGGTAAATATACATTTTATGTAGCTTAAAATCCATTCTTTTCAGTGACAAAATAGAGCAGTGGTGTTAATACGTCCTTCTATAGAAATACAGTAGTGAACATATTTTTCAAAAACATAGTCTGCTGTCGTAGAGGAAGCCATGTCTACAAGTAACAGCTCATTTATATAACTTGTCACTTGATATTGAGTCTAGATGACTTTGGTTGGCAAGTAATGCACCTGAGATATGACTTAACTTCAAATTTCAGCGGTTATGTTATCATATTTCCGCAGTTGAATCTGATACCTCGTCTTGGTGACACCGATCTTACTGCGATCCCGCTTCTGACACCAATAGACATTGCCACACCACCTTGCACCACTCAGGGACCAGGTAAGTCCAGTTTGAAGCCTCTGTAATTGCAACATCTGAGCTTAAAGGGAATATACAACATTGCTTTTGCTGTAATTTTCAGAAATGGATGGATTTAGGGGGTTAGTATTTTATAGCAAATTGTTACACTGACTTGTTTGAAGTTTTTGTGTTCGCAGAAGCTTGAAAAAAAACCAAGAAAAACAATCCTGTTCCTGCAGTCTGGTTCTCTGACCCCACTTAAGATGAAACGGAGCAATTTATAGATGTCCGGGAATTGTAAGATCAGAGGACTAGTCTTGCTGGTTTGTACCCTTTCATAGACATGTAATCGATTGCAAACAAAATGTGGACTAACTAAATATGGTGACTTGGGGGCAGTTTTTGAGGGGGAAAAAAAAGGCATTTTTTTCCAAGGTCAGCCTACCAGCGTTGGAAATAGATACAAAAATACCTATTTCTTGAAAATCACAGCACATCAGGTGCCATGATATTACAGGATGCTTGAGACTGTCATTCGCTAACAGTTGAGTGAGACATATTGCACAATAATTTGGTAGGGATTTTTTTTTTTCCCCTGTTTGCAAATGTTGTATGTTCCCTTTAAGAGATAACCACATGCTCTTTGAATCTGCATTGAAATGTACAGTCTCCCAAGGCATGGCCTTTAAACCTTCCGGAGACAAACTTGTGATTATCACAATTCCCTTTTTACTTCCCACTCCATTGCCTCCAACCCCCCCCCCCCCCCCATCTCTACCATATATCAAAATGGCAGAGGTTTCAATTGCTGAACTGTATATTCATATCTTTATTTTTTTTTCATTCCAGAAAGCTTGCAGTGCATACGGATGAGAGAACTTGTAGAAGGACTGCGGCCACCTTATGATTTCCAGTGCCTGAGGAACAACGATTGTAGGGGCTTCAGCTGCAGCGGAGTAGTCCAGATTGATCCAGTTGTAAGTGTTTTGACAAACTGAGTTGAAACATTGAACAGATGATGTCATTCTGTCAGTGGCAAACAGTAGATGATTGGTGACCACTTTCTAAATTAGGAGGGACACGCTGCATGTGCATATTGGTTCTCGCATATATGGCGTGAGATTTGCACGACTTTGATATTCTAAGAAGATCTGAACAAGCATGTGACTAGCATCTTTGTGTCCTTTCCATCGTCTCCCCCAATGTCCTCCTCCGTAGGAAGTACAGTAGAACGCCACTATGGGCTCCATGCGCCAACAAGAGAGGGCACGTTTTTTCACTTTTTTGAGCTCCGTGGAGGGGACACACATCGTTAGCGTATATACTTTACTGTTCTGGTTCGTGCGTGAAGTACGCACAACTTCCTGAATGTGCAAAAGCTTTATAGCCACAGCGTCTTCGCATGAGCGTCAGGTTTCGTCGGGGCGTGAATACGTTCAAATTTAACTTGTAATGGTCTCCCAGACTAATCCCCGGCCGCAGTAACTTTGGATCATTTGATATACACAGTGGACGGACCGGGAACCAGTCTAGGTCTCCCCCAACTCTCCTTTTCTCTCCGTTGAAGGAATACTTGTGGACGGAGCCCATAACCAATATGACGGGGTCCATTGAAAAAAATCAACCACCCCTTCAAATTTTGGCCTTGCCCAACTGTACTGTAAAATGGCAATCTCCAACTTGACGCTCATTTCGTGGTGACAGTTATACAGTTAAGGCAAAAACAATGTCTAATTGCAGACAAAATTGCTGAATGCCAAAACTGTAATAACACGTTAGTTTGCTTGTATTTTTTTTCTACAAGTCTTTTCCAGTCTCGGCAAATTCAGTCTTGGACAGTTGTACGGTGCCCATCTCCTACAACATCACCCTGCGGGACGGGACCGGCCGATTTCTTTGGTCCCACTCTTTCATCCATTCCGAAGAGGTCATTATCCGTAAGTGACGCAAGTTTGACGCTTTCTGCATCTTTCTGCTGAGTGGATGCGTAAATTTGTTTTGTAGCCTTGCTGACGACAAATGGTGGATTTAAAGGCACGTAGGAAATGGACCTTACTCAAAGTTAAAAAAGGATTGGTACCAAAAACCCTGTGAAATTATTCTGCCTGAAATGGTAGCGTTTGGAAGAAAACAGTCATTGAAGGTGTTTTTATAAAGATGTGCCTGCTGGCACACTTGTTTTGAAACGGCATGTTTTTAAATAGAAGTGCTAGTAACGGGCACCGGAAAAAAATGCAAGGGTTTTATCTGTTTTCTCAAAATGTATGGTATGCATTGAGCTGAGAATTCATAAGGTCGGTTGTTATGCATACTGTTTAAAATTTTCAGCAATTTTGTTGCTTCAAATGATAAAAATATGTGAAAAAAGCAAATGATATTACATGTGAACAAGAATTCAAGTCAGTTTCTGACAAACAGTTTATCTAGATTCGTTGGAAATTGCGACCAGGAACTGTCGTCAGTTGACACTGTACTCTCCCACATTCTGCCTTCGTTCATACCTGTCAGCTTCATGATTACTGTGCAATTATAAGAAAAGATCCTGCAAAGTTCAAAACATCAGGCCCTCCGCCTATCTATCATTTACAAGTTGGATCGTCCCGTCATCAGTAAGCAGTTTAGAGCAGCTTTTTATTCATTTCTTGTTTTTATTTCTCAAACGGATAATGTCATTTCTGTTCAACAGAAGGGGATAGTATTAGGCTACCTCCAGGGGTTGTAGTCAAGATGAACGTAACCATGGATCCGGTGACAGAAGACATTGATTACTTGCTGACCACGGTAAGATAATGGCTGAATTCAACAGGCACAGATACGTCATTGTCAAGTCCATTACAAGTCAAAATGACTAGGCAATCACAAGTCAAGTCACAAGACAGTCACAAGACGATCACAAGTCTGGTGACAGGACTATTGTATTCAACCCAAGTCATTCACACTAAGAACAGGGCCCAATTTCATGGCGCTGCTAAGCACCGTGACAGAGCCTCCGTCTATTTCATGGAGACCATAAGCATAAGCACAGCAAAAGGCACGCTTACTTTGGAGGAAAAATTTGCTATCTTAGTGACGTAACAGTGAAAATCTCCATGCACGCGTGACCGTTAGCAACATACACGCTGCGAAATAGCGCTTAAGGTTAGCAAATTTTTCTGCTATGCTAAAAACAACTTTTGTGTTAACTATTAAGCAGCGCCTTGAAATTGGACCCAGGTGATGAGCAACGAAAAAGAAGGGCCTTTTTGGCAGTCGTTTCAGTATTTTCTCCCTTAACCACAATTGGATGTCACACAATCGCGAAGAATTCTACCAGCCCCGTCAAGCCAGGATTCCACCAATCATGCTAGGACTTTACTGACGCCAGGGTCCCACTAACCACTGTAAATAGAGCAGCACAATCAGCTGTAGCTATCGCCTGATGAAGTTTAGCAGTGTGCAGTCAAAACGTGTCGCGTACCACTCCAGTAACCACATCTTGAGACCAATGAGTAACCAGTACAGTCATGTCTCGTTAATACAAACTTGTTCGGACCTAGCCAAATTGTTTGTTATATCAGAATTTTGTGTTAAGAGGAACATCAGTCCCATTCATCGTGCACATAAATGCACAGTTGAGCTAAGACTTTGTTTGTTATAACCAGAATTTTGTATTAACAGAGTTTGTACTAACAAGATTCAACTGTGTATCTATTTTGATCAATTCTGCATTGCATGGGCATGAGTAGTGTTGAAAGACAAAATTAGCCCCGATGACAACAATAACAGTTCTGCTTTGCAATACTGGAATGAACTATCTTTATGTAATTCATATTTCTTGGTTCTCAGCTGGTAACAACTTTAAAAAGTAAATTTCTCCTCTTGGTGTTTTTGCTTAGTGTAGTTAAGAAACCGCTCGCTATCTTCTCTTTTTTTTGCCCCAGATCCGACTGAAGGTTTACTGTGGTGATTCACAGTGTGGAGATGAGACTTTTCTACAGAATGACCGTGTTCCCATCCCACCATGCGGTAAGTTGACAACTGTGACCATCCATCACCAATAACCTGGAAAGTTAAACATTTCAGTTCTTGAGGTTAACCCATTAGTCACTACAGTCCTTCTGATTTGAAAATCACAGGCATGTGGAAAAAGGCACACCTGGATTTTTCTAGGCGTGTGATTTTTCCAGGCGCGTAATTTTTCTAGGTGTCTGATTCTGTAGACCAAACTGGGACTGAACAATCTGGTATTTGTTTTTATAACATTCATCTTGGTTCACAGTAAAGCCGTTTTCTCTTCACTGACATACTTTTTTTTTATGGAGTGTAATTATGCCATAAATGTATGCCGAGGTGTGCGGTACAGAGGGATTCAGGCGTGCGATTATTCACACTTTTTGGGAAGCTTTTAGGTGTGTGACGGCATGGGGGTGTGATCGCACGCCTCAAATCAGAAGGACTGCACTAGACTGCCCGAAACTGTAGCGCCCGAAACCGCATTTCCTATAGAGTACCAAAGTGAATACATCACGCGCACAAAATGTGTGTAAAAGACATCAGCGCGTGATTCAGCCCGTGAACCAACACGCGCGCGTACTCCATTCGTTTGCACTACACTTTCTGGTTCTAAATGACGTCACACTTCTGTACTCTATTGCTCATTGTAGCCCCGAAACCTCCCGACCCCTCTGTGGTTTTATTGATTTTTCAGTGAATAAACACAATGTAATACAATGTAGTACAGCCTGAACTGTGGCGAATCCCATCGCTATGATGTTCAGAAATTTCAGGTTATTTAAGCATCTTGCTTCTCAATGGTGAGATATGCAGATAGGTGGGTCTGGCACAATGACCACACAAATTCGTAATGAGTTCAAACTAATCTGTGTTATTCCATTACAGATCACCCGATGCCAACCTCCACCCGCGGGCCCACCGTATCCTTGACCCCGATACCGGGTGCAGATGATGAGTGTTCAACCTTTCAGGCCATTGCCACTGACATCATGAAGAATGAATTCTTTGTAAATTACAATATGGAGTGCCAAGCCAATCGTCCAGACAGTGGCCCGTGTGATGGTTTGACATGCAACATGACTTCCAATGTAATTGTCACTGTTTTTTTTTAATGTAAGGCCTGTGCTGACAGTGAAATTGCCTATTGAGAACCATAATTCTAATTAAAAAAAAAAAATTGCATGAATCTACCAAAGTTGTGGTCAAGTTGCTAAAAGCTAGAAATTATGAATATAAACCAAAATAAAAGGAACGGTTTTACAAAGCAAATAATCGACCAATACATTCAAGGAACTTTCAAAGATGCATTCCCTGCGCTTGTTTAAACTTTTATCCTGAACAAGAGATTTCTTTTCTAAATTGATGTTTTTCTAGCAAATTAATACAAAAGTTAGACACTTTTGAATGAGATATCGACTGGAAAAATCCACCCATGTTTAGTTTATAATGAGTTATTACTTTACACATTTCAAATTACTTGCGGTCTGACAATCATTCCATTCTTGCGGGGTTGGTTGGTTCCCATCCCACAATCAGTATTAATAGTGTACGTAACGGTAGCCAGTTTGACTAGAACTTCATGTCACACTAGTTGTAAGACATTTCTTTTATTTGCAGGGCAATGATTTTGTCTATAAGATGAAGTTGTTTCAATGTGAGACACCAGTTCGTCTTCTGTTCACCGTTGATAATCGGGAAGAAGCCCGCAACTATCACTTGGCCAGAAACGTTTCCGGCAACGACATTGTTCCTCTTGGTGAGATCACAATAATACAAGGAATTATTGTAATGTAAAATGTAATGTTGCCTGGATAGATACCCTTAATTAATCAAAACCGTATGTCTTCTCGGTTCAATTTCACTGGGCTACTGACCCCAAAATATGGTGGAACTAATTTATGTACAAAGCAAAATAACCTTTGATCTTGTCAGGAACTTTTTCCATTGCATTGCATGATGTTCGGGTTTTCAGCTTGTACCCATCTTCCAAATGGGGGCGCTCTTCAAAACTGACCATTATTATGCATACTGGCAAACATATGCCGATTTTCAAGGCGCATTGTGATGGTTTTGGAGCTTGGTTGTTTTTTTTTCCCCTGTCAGAACTCTATAACCATTTATGTAAATAGTTACTAAAAAAAATATCTTTCAAAGAAATCCGCCAGGGGGGTAAGGTGGCCCCCCCCCCCCCCCCCCCCCCCCGGAAACGCCACTGCGCTGAATACTTGGCGCAAAAGTGAACGCGAAAGCAAACCTGAATTTGTTGACATGTTTTCGCGCAGCAAATGCGCAAAAGTTTAACACATTTGAACTCCAGCGAATTTCGCAGTGAATATTTCATGAGATCAAATTCACTTCGCATTCGCATGGAGCATGAACTGTTCTCAAGAGACCAAATAGGCCCATTCTAGATGAAAGTGCACCTTTAATGCTGTTTATTTTTTCACTTTTGTTTGTTTATTTCCGTTTAAAGATGGTGTTCAGCGGGGCTTAAAGATCAAGATAGTTGTGGTCAAACGGATGAATGGTGCCATCGAGCTAGCTTTGACCCTTCAGTATCCCATATCTTCAGGGCTGCCACCCGTTCCCCTTGTTCAAGATCGCCTCGTGCCTGTTGCACCTTGCAGTAAGTAGGGGGTAGTGCTGTGCTTTTTTGAAGTAGTTTATTATATGATTATTGGGACTTGGATTTGATCAAATATTTGAACACTGACATTGAGTTAAAAACGTTTTTATGAATATCATGTACATGTATGTATTGGTGTATTTTTCTCGATTTGTAGCTGACTAGCCAATATTTGACAGAATTTAAGATGCAATTTGGGATTAATGTTCTTTAAGGTAGCTTTCCAATCATGCATGTAAAGTGGCTGTTCACAAAAAATGTGGCAATTGACAAACAAAACCACTCAAACTTTAAAAATAAAATTACATCACCGATGTTTTTTCGTCATCGAGACGGCTTACATTTTCGAGTATTTTGTTTGATATAATGCTGTGTTTGGATATTCGTTTGATGGGCCAATATTCAGATATTCATGTATTTTGCACGGCCGTAACTGGGTGCAATCACATTTGCAGCGTTTATTTGATAGTTAAAAATGTTGCTATTTATTGGGCTACCCGTAAACCACCTATGAGTCAGCATGCAGGCTGCATCTGGAGGACAATACGGGCTGGATGTTTCAGTCCATGTTTGACTGAAAGTAGACATTTCTACCATCATACTTTTGGTCCATCTCCCCATGTTGCCTGAATACTGAACTAAATGCTTAACAGATTAAGGGGTGTTGAAACTTGAGGTGTTTGTAAAAGTTTAACCAATGGGGTACACTGCTAATGTTGACAGTAACTTATTGAGTAACACACTTTTGGATATTAAACACATTTTGTCCATAACTGCACTTCCCTTTTGCACCAAAATGAGAGCATGGAGCAGTAGGAGTCTCTTTGAGATATGTTGGACACAATAAGAGGGCGCTGTTTTGTTTGGGTAAACTCTTTTGTATTTACCCAGATACATTCAAACTAAACAGCGCCCTCTGATTGTGTCCACCGCATCTCAAAAAACACTCCAAGGATCTGAGAAGAAAGGCAGGTGTTATGTGCAGGCCCGTCGCCAGCTCTGAGCGTCAAGGGGAGCCATAGTACCAACTAGGGGGGCCCACTACCGTAAAAATACACATGTATGGCTTTTGCTGTTGGGGGCCAATTGCTCGCCAAGGTGGGCCCGGCCCCACCAGCCCCCCCCCCCCCCCCCCTCCCTTGGTGACGGGCCTGGTTATTTGATAATAATATACATGATAATTTGTGTTTTTGTTTTTATGGTTGTTTCTTTAGCCACCACCATGCCTGGGCCAACAGATTCAGCCAACAATCCCACAAAAGTCACCAAGCCAGGTACATTTTGACCCCCAAAAAGATCAGCATAGGCCCTACCTTCTTTCTCATGTTGCACAACAAAAACTCTCCAAAATAAGTTAGATTTGGTTTTCAAATTTGAATTTAATCATCTGTAACTGACCAACTAATTTATGTAGCAACATCGCTACCTCCGTATGTCTTCAACATGTCACTCACTCCAAAAAAAGATTATTTTGTTGTTGTTGAAAGTGCTACAATTACCATTATATTCATATATATATATATATTAATTTATTTTGTAGCTGGAGTAACTGATTCAACTCCTTACAAATTCACAACTGGCTCCGCAAAAGTGACTAAACCAGGTACAATACCCAAAAAAGGACTTTCCCCGTCGCATAAGTTGGACAAAAACAGGAGGAAAAAACACTATTACAAAATTGCTTGAACTTCTTTCAGAAAATTTGAAAGCATGCAGATAAGTTGAATGAAATCAATTGAATCAAAAATTCAAACATTCCGCGACTTTAATAATTAAATGAATCTTGGATAGTTTTGGACAAGGTACTAGCATCCTCTTACAACAGTTGAAACAAAGAATCAACCACAATCTGATTCAATCTACCAATTGGATTCAAAGTAAATTTACATATTCCTTTTTGTATTTAAAAAAAAAAATTTCTCATTGTCAAATGATAAATAAAGTTGTTTTCCCTTTAGAAAGGTTGCATTAAATCTGCAAAAGGTTTCAGTCATAAAAGCAAAAAAATAAAGTACCCGCCATTAGCCATCCAGTGTGTCTCAAGTTTAGGGTTAGTGGGAATCAAGACCTAATTTTACGCAGGATCTAACTTTTTGGGTAAATGCAGCATGTCATGTTATGGAAACCTTTCCAAATGAACCCAAATAATGTAGACTTTAGTTCTGTTAAATGTCTCTATTATTTTTTTTTTTAATCAGGAGCTAATGGTTCTGGTGGTGGTGGTGGTGGAAAGGGAGGCAAGTCAGGCAGCGCTACGTCAAATAAAGGTAGGTTGCCCTATCAGTATCTATAGGCATTGTGCATGAATACTAGAGGGCGCCATACCACTTTGCCAGAGGGGCACATTTAACCGGGTTATCGAACCCCGGCTTCAGCTCTGGGTTCAGTTGTGAAAAAGCCTTTGATGACCAAACCAAATGGAAGTACTCTAAGTTTTGGTCTCATTCACAGAATTCGATGTCGTTTGGATGTCATTTTATAGGATTTGATGAAGTAAAACCGAAACTGAAGTAAAAGTTTCAACAAATTGGCATGTGCATTTCGGCCCTAGAGAACAAATACAAGCATGAGAATGTTCATACTTTAGTTTGAGATCAAACATTTGGAATCTGAGAGAAAAACATTTTCAGCATAGAAAGAAACGCATCTTTTTATCAATTTTTTTCAACAAAAATTTGTAGAATTCTTTGTATTAAAATTGCCAATATCATTCCTGTAAATAGCAACCAAAATGCCAAGACCAGTTGAATGAGATGACGTTCCAGACCAGATAAATCATTTAAGTTTACACACATGAACAGTGTCCCCTAATGTAAAAGATAGTCCAGCTTACAGACAGTTCCTGTTTAAAATTTTCCCCTACCCCTGCAATGCAGTATTGACCTATCGCGGTAGAATCGCGGTAGAATCGCGTCAACGCAGCTTGTGAAATATTGTCTAATTACATGATACAAATGGACGCGGATGCGCAAAATCTGAGACAAACAAAACTTAGTGTACAAAAACTCCATAGGATTGTCTAAGGGGTGTGGCTAACTCGCAAACGGCGATAGGTCAATTCAACTGATGTTTGTGTTTTTCTTTTTCAACCCACAGCAGCCATGATTGCCATCCCTGTGGTTGTCGTGGCAATCGTTGTGGTCGCTGTCGTCATCTTGGCTGCAGTATGGTATCGTCGCCGTTCCCGTCGTCCCAATGATCACATTAACTTGATCGAGAACACAACTGCACCAATGTAAATCACCCCCTAGCCATCCCCCCAACCCTTCCTCCCAGAACAGCAGGTAAGCATAGTTGCTTACACGTCAGTGCCTTTTGGTGTGAAATTGTCAAGAGAACCGTACCAAAAATAACTGAACCATCCATGTGCCGTTTTGTGTCTGTCAGTTAAGTACGTACAAACTATCACTTCTGAATTTATCATAATTGTGATTTTTATCTCTTAAAAAAATGGATAAATATTTCATTCACTTGCTGTTGTCAGTTGAAAATAGAGGGATATAATTGCTCAAAAACCATGATAAAATTCAAAATTTAATATGAAGTGGATGACCCTATGAAGACGCCTTCCAAGCTTTTATGTACTTGCCGTAACCTATACAGAGTTGTTCTGTTGAAGGTTGACCTTTTCAAAATGAAATATTTAAGAAAAAATAACTGCCATAACAAAGGCAAAAACATGCTATGGGCTCCATGCACAAGTACCCCCTCAACGGTAAGGACGGGAGAGTTGGGGAGACCACTTGGAGTGACATTCGAACGATGCCAACGATGCCCAGCGCTCATACGAAGACACAGAATGAACTTAGTCGTGCGTACTTCGCGCCATACGTGCATGCGGTGTGCCCCGTCCACGGAGCTCTCGAGAGTGGTAGATTGGCGCCCTCTCTTGTTCGCGCACGGAGCCCATACATCAGAATAACTCAAAAGCAAGAAACTAGAGTTACTCCAGAATTTGGGATTTTTTAAATTACTTTTGGAAAGTACATGTATGCAAAGTTTATATTTGTTTTCAAATCATCATCTTTCGCGAGGGGTCATTTGGCAGATAGAACCCCACCTGATTTTGTGTGGAACTTCGTGGAACCTATTTTAATCGGTTTTCGTGTTTGTACATTTAAGTCGGCTTTTTTTTCCGAAACATATATCCAAGATGCTTTCACAAACAATGTTAATGGTACCACAGTTACACAGATTAGTTTACGTGTGGTTGATGTAATTTTTTAGGCTTATACTTTGTGCATGTACGTTGTTAATGACTGTATATGGGCAGCACACATTCTGTAATGATTCGATATTTGTAAACTGCACGCATAATTTAATGGCAGTATCGCACCAGTTTCCTATTCAATGGCAGTTTATACAGCCATTTCAAACTGGGGGTTGCAGAGCTGCCCCAAAGCAAGACCAACTCTGGTTAACCCAAATGGTGATCGTTTCTTGACCAGGACTACTCCTTCACTTTCCAAACAAAGCGTCAAATTTGTGTGATAAAGAATCCTAAACATTTTGGCAGTGGTGCAAAATTGTTTTGAGGCGGTCGACTAACACTCACATTATGCAGTAAACACAGCTAGGCATCATTTGGTTTAATTTTTTCAGAAAAATAGTGTGCACAGTGATATCTTCTGAGTAGTGGCCTCATGAAATTTGGTCCTGAGTCACCGTTTTGTTTCACCTAATGGTTATTCATGCTATATGAATATATGAATAAGTAATTTTAAGCATATAGGCACATCTGTGTCATACATGTAATGGTGTATTTTATGTAATCAAAAGTACTGGTACATGTTTTACTCATGTAATTGTTTTAAGGAAACTACAGTTACGGTAGGGTGATGGGGTATTTTAAGTTTAATGTCAATAAGATATATATTTCTTTTCAGAAAACAATTTCATTTATTTTGTTTTACAATGATCTCCATGGAAAGTTGTAGAGAATCATTTGATACCTCTCAAGTTTCTATATATTTTTTTTCATGAGAAATAAGTTACTCTGAAATTATTTGGAATGTTTTTTGTTGTCATTTGGTAGACTTTTGTCACAGTATATGCTATAGTTTATATTTGGCGCCACGCCAAGAAAAAAACCAATGTATTGTTGTTATGTGAGCGCACAAACTTACAGCTTAAAGTTATGTCTTGTATTTTATATATTTTGCTTGTGGCTGTTAATTAGCTGGTATTATACAATGTCCGAATAAATCTCCGTCGTCTGATTGGTGGGTCGTTGATCAAGTGTCATTGAATTATTCGTCCCAACGCACGATTATACTTTTGGTTGCGCTTAAACACAGCTCAGATAAACTCTGATGCTGTACATTCATAAAAGGTTACAAGTCAATCAGACAATGAGGATTTATTCAGGCGTTGTATATTAAAAACAAACAATGAATTCATGCTGTGGAAAGAATTTGGTGACATTCATTTTGCCTCGTGAGATGAAATACATCTGTCGCCTCATGAAATTATTCTTACCATTGCACTCACATTGTTTGTATACTAACAGTGAAGCTGTTAATTCATTATTTGCCAAGTAACTCTGGATGTACCATAAGTTAATTACCCTTAAAAGGTTAGATTGGGTGCTAGACTTCAGGGTGTAGTAAAGTCATTGCTTAGATTGAACGAAGAGAATTGACGGGGTAAGATTCAAATGTTTAACAGAACTGCCGGTATCCAGCCCTAAATGTTAGTTGGAAGTTTGCCAAGTACTAGCCAGTGTAAAGGAATCTGATTCAAAATTTGAACAATTGGATACAATTATAATGGTATTCGTGAAGTTGCATCAGTCCATTGTGTTTTTTGCTTTTGTGTCTATTTGACGATACAAATGCTATTTCATGTATATATATGCAGTACAGTACTGAAAAATAGACAACTTCTCATGGAGTACTGTTAACTATTTTTTTATAATCATCTGATGTCTTTAAAATATATCAACGTTAGTTTATTTTTATGAAGTTTGCCTGAGTAGTTTATAGATGTCATGGTGCAGTACAATCACGATTATGAGTATTTAGTATTATTTACTTATAAATGTTTTTTTAAATAATAGTTTAATTTTCACATCAATTTGAAAACAGTTAAAAACAAATTGAAATCGTACATCACATAGCAAAATATTTTATTTTATCAGAAAAGAAATATAACTGCCTGACTTCATCTTTGTATCACAATTTTTCCAGTTTTATTTGGTTGTTTGTTTGTTTGTTTTTCTTTTTTGGATGTGTGTCTCTTTATTTTTTTCCAGTAGGAAGGCAAAAAGGGTATTTGTTCTTAGTTACTTCTGTACAATTGTTGCAATGGTAGGTTTTGTCTACAGGGCATATGCAGTTTATGTTTTGTTTCATTGAGTGTATGTGTAATGCTGTAGCCGATGAAATGCACTGTTAGTTTTGAAATAATTATTTCAGGTTATTTAGTCATTCAGAAAGTTCTATTTTTCATTTAAGTTATCTCGCATGCATGCAGATGTAAGTAGTTTGCCTCTCTTCAGTGCACAGTTAAACTGTTCTTTAACGTTTTGTTGGTTTATCACAAGTTGATTGTTATATTTCTGTGTCTCACTGCTCAGCGAAATTCATGGCGAAGTCATGTGATTGTTTGTCAGGTGAACGTTGATTCTAAATCAAAATTCAATTTGTTGATCATATTGAAGCCACTTCATGGGTCGAAATCAGACAGAAAAACTGAGAATACATTTTAGAAGTGTCAATTCTTGTGTCTCTGAAATATGAATTGCCACAATATATCGCTTAATTATGACGTATATTTTTTATAAGAAGATAATCAACATGGTTTTGCCTTTTCTTTAGTGGAATAGCTGTGACAATCTTAGTGTCAATAAAAAGTTGTTATATAATAAGCTGAAGTAGTCCAACCTGTTGCAGCCTGCATGGAGTCATTGATTTCGAAGCCGTAACTCAGAGCTTATGATCTGAGGAGAGTTTCTTGTGACCGTTGACATGCTGAACAGACCAAATCACGGTGAAGCATTCATTCGAAATTTTATCAAAATCTTGTGTTACTTAAAATGTGACACTGGGCCTGTGAATTAAAATACAGTTTAAACAGTGCGAAAAATTGAGCAGTGTTTTACTTAAGGAATTGCGTGTCAAGAGCGAATCTTCACTTCTCTTGCATGTCATAAACCCTAAAAGCTGTGACTTCTTAATATTAAATGAACAATTGATTGCTAGAAACCCTTTGACAGACCGCAAAAATAGTTGTCATCATACTATCCACTGATGACTCAAACACTGAACACTAGAAGGCCTCACTGGACCCTTATCAAGCAACACACTCGCAAGAGGGAATGGTGGATTATTTCCCTTGAGCAACTATTAATAGTTTGCCCTTTAGCATGAGTCATTTCCAGATGGTGGTTCAAGTTGAGCTTCTACGGAAGACATTTCAAAGTTGCCCCTCATTCTCGGATCATTGCTTTAGCCCGGTAAGTTCCGTACACTTTTATTTCTTAAACACCATTTTGTTACAATTAGAGAAAATTGTAGGTGATTTGTAGCAGTAAGGACACTTTTTTGTCTGGAGAAAGTTTTTAAAGTAGGTAGAGAGTTTCAGTTAAAAAAAAAATTCCTCCCTTTTTGGCGAGGGGTTTGATGTGTTCTGAGGAGGCGGTACTCTCAAGGTTTTGGCAGTGAGTCAGCCCGGTGTGACGGGTATTAAATTAAATTGAACGAACTTGTACTTGGCACTTTTTTCTTCTCCACCGGAATTTAATTAGAGTTGAAGCCAAGATTTTGTGTTTGTGGGCTTGTCAATTACTCAGAGAACTCTCTTAGCTTTTAGAGAAGGTTTAAGCTGTGGTTTCTTTGTTAGCTTACACTTGTCACAGTGCAGATGTCCATCTGTTAAACACTTTTTATTTCCTCGGATCTGACCATCAAAAGGTAAGCTTTTTGAATCCATAATTACTCATCCCTCAGAAATGGACAAACATGAATCATGACGCGTAATTTGTATTTCCTATGTGCAAGTTTCAGGGATTACTTGGTTTGTAGTTTACTTGCGTGAACATTTTTTTTTTAAATTCCATTTGTATCAGTAAACACTGTAATGAGGAATCATAGATACAGGACCTTTTTTGCTATGGAGTATGAAATACTTGTCGTGTAACTTTCACCTGATATTTGTTTAGGTAAAGCAACAAAAACACCTGTGAATACCAACAGTTTTCTTCTTGAACTTATAAACTGATCTACACAGAAACTGTTGCATGGAATCTTCAAACTCTACAAGACAGTCTTTCCAAAATATGTGAATTGAGGATAACGGAAGACGACTTAACAATTTCCAAGATGGCTTCAGGGTGTGGAAGGATGCTGAGCATTTCATCACGACTGTTGTGGCTTGTAATGTTACTGGGATTATACAGTGGATCAAGGCAACACATAGCAGGTAAGGACTTTGAAATAATCCGTAACAATTGTGATCCAGAATCAAAGGTTGCCATTTTTTGCTGTTCCCAGAGGGCCAGCTAACCATCCTCTTTGTACCTTTGTAACTGACTCGCATGACTGACTCATCACTCCTGAGCCGGGCAGTGCTATCATATAGGATTACCCTATAATGCCAATGAATATGCTAAATCTGGACCATTGTGGACACGCATGCATGAAAAAACTTACAGTGAATAGCTATTCTGAATCACTTTCATATTTAAAATGATCTTCAGAACAACATGTCAAGTAAATGATTTAAGCGTAAATTTTCTTTAACTAGTTCACACTAGTTTTCAGAAAGTCCGAGTTCAAGAATGTGTTTTGTGGTACATTCCCACTTGTGGTTTTGAGCCATTTCTGTAATTGGCAGAAATGTTCACTTTCTGAGGATTTTTTTTTACCTTTTTCTTAGATGCGCAGCAGACTGTTGATCCCCAATGTTCATCCTTAGACGGCCTGATTGATCACATTGTACGCAGCATGCATTCCATGCCTGCTACAGCGGTAATCTGTGCTAAGATGCCAGGATGTACAGGAGTCAGATGCTCCCTCAACATCTTGGTACGTTTCCTATCATTCTTTAAGAAACCCAGAAACCGGGGTGCATATAGTATCGGTGCAGGGGCATTCAAATGCATTGCTGATGATGCTTGATGCCCAATGTGAAGATGATGTGGGCTCGTGCACATTCGGAGTAAATTTTAGTCACGCCTACTTTGTTGGAGGAAATGTGTGCGAACCAGTATGTGTTAAGGTTAACAGGTTTAACGGGTTTAACGGAAGGTTCCCCCTCCCCACTGTAACGTCCATCTCCCCACTTGACGCCAGAACCCCATTCGCAGATAACTGATAATTTATAACATGTTTGCCTTAGTTATAAAATGCACTTAATACACAGGCCATTCAGTTTGGAGACTTCAGAAAGCTGTTTTTCATTATCATTTTAAAATGTCTTGGTCCCTTTCCCGACAAAGGCACATGTAAGATACATTACCTGATATTGAATATTGTAGCCTTACCAATTTTCAACATACGTGTAGTTCACCTTTTAAGGGGAGGGGGCGTAGGAAGGTCACATTTATGTATAGCTTTCTGCTCCCCTTTATCAACTTCCTGTGTGTATGGGAAACCTGTAGGCATATGAGTATAAATATAATACCCTTTGGATTTTTTAAGACGGCGCTAATAACCTTACTTCCTCATTTTGACTGGTTTCTTAGCAACCCTCCCCATTGGACAAAATGACCAATTTCCTCTGCGTGTGATGTGGTGTCCATATTGAAGCATGCAAGTACGTGCATGTACACTTTCATAAGTCAAATCTAGAAAGAGAATTTCAAAATTAAATATTTCTCGACGTCTTTTTTTTACTTTAACATTCTATTCAACTTCTAATATGAGAATTGCTGATTTGAAAAAAACAACTGGACTTCATTTTCCATATTTTGACATTTTATCCGTTTTTGGTAACAAAGAAATACTTATAATAGAAGATGAAGAATTGGACATAATATGTACACTTAATCCTGCTGGGATAAAACAAAAATGTGTGTATGTATTACATTTGGCAGATGTACACTCCATAAATATAAAGAAGTCAACTAGTAAGAATTCAGGCTTTACATTGTGGAGAAGTAAATTGTAGAACCAAAACACCTTATAACAATATGACTTATATTCTGTTGGTAACACTCGACGTTTAAATCATTGTAGATTGATCATCTTCATCAGGAGAATTGCTGTACTCGGGGTACCGCATAAGAGAGAAGGATGATCAGAAACATTGACCAGATCTCGGAACTAAGTATTACTTATATTTTTTTGTTTTACTATTCAGGGGCAGAACATTGGCATTAGTCTGAGGATGTACCCCTGTGCCACACCGGCACAGATGAGACTTCGTATCTTTATTCCTTCCAGCGGGATCAACTTCAGCCAGATGATCACCCACGGAACCACCATCTCTCTTCCAGGTTTGTCTAAACCAGCCACATCGGTCATCACATTTGTGACATGATTTCAGGCTCAGTTAAAAACAAATCTGAAAATTTGGTTGATTCTAGGTTAACATTAATTTTTCACGACCTGATCATCAAAACGTTGGAAACTTTTGAAACGTCTATAAAGTTTTAAAATTCTTTGGAAAGTTTAGGACTTGCAGATTAAATTTGGCATTTTGAGGAAATTGATGAATTGAATATTGGAAATTGTACAATAATTTGGGAAAATTGTTGGGGCATTTCAGTTCGTACTAATCATTTTCAAATTTTGAATCCTTTTTGCAGTCTGTTTTGTTTTTGTGTCAAATTTTCCAATGGACAGTGTGCCATTAGACCATTTCCTCCCCTTATAAGTTTCAACTTAAAGTTAGGGATCATGCCCAACTCACAATGTAAGCAGTCTTGGCAATAAACTTGGGAAATAGGAAACGGAGATCGCTCGGAGGGTCGATTCCCTTTGTGGTTATTTGGAGATTTGTTTAGTGTGATCGCTTCATTGACTTGTGCCCAGTCACTCCCCATATAAACAGCCCAAAGGTGTGTCTATGAATTCCACAGGGTTCCAGTACAGTCCTTTGCCGGGGATCCGTGTGCAGGCTCAGATGGCAGTCAACTTCAAGAAGGTCCCCGAAGGATTAAAGCTGGGGGTGAGAACATCAACTGAAGACATATCACAGCCAGCTGCTTTCCCATGCTAAGTTAAATTTTCACTCCGAAAAATGTATAATTTTTTAAATTGCTATTTTTCTAGCAATTAAATTTTATTGACTTTGAATGAGACATTGAATGAAAAAAATTCCGATAATAACTACAGATCAGTCTGTTATCAACTAATTTAGAGGTGGCTAACTGCTTTTTGTTATTTACAGCTCTGGTTCCAGGCTCGTGGCTTTGGTACGGGAATCAGCTGGCCTATCGTACCAGACTATGTCATCGTCTTCCCTCCATGTACAGCTGGTGAGTTGCCTCCATTCTTTGATTTTTTAAACACAGAAATTTCAAAGAATTCCACAATTTTTAGCGTAGGCTACTCTTATAGTTGCTTGATCCAGTAATTGGCTTAATAAGCTGCAGAAATGTGATATCCCTCAAGTAAATCTTTTTTTTTTAACTCATAATTAGTCCCAAGTGCCGCGCTTTTTACTTGTAAAACTGTCACAAAGTACTTTGGAATTTTAACTCTGTAACTACTTCTTTACACAACTCTGCATCAGAAATCTGGAAATAGTCTGATAATGTGGATAGTACTGGTCCTAATCTCATTGTTCTGTTAAAGTTAAAAAGTTTGTACTAATGGTTAGCTATTTCTATGGGTATCAAAATTTTATAACGTCCATGCATGTGCGCATGTCCCAAACTAAGAGGTCAGTTCTTCCAGGATTTGAGCAGAATTTCATAAATAGCGCTGTTAGCATAAAATTGGGATCTGGATTAGCAGAGCCATGCAATTTGCCACTAGACATTAAAAAACACGAGCTTTGATTCTTATTGGTGTCCAGGGTTAGCACCGACACCCCCGCCTCCTCAGAGTCAGTGCGGTAAGATGGAGGCGCTGATCTCCAGCATCCCGCCGCCTCCTGGCTTCACGTGTGCCGTATTCCCTGACTGTCTGGGATTGCATTGCTTTGGATCCATCAATGCTGTCATATTGGTGGGTACAAATTTGTTTTGTTTAGTGTAGTAGCCTCATGGTCTGTTGCTATGCAATGTCTATATATTCCTTGGTGATCTGGGTTGGATCCAAGGATGAAATAGGGCTAAGAAGCACTGGCAAATCAAGAGTAAAATTTTACTGCTGGGCAAAGAAGATAGGATTTTTTTTTTTTTAAAGGGGTCATTGGTCACTTATGAAAATAGTTGGACACTCAGGAATGGGGACGAGGGCTACAGCATCGGTGCAAAAACAGTTGTCTTCAATCCTTTTGGGGGTGGGGGAGGGGGCATGACATGTTTACTAAGAAGTTCGTCTGGCAGATTCTTTTATGGGCCTGGGTAACAAAGATATATTATTTTATTAATCCATTTTAGTCTAATTTCGGTCGCTTTCATTTCAGACGTATGCCGTCAACGTATCACTAACCATCAACCATTGCGATGTACCCGTGTCTTACACCGTCGCTCTAACCAATCCAGGATCGCCGTTGCTATGGCAACATACATTCTATTACAATGCCACCGTCCCTGTTGGTGAGTATTGGGCAAGGCCAAGAATTCACGCACACTGTGTCCCACACGTAATGAAAGTAAACCCTCTTAAGATATTCATGGGCTTCAGTGGGTTTTTTATTCAACTGTTGGGCATCTGCAAGGAGAATACCCACAAGACTATTTTTGTATGTGTTGTGTATTGATTCAGTTTCTCGCTGTCACACTCGATTGGCAAGTAGCAAGCCTCTACAGAAAGTTTAGACCATAGCCTAACTCAATTGATTTGGTTTTTGTTTGTTTGTTTTTTTAGTTGCCAATTTTCCAGGACGCACAAATGTGAATTTGCAGGTCCTCATGCAACACAAGAAGGGTTACATCGATACAACGGTGAGTCATTCCTTATAGGGTCACTTTGTTCTCTAAATGAGCTGGAAAAGGGTTTTAATAAATTGAGGCTAATCTTGATGATTGATTAGTTTTATTCTTCTTGTATTTTTTTTTCTCTGTGAATCTGCAGATCAAAGTGATTGTGTGTCTGGATGTAATCGGCTGTTTTGATATCTCCTTCATGAACAATGAAAGAGTTCCTGTTCCAGCTTGTATTACAAACGGTAAATATTCAAGATTGAGTTTTTGCCTTCACTGACCTAATTTCATAAGCATTGCATACTCAGTGTTGTCGGAAAGCTTGCGAGAATAATTCACAAGCTTACTCGGGCAAAGCAGGCGTCTCGCCCAAGAAGTGGGCGACAGGCACCCTCAAAGCAGGCGAGGCAAAGCCTCCGTATAAATACACCAAGAAACGCTGCCCAAAACAAAATGAAGACTGCTCCCTTTTACGTATGGACTGTGTTATAGTGCCGTATTTGGCAAACACTGTATCCAATCACGTTGGAGAATCTATACAACTGAGGGCTGTCAAGATGCGGCTTAATGTTTTGTAAACAAAAGAAAGGTCTATATACATGTATACATGAAGTTGTATTCTCATATTATTCTGGACACCCCTATATTAGTCTTCATTCCAGTTTGAAAGTTTAATCACGTTTAATGGTTTAACTTTTTTTTATGTCTTGCCATCGCAGCTCCAGTACCACTAATGGCGCACGCTCATGTGGACCCGTCATTACAGCACGAGACCCCTGAGTGTCTGGGATGGCAGCGGGTCGAGAACAGCCTCAAGGCAATAAACGTGCCCGGCCTGAGGGTGTCATTCTGCTACATTGAGGCACCGGTGTGCAATCACATCATGTGTACAGCTGAATACAACGGCCAGGTTGGTGATGCATAGTGAATGCTGTTCCTGTCATATAGTTGACATCCACTAATAGAGTGATCCTTTGAGTCTCACCCAGTAGTTAATGTCATGATACCATGAGTAAAGTGTAACATACGATAACAAAAATCTGACATGCATACTCATATCAGAGTAACAGGCAGGGCAGTTTTAGGCCAGTTTAGGATAAGATGTAGGGCAGTTTGGGACAGTACAGGTAGTAACAGACTGGGCAATTTAAGTCGGTATATATGGAGTAACAGGCAGGACAGTTTAGGGTAGTACACACATAAATAAACAGGGCGGTTTGGAGCGGCACACAGACTCGTGGATTAAGCTCAAGCACTTTTTGTTCCGCTTTAGAGGCCACCAGCCACCAGCACCAGTTATTCCATCTACGTTGAGGTCAAGCATTGTACCCAACCCTTGACGATGTTGGTGAGCGTCAGGGGTCTCAACAATAACTTTGTGATGGAGGATAGTGTCAGTGCCAATAAGAATGTCACCCTGAACCGTGAGTTTGAAAACCGGTCCAATCCTTTTGAAATATGGCAGCCAGTTTATTGTCTTGTTCTATTACTTGACTTAAAAAATAAAAAGATGTGTATACAGATCTCTCTCATAGGACGCCATCTTCAAAGGAAAATTACAACTGCATCTTTAACGCCATCAGGTGTGTGTTCACGCAGTGTGCGCAGTGTTCTTAACACGAGCACGTGTTGTTCAAAGTTTCTTCAAAATACAGCGCAGCCATTGCGCGTCATGCACATTCGACGCCCAAAATGCTGATACTTTTTCGCAATCTGTAGGAAGTGACGTCATTTTGAGAGACCAATTGTGTTTGCAGATAAATGATTATTGCCATGGCAACTGAAACTGATTCTGTTGTTTCATTTGACAGAGCATGGAGTCTTACTAAACGTCCATTTCAAGGAGTTAAGGAACGCCATCCAGCTAAGCGTAGGGGTCCTCATACCGATGGGTTATGCAGCACCATTAGCCGTCCCTCTGATACGGAACCAATTTATACCACTGCCAAAATGTGGCGGTAAGTTCACTCATCGATGTAGAAAAAGAAAGTCTAACTTTCACTCCTCTTAAATATATGAAAAATGCTTGACATCCCTTTTTGGTTAATTTTATTGAAAATTGCACTTCTGTAAACATTTTAAAATGTTAATAACTGAATCGGTTTTGTTTCTTTCCTGTGATATTCACTGGAACAGCCAATGATCCTGCTGTACCTGGTGGGCCAGTCTACCCGACTAACAATGTACCCTGGGCACCAGACCAGCCTGAGGATGGAAAAGGTATAGACATTTTGAATATTTCATCTACAAACAGGAACATTTAGGAACAAGAAAGTTCTTCCCCCCCACACCCAAACTTGTGTATGCGACAGTCCCTAGTCTTGACGACTCACCCAATTAATGATATATAAGATTAAATTAAATAAAAACAAAACTTTCTTCCGACTGAAAAAAAATCAGACTGGAAACAAATTCCCTTATTTAATCGAAAAACTCATAAAGTTAAAAAAGTCTATACTTTCCCCACCTGTATGCATATGCCAGCTGCCTTTTTTCATTTTATTTTCAAAAACTCTTTGAATTAAGAAAAAAGTTGATTGGGAGTTGTGCTTAAATTTCTTTCAACAGAAGCTCCTGATCTCAGAGTCCCGAAGGGGAACGCAGAATCTAAGAATAGCGCAGGTGAGAAAAGAGCATCTCTTCAACAGATGACTTTGGATGTGTTTTTTTCTTTCAAGATCTTGTTTGTTTGATATCTGACTTGTTTTACTGCACTGTTGTAGGAGGTTGTGGGTTCGAGTTTCAACCTGAGTAAGCTTGTGTTTTTTTTAAAAGCTCTCAGTAACATTATAAAATTACATTTGCATGAAGAGAAAATCCAATATAAGACAAAATATATTTGCAGAATTTAAGCATTTCAAACAATCGTTTTTATTGTTTAACATGCAAGGAATGTTTTCAGAAGTAATACATGTCCAGACAGTCTTCCAAAACATTGTTTCTGAAAAGTTTTCAATTTTTCTAATTTCCCCATTTTTGAATTTAAGTTAATTGAAGCATCCATGATTCGCAACAAATCTGTTTTATAATCTTATATTCTCCAACAGAATAATTCAAGTACATGTACTGAAAAAAATTGCTTGGTTTTGTTTGTTTTTGTGTGTACTCAGTTCCCTTAGCTATTGGTTTGCTATTCGCAAGTTTGATCGTCATCGGGGCTGTATTTGCGTTAGTCTATTGGTACCGTCGGCCGAGACGTGCGCCTACAGAAGAGAGTGTCTTGGTGGATGAAACCGAGCACGAGACAGTGCGCTTTAGCATCGGATCATGATGACCAATGAAGAATGAATGATGATGACAAATGAAGACGGTGCTTTGTGATTGGACAAGAGTTTTAAGCAAGGAATATCCTTTAGAGATGCGTCAAGATGCTGTCATATGCAATTTTAATATGTTTTCAGATTAATTGAAACTATTTTTCCCGGAAGGGTTTGGTTGGAAAGAATCTGTTGGAAAAGGAGAAAAAAATAGAAATATGTGGATTTAAAAAAATGTTTTCTGCATTAAAAATGGATTGGGTTTTTGTGCAAAAGAATTTCCATAAAATTTTGTGTTTTTTTTGTAAATTACTGAAACCTCGAAACCAATATGCTCAAATTACACTGTAACATTAATATGTACATAGAAAGTTATAGATTTTTTTTAAATTACACTTAACACTAAGCAAGAACCTAATAATAGCGTAAATTGTAGTGCATGACATATATTTTCTTAAAATTACTTTAATATTTGATACAAATCTTAGATGATTTACCTCGAGAAAAAATTATGTCTAGGGCCAAATATATCAACTTGTGTCACAATTTTACATTTTGTTCTCTAATATAAGTATTGTACAGGCCCATAATACTCCATTAAAAATAACCTCAACCAAAAATGTAATGAAAATATTTTTGCAAACATGTCGCAGTTGCAATGTCTGAAAGTACTGCAAGGTCTTTCTTTGTGCCTAAACTGAAAATCAAATTAGGCCTACACAAAAAGTTGTTTTTTTAAATGGTGTAACAACTATGTTGACAAAGAAAATTCACAAAACCACTTTTGAGCTAAATGTAGCAATGAGTTCTACCATCCTAGACTCGCCACTAGTTCTTCTTGACTCCGTATACCACCATGAATTCGGATGGTTTGTTGAGCACACCGTCTTTGTTGCATCCATACTCGACTTGAGCCCACTGCCACATTGCTTCAAGACATGCCTTCTGGTTAGACTTGCCAACTCGGTCCACATCCTCGATACCATCCAACCAGACCACTGACCAAAAAAAAATTGTTTCAAGTGTACATATTTAATTTGAGAGTAGAATACCAACTCGTCATTAAAAAAGGAATCAATTTATTTTATCCTTAATTTTTTGGGAGTAGTATAAAAGGTTGAATATGACTTCCAGATGCAAGTCATTAGAGATGAGTGTTTAATATATTTTAGATGGGGACTGGAATTGTAGACTATCGCATGATGTCGAGACCTTGAGGAATACGACACGTCTACATGTGACTGGATTTAGGGGAAGAATTGAAGTCGAGGTATCGGAGTCAAATCACAATTATATCAATCATAATAAAGACATTCATAGGAAAATGTACATTGTTAATTAACTGATATTGTCAAAACCTTTGTTCCTGTGTGATAATTATTATTTTTTTGGGGGGGGGGGGCACTACTCACACTTTGCTTTGTCTTCGGTCAAGCTGAAATTAAACCGCTGCGTCTTGCAAGAGAGTTGAGACCAGTCGCAAATCTCTCTCAACAACTTCTCTGCCTCTTCTTCAGTCTTGTGCCAAAGCATCACATTCCTCTCCTGTTTTAAAAGTGCAAATCGATTAGTTATCATTAATCGATCACGTAACAGTTCACTACTAAAACACCATCATAATAAACGTCACTACATTGTATAACGAACTTGATTTGGTCCATTAAAAAAATGTTCGTTACTATTTCGGGAGCCAAAGGGGATGTTCGTTATAGCCATATGTTCGTTATAGCGGTGTTCGTTATAGCGGCGCATTTTGAAATGTTGATAGGAATCCCCGAAGTACGTAGGCCTACATGTATAACACAGTTATACACTGGTCCTAACTTACACGATCACCTGTGAATAGATCCAATATTTGATTTGAAATAGCGTTCAACTTTAATGACATATTTGGGACAGTAATGGGATCACCTTCATTTTCTGACCCAACTCGGGGTAATCCTTGATTATCTTCGCAGCTCCGTCAAAGAAGTTGAAGTCGTTGTTAGGGATGATGGCCAACATCTCGCCTCCAGCTTTCAGACACCCAACCATGTTCCCTATGACACGGGACATCTCAGGAAACAGCTTGATTCGACTGATGCTGACCACTTTGTCGAAGGCGCCTTTCCACTTTAGGAGGCTGGGGCTGGCATCTCCCAGATTATCCAACAAGTACTCTACGTTGTCAGCCGGGTAGTCCGTCTTGGCAATCTCCAGAATGGACGGATCTACATCGATACCTGTTTATAAGTAAAGTTTAACATATCTAAGAAGGTCTAACAAAACCTGGAGAAACATCATAAGTGGCCATGATGTCTATACGCGGCCTGCTAGGAGTGTGTGTTCTGGGGGTTGAGACCACCCCCTTCCATTCCTCCAAACCCGTGAAAAAAAGGAGTTAGGGTAAAAAGACAAGGAAGGAAAAGGAAGAATAGAAAACCAAACGCGAAATGCTTTTGACGGGGCGGGGTTTTGCGGCTAATTGTCCGCCCGTCTCAAAATAAGAAAAGCATAGGGCGGGAAGCCGGCGGCTGGACATTTATTACGAAACAAGTCTGTCACGAGCCAATATGGCCCATCAGGCCGGTGTTTATCTCCGGTTTCCTTGGCATCAAACGACTGAAAATATTCCGATTCCCCCTGGCTGGACAGGATGCCAGTCCCTCGTATGTTACTCCCCAGCTATAATGCCGGTAGGTCATACCCACATCATGCCTGGGCGGAGAGAGGCAAGTGGCGTGAAGTGGCTTGCCCACGGACACAATAATATGACCCACGGCTGGATTCGAACCCCTGAGCTGATCCTCTGATCATTCATGAGTAACGAATCCTAACTACTTGGACACACTCCCCACTGGGCATGACACTCGGGCCGATGACTGAACATGCACGTTGAATCAAGGTGCTCATTCTCAACTACATAATGCTATCGCGCCGGCCGGATAACTAAAACCGTTACACCTTGTAAAGACGCAGTTCAGCCCTGCAGAATCCACGTCCCTAAGAATTTTTTTCCAACTCTGGGCCAAACACGCTATATGCTTATGCTCGTATTTTATACGCTGTGTTTTGCTTGCTGTTTTAATGTTCTCCACTGCATGGAGCCGGTCACTTTTTTCCCAAGACAGCTTGAAACAAGCACAATAAAATATTAAGTTTCTAAGATTCATGCGTTCATCTTAAAATATTAATTAACGTGCATTTGTGACATTATGTACTGACAGAACATTAAAAACCTACATTAATAGGTAGCAGTTTGAACATTAATACCCTCGTAATTCAATTCAATTGTTTTCATTGGAATAAAAGTCGTAAATTATGAATGCTAATCAAGACTGCTGTTTCTCATACATTGAAGGTTAGACGGAATTGACCCAGTTGCATAGAGCCGTCGAGCAAAAAATCATTGCTTCAATAAATATTCGGAACAAAAAAATTCAACCGCGAAGACGGGAAGGATCGTGGCTAGTAGGTGTCACCTTTTTTTGTTAAGCACATAGCGTATTATAGCCAAATTATGTGCTTATCAAGTTGCTTGTATTTATGGGCCCCTCTTTAGTTGCGATCGGTGCTTTTAATCATTCAAAAATTACCTTTTCAACAGTTTCTTGGGGTAGAAATTACGATTTCGTATGCGGTTTATACGGTTGGTGCCGTGCGATTTAGCGCACCAATGATGATTTTTCGCGTTGCGTTTTGTCGTTGTCGTCATCATATTTCACCCCCAAATTTAGTCCCTTAAAATTAAAAACTGCCCTCTTATACACGTGCATGTTGTCAATGTCGCCAGTTTGTTTGGTAAGTTAAAAGTGGAGTTTGTTCTCATATTGGAACCGGGCTCGTAACGATCGCAGCAAGTATGATGGCATTGTGTTGGGTTGAATCCGGTTAGCTTAGCCCGCTTCACTCGGAGTTACCCTTGAAATTTTGGTATCAATTCCAATCCCCAAACTGACTCTATAGTCGTGAGTACAATTCATTTGAAAAAATTGGACAGAATCAATAATGCTCACCGACGACATTCTGTACCCGAGTCGCTAGAATGACGGCTTCTTCTCCAGCACCACACCCAACATACAACACGTTATCCTGAGGTCTGCAATGGAGCTTGTCAAAATGCTCCATGGCCAGTCGGTTACAGATAGACCGAATGCCGGCTTTTGAGTGCCTCACGTTCAGCGACACCACGAACTTCAACTTTGTCTTGGTAACCGCATCCATGTTGATTTCCTCGTCTTAAAAACAAGTACTCTTAAGAAGAGAAGTGAATTATTTTGTCGCGAGTCTAGGCTACGCAGCGGTGTTGCCGTTGATTTTAATACAACTCGGACATATGATTACAATATTCGTACGTCAAGGCCAATGATCATTTTGTGTTATACATGCGAATCAATTGTTATTCCTGTCCCTTTCAACTGCACCCAGTAGAGCGTTGCAATGTAACCTGGTACACTGGCATATGGATTCCTTGTTTCGTTGACTGAACAGTAATTGAAAACTCACAATAAATTACCACTGACTGTGTACAATTATGAACCACACACCACTTCAAACTTTCTACTTATAAAAATTGTTGTTGCGACATGTAGGCCTGCTAATCTGGAATAATGGCTGTGATGTTGTCATCAAATAATGAGGTAGGCCTATTAGACTAAATGAAGAGGGCGCCGTCTAAAAGTACCATAATTCATTTAAAAGTATTTGTATGCCCTGGATTTAAAAGCTAATAGGCCTAACATTTTTGTTCAACGACAAATGGAGATGATTTGATTGGTTAAAGATTACAAATTCATGTAAAATGTTTAAACCATCTTAAGTTAATGTGAAACATTGTTTTTCAAGAAGTCTGGTTATTGGATATCCATTTATTAAAGGTACTAGCGAACCAAAAGTAGCCCCCAAAACTAGTCTCGGTTTTTTAAGCTATAGCCTAAACATTTTTTTCCCAAGGACAAATGGAAATTGTTTGATTGGTTAAAGGATTACAAATTCGTAAAAGTTTAATCTTAAGTTAATGTGAAACATCGTTTTACAATAATCCTGGTTTAAATTGGATACTACAGGTACCAGCGAACCAAAACTAGCCATCCCTCCACCCCGCGCCCTCCTCCTGCCTCCAAGCCACTTGCCACTAGAGGGCGCCAGTCACCCATTTGTTTTTAGTCGTTTTAATTGATTGCAGATGCACATCTCTAAATCGGAACAACGTTCCATCGAGATGATGCACCTGTGACTACAGGAAGCAAATAATTTCTGCTGGACGTTTTTTGTTTTACGTTTACCGATGTGGATTTTGCACATCTCCAAAATGTGGCCCTTTTGAAAATTTAGATGGCTCTTCATTAAACGGTCATTCATTGTTTTTGATCAGAGAGAAATGTTTTATTGTCATCCTATGGAAAGCAAGATATTGCTTATCATACTACCTTAGCTGGTACATAAACACCTTTTCGTGCAATTCATATTTCTCTAAGTTCGGCAATAAAAAGCCAGTAAAAACCGAAAAATACCGTAGAAACAAAATGCTGTAAAATCTATAGTTATCACCCAAAGTCCCGAAACGCGTTACTACGGCCACCAGACCCAGCCAATTCAAATGGACTTCATCTGTATACCCTTTTATGCGTCAAAATATCTACATATAGGTCTACAAACATTGCTTTACTGATCTTCTAGTCATTAAAAATAAATTTACATACAAATTGGACAATATTAGAGAAAGTCCAATCCGAATCCCACCACCTGTGAGTGTTATCATTTTGCAATTGCTCGCGACAATCAATGTGGAGATTATCGATCGCAAACAACTACATACACGTGTTGCAGTTGTTCATTGGGCCTATTGTTCCTAAACAATGGATCTGATAAAACGTCCAATGTACTCTGTGTGTTTTAGGTTCAGGGTTAATCATTTTTGTGTTGTAATCATTCAATATGGCAACTGGGGCAAGGTACTATTTCCTACTCTTGTTAGTCTTCCATTTGGTTTCATTATCATCGGAGCTTGGAACTGATTCTACAGGTAAGGTGGGAAATCATGGAATTAACACCTGGCGAGGCAATGTCGATTCAAGGGATGTCGAAGGTGATGCTGACCCATATCGACAAACTGTGGAAAAACATGCCAGGTCATTGCCTCAACACTTAGCGTCAGTTGACCGGAAAATGGACACAGATTCGCAGGAAATTCTGGGAGACGAGGATGTAGACCAACATCTGGAAGATTCTGGTGAGGAGGAGGTGGAAGGGGCGGAGTTGGATGAAAGGGAGTGGGAGGAAGAGGGAGACTTCGAAGATGTGGACGATCATGAAGACCACGAGAAAGGAGGGGATAGTATCGTCGAAGAAGACGAAATGACCCCGGAGGATTACGAAGGCAACTGGTGGGTGAATAACACCGAAGACGGCAGCGAAGCCAACGAGCTGCGCAACGCCAGCAGGACGGAGTATGGCCAGGAGATGCAATTCGACCCGTCGGAGTGGGAACCCATGCAGTTGGACCCGCTAGGTGCTGGCGGCGTGCTCGTTGAGACGCTGACTTCGGCCAACTTTGAGAAGAGAGTGTACCTGGATGGAGTAACTAGGATGGTCAGTTTCTGTAAGTTTGTCAACATTTCCTCTGCCCTCTTCTTCAGACAAACATATATATCAGTGATTGGTCCTCCATCCTTTAAACCGCATAATTATTGATATAAAACACCATGTCTTTGTACACCAACATATACTAGAGGTGACCCAAAGATCCTTGTCTAATGACCAGTGGCGTATCCAGTGGACAATTGTTTTCATCAGCAATGATTTGAAGTGTTTATAGAGTTCTTCTGCCATCAATCCCACCAGAGAAAACCCGCTCAACAACCATTACAATGCGCCGTGAAATTGTCCATATAATAATATAGTATACATAATAATGATAAGTTTTGAAGAGCGCCCCCATTTGAAAGATGGGTACCAGACCCCCCCCCCCCCCCCCCCCCCCCCCCCGCTTTTTTATTTTACGGAGGGCAAGTGTCCGGAGAAAAAAAACATGTCTACATTTCGGCGCGGATGTGCGGTTGCCCCCCCCCCCCCGACATCAAACGCTGGATACGCTGCTGCTAATGACTCAGTCAGTCAGACTGTGAGAGTAAAAGGCAATCCCTTGGGTCGAGCAAAAATATTGAAAATGACAATGATATAAACTGGAACTTGATCTCTGCACACATTCGTACGGTAGAAATTTAGGGCGCCACCAAGGCTATATTATCACAATGATCCGAATAATTTTATTTATATGGAAGTTTAGATCTGAAATATCTGAACAAAAGTCGGTTTTGGGACTTGCAAATGTCAAACACATGAGATTAAAGAAAAGGACACACGTGGACAGGTGAACTCAGATAGACCATTATAGGAGTGATCCCTCGTTGCTACAACAAATACAGTTTTGTTGGGTTGCAAGTACATGCCGAATTTGTGCAAGCGAACGCCCCCCCCCCCAAAAAAAAAAATTCAAAAAATGCATTTCGTTTGTTTTAGCAACAGAAGAAACCTCAAAAATTCGGTCCGTGTTGTAGTTGACTGTAATTTAGCAATAAAAACAGAAGAAGTTGCATGTCAAATGAAGAGGAACCTTTTTAATACCCGTTCTGTAATTGCAGATTGTCCTGACAGGTAAAAATGTTGATTAAAGGAAACTTATAAATGGCCAGTCAAGTTAATCAAGGCAAACGCTGGAAGAGTGTCAGATGAGTTGCCATGGGGACAAGATACTTTTTGTTCGTTGTTTTGTAAATAAATAAGCATCCCGGAAAAGGTGAGCAGTGAATCGATTGGGGGGGGGGTGGACTAGTGGTGATGTCAACCACTCCAAACTAAAGGTTAATATACAAATATAACATGGTTTGAGGGTGGACAGTCGATATTCGCTCCCCGAGGTAATGGAAGTTGACAAACTAGTTCCCGAGGCGAAGCCGAGGGAACTAGTTTGTCAACTTCCAATACCGAGGGGAGCTAATATAGACTGTCCACCCGAAATAAACCATGTTATATTTGTTTTACTATACCTCATACATATTCAGTTGCCGAATTTTGTTTTATTATTATGCACCTAAAACAAAATTCGGGGAAACTTGTACAGCTCACCAAAAGATTCAACTTCAATTACTAGTTCGGTTCGTTTGCAATATAATACAGTTACTACAGTTGTAAATATAGTTGTTTGCAATGTGTACAACTTTCTTTTGTACAGGAGACATCTTTACACGGTCTATACATTTTCTTCAGTACGGCATCATTGAGCTCTGGAAATTAACATTTACGCGAACTGTGCAATCATGCATCTCTCCTGGGCGATGTTCGCGCGTGCGTACTGCACCCGTGCGACAGTTCCTCGATTGCTCTGTAAAGCGCATGCGTAGTAGACTGTCGCACGGGTAACCCATGCGACAGTCTACTACGCATGCGTATTTACAATGTGCGTGAATCCTCGCGCGCGCGTTTGGTAAAACAGCAAGAATAACATCTGGCACGTGATGGTGAATTGACCAGTGAACGTTCGGCTCTCGATCATGAATATGTATGAGGTATATTAACAACAAGAGATATTAGCTTGAAGCTAGCGAAACTGCTGTGCAGTGAAGAGTCAGCCACACAACCTGTTAGCCAGTCAGATAATTTGACGACACTTATTGTGATTTCATCTAACTAAAACAGCAAAATATATTGTTGAACAACCAAACCATCCAACATGAATCCACATGGCGAGCCAAACCCTCAACTGGACGCGTACGAGGTTTCCTTCGGCGTTTTATCAGCTCTGACAGTCGTGTTGATTCTGACCCTCAACCCGATATGCCTTGTGGCGCTTTATCGCGCCAACGGAATCCAAGAATCGACCAAGGTGTTCATGGCTTCACTCACCGTGTCTGACATCTGCATCGGGCTGTTCTGGGTGCTCCCGGAGCTAACACGACATTTCAACGGGGAATGGGTGTTGGGTTCTTTTCTGTGCACCGTCTGGGGTGTTTCACTAACATCTTTTAGTGCACTGAGTATGTTTTCACTTGTTCTCCTGACGGTGGATCGCTTTTTTGCTATCGTCTACTCGCTGCGCTATCCGACATTGATGACTTTGAAGAAAGCAAAGATAATTGTCGCTACCACGTGGAGCATGACATTGACATTCAACATAATTGTATATGGCATCTTTTTACCGAATGCCATATCCCCGCGTAAATGCTATGTCAATTGGACCACCTTTAAAATCTTTGCGCCCATTGTGGTTTCTGAAATTGCAATCTCCCTTGTGACAATTTTCATCCTCTA